AAAAGAAAAGAGGAAAAATGACACTATGAGTCACTCTCATCATTCGACATGCTGTCACGTTTAGAGGAAGAGGGAGGACGGGGGGGAATAGACTCGCCCGGCGTTGTTGGGGGATGAGATCGTCGTGTGACAAGTTCGGTGGGTTTGGCGAGATTTCTTGTCAAACCTACGCGTAGCTTCCAGGGCAGGTCCAGATGATAATGTTCTGACAGATGCCACGAGGGTTGAGGTCCCGATTCGTTCGGCACTGACGGGGCGTTTCGTGAACTAGGAGGTTATGCAGAGTCGCGGGTGGTGGGGATGGGGAGGCGGGAAGAAGAAGAGAGCCAAGCTTTCTTGACAACCCCCTATCCGAATCTCAACAGACTAGAAACTAACGACTTGTAGGCAGAGAGCTTGACCAAGATGTCTACGCCTACGAAGTGCATCTTCCTTGCAGACCACAGACTGGTAGGGAGGGCCGTTCGCTCCCGCCAGAGAGCGTAACCGGTAGGGCGAAGGTGGACCTGTCAACCAACCTTCTGTCCAAGCATTCACAGACGCATCACGGGATACATCGAGGGACGAGATTTACGGGGTAGCTAGTGGATGTTTGCACGGAGGAGGAACTCGAAAGGTACTTGACCGTAGGTGCCGACGTCAATATAAGTCTGTGGTACTGATGCACTTGTGTACAGTGCAACTAAGGTAGACTCACGGTGGAAATGCTTCTCGGTATCCGTACATGCTGGATTCTATATGCGTCAAATGCGTGCTGTCTGCCCCGCGTCCCCCACTCCCACTTCGCTCCTAAGAAGTACACACCAGATCTTACTGTCACCTGCAGTCTATCTTGATCATCTTAGATTTTACTCGACGGGGAGAGTTAAGCTCTAGGCTGCCATCATGCACCATATCGTCTCAACTGCTTTGTCTACCCAATCCTAGGCCGCTCCTGCAACGTCCCCCCTTCCCAGCCGACCCGAACAAATGGATGTACGTGCGTCCTATGAACCCTCGTCTATTAAGTATCTACCGTGGTCCAGGCAGGCAGACGTTCCGGCCATCGTGCTTCGTTCAGAGCGAACGGGGGAAGTGGAAGTGATGTCTGCCAAGATTCCCGTCCCTCTCACACTTCTATTCGTACATACCTGCATCATGCATGTTCGATGTTCGAGTCGCTATAGTCTACTGCACTTACATATATTTTGCGTTCCTAGGACTGAAGAACCTGCTGGAGTTGTCCCTCGGTCTCTCTATCTAGAAAGTGTCCATTATTAATCACGTTACAAAGCATTGCAAAAACAAGGCCACCGAGTCTCTAATAGAAGTGACAAGTGTTAAATTTAGGGCATGTTATTGCTTGTCGGCTTGCGATTGAACTCGGTTGCCTTTATCTCCGGAGTTAGCGATGTCAAGTCGACATCCTTCATCTGCCATCGCTCTCACTGCCTCTGCCTGATCTACTTGCTCCCCGTCGGCAGGACGTTGCTTTAGATCTTTGGATTGGAAATCTTGACCCCGATGGAAAAGAAGAAGCGCTTGGCGTGGATCCTTTTGTTCAGTCTCTGGCGGGCCGGGGAGAAGTGGGAGGAAAAGAGGAGGCAGACAACGGAGATTCCATAGGTAGTATGGATATGGCATTTATCTATCTATCTGCAAGAGACTGTGCTTGTGGCCAGCTACCTTGTGAAAAGAACCAAAACCGGAAAACGAAAACGAAAACGAAAACGCTCTCTAAGGGTATCAATGGCGATCTACTACCCCCTGACATGGCCTGCTTCGCCTCTCAACCAACTCCAACTCTCCAACATCTCCTGTCCTGATGTGTTGTAGACAAAGGGAAATGGTAAAAGAGCGTGGTCATACCACCCGCAAAAGCATCTATCCATATCTGCCTTCTCGTCAGCCAACGTATCTTGTATTCAAGCCCTCAGGGGCATCCAAATAGAGCCTTCCTTGTTGCATTGCCAGCCAATACTTGCTCAGGAAACCACTCTTACTCCATGCACAAAACTGACCAACAAGAACAAAAACGAAAGAAACAAGCCACTGAAGCGAACTCGGGACTGCGAAGGAAATCATGAGCCCAATAGAATTGCCGACCTCCCAGTCCACGCGATACCCCGAACACGGATCCACAGAAAAACACGCTCTGAAGTCTAAAAAGCAAAGGAGAAGACAATAAAAAGCGAGCAGATCAACCCTTCTTCCCGCCCGTTAATCGCTCCGAGGTATAAGACCATGCCGTATCAGTATGCGTTCGTAGTTGGTGAGCCGATCACGCTGTTTGTCGATGATACAATCCCGTTCGTTGATAGCATCTCGGAGACTCTTGTTCTGATCGTAATAGGCGTAACATCTCCTTTTCCACTCCTCGATGCTCCGCTTCAGCTCAAGAATCAGGCACGAACCCCCCTCCTTCACCTCTTTCAGCAGCTCTTTTATCCTCGCCTGGAGCGACTTGATTTCTTGCTCGGCCTTGTGCAGCCTCTGTTTGAGCTTCTCCATCTCGGCGTGATGCTTCTCCGAGTGCTCCCTCGCACAGTCGAGGGAGCGTCGCAAGGAACAGTTTTCGTCCTCGAGGGCTTTGATCTGGCGCTTGAGATGGGAGACCAGGTCTTGATACCGTCGAAGGTCGGCCCTGGCGTTCTCCAGGTCGCACTTGAGGGCTTCATTCTCGCACTTGAGGGCTTCATTCTTGCAGGCCAGGGCCTTGTTGGTCTCGCGGAGCTGGCGCTCCCTCTCCAACAGTTCCTTCCACGCGTCTTTGCTCACACGGTAGTACCCGTGGTCATGGCCATGATGGCCATGACGGGGGTGATGATGGTAGGAGTGAGAGCGTTCCAGGGTGACGAACTGCTGGTGGCCTGCCTGCGAACTTTCTATGGATATCCGTCGGGAAGGCATGCGGAAGGAACCGCAATGTAGGTGATAGTGCGCTTGATCCCAGCTTATTGGCTAGGGGGGGGGGAAGAGTGAGGTCGAGATAGCAAGAGGCGTCTCTAGCTAGACTTTCCCTTTCAGTAGTGTCGTCAAGAGATCGAGAAGTATAGTGTGAGGACTAATAAGTGATAAAAGAGATGAAAGAGTTGTGATGGCTAGGACAAAGTTGGGGAACTTTTGATGGAGGGAGAGGGTCTGAAGAGATTCCAGTTGATAATGAGAACTCCTGGGCCAAGCCAAAAAGGTAGGAGGCTCACACGGATCTGGGACCAAAGCAGGTGATCGAAGCACAGGACAGGAGTTTGAGAGCGGGTGTAGGTGTGTGAAACATTGCAAGCGAAGCTGTCGAATCGAGCGAGAGGCGGGTCGGATTGATATAAAGCAAGCAGGAACCTACATGCGGCTTGGTGGGGATCCGTAGGGCTCCGTAGGACTCGAGAGAACCGGGAAGGGTTTTACCAGTCCTAGCAAAGTGGACGAGGCGCTGTAAGTTGAACTCGACTGACGAAAACAGAAAAATCAAAAGACTAAAAATAATAAAAGAGCAGGGACGGTGACTATAGCTAGCACGAGGTGCCAACGCGTGGTCCTGCTTGGGGTGGGAGAGTGTATATGGGAGGGAGAGTGGGCGTGTGGGAAAGCCCATGTCGGGACGGGAAACGGATGACGCGCAGAATGGGCCTCCCGCATCTGTAAGGTACAGGGATCACTCGCATGACTTCGATATAGGAGGCTGTAGAGAGGAGCTTGACGGACTGTCCGGGGGGGGGGATACTGCCATGGTTCCCAATCATCCCTGTCATGCTTCTGACCTGGGGGAAGGGGTGAGACATAAGATTGTGGAGTCGTGTGGCCACGGACACTCGAAGAATACCTGCTGAGCGTTACTGAGGTATAATAGCCATGGACAGAAACAACGGGAAAAGAATGGGAGCCGTTCGGATCCTTGGGCATGGTATAAGTTACTTCCATCGGGGCCAGCAGCGACTGACCCTGAGGAGTCCTTCTCAAACCCTCATTCATCGACTTTGAGGGGATCAAGAGCACAGCCAGTGCAAGTTCGCCAACTGGAAACCGATGAAACAACGTAGTGCTTGTCTGGGCCAACAACGAGCAAAGGACCGTCTATCGGTCGAAAAGTGCTGGGCCAAATATATCGGCCAACCACAGCACATGGCCGAAGGGTTTCTTTTCCACTCGTCTGGAGGTCATCAACAACTTCCCTGTGAGTAAACAGTGAAACTAAAACAATAGGTACTGAACCCCCATGAACAAGTACAGTAAAAGTGATGACTGCGGGAGAGAGACAACAAGAAGATGAAGATGACCGTGGAGGTTGAAAGGCGGTGGTCTGGTGACGTCTTCGGAATGACCTCCACTAATGGTCAGTCCACGTCCCGCCATACAGTAAGCGACGCACTGTCTTGTATAGGTACCCCGTAGTGAAAGACAGAGAGCCGCGCAGATAGGCCAATGGGGTTGAAACGTTTCAGTAATTTCATGTACGTGTAAGGTACGGTACAGTATCAACGGTAGAATATAGACCGTGTCTAGTTTGTCCCACATCGCGGCTGCGCTTAATGCTTGTCGGCTGCCTCCACGTGGGTGAACTTCCCATAAGCCCCCATCTCCATAGCGTAAGCCACAATCTGGACCACTGGACCCACTAGAAACTCCACCGTGACCCCAGTCAGTGGAAATCCGCAGCCATAGTCCGGTGCGCAGCTTCTTCGACTTTGCCCTGGTGTTTTTACTCTTGCACCTGTCTTCGTTATTTCTTCGTCCACTTGATGTGCAGCCCTCGTTCTCCAACGCTATATCCGATCTAGCGGAGATGATTTTGGCTCTGAACCGCGGGCTTTTGCCATCACCCACCTATTTCGATACTCACCACACGTGTTATACAGAATCCGGGGAGTGTGGCCTTGGGTATTTGGAGGGTCGCGTCCAAGGCTGTGCTGCATAGGTTGGTTGACCAATATGTTACTTGCTACCACATGGGGAGCCTGCCATTTTACATGTCCCTTGTCTGCTTACTCCTCGCTGTCGCCATCATCTTTCCCCTAGAGAACTGCATTCAATCCCCATCCACCTGGCCAACCACCACCGAACCCCTGATTATCGGCCATACGGTTCCGCTGCGGCCTGTGACTGGAACGGCTACGTGCATTGTGTTCGGAGCAAGACGTTGGATCGATTCCGGTTGGGTCAACCAATTTGGAACAACCGGGATGTCGGCATGGCGTGTGTGTTGCGCAGAAGTGGCTATTCCCCGCCGACTGTTGAGCGCAGCCGGCGTGATGACATGCGTGGCCACTGCAATACAGTGATGGCGACCATACGTTACCCACCATCACCATCATCGGCATCATCGGCATCATGGCCGGTGGCAGCGCCATAGTGCATCGTGACTGCGGGCAAGTCAAGACGCTGCACTTATGCATATCGCAGAGAGCTCCGAATATCGACCTCGCACTGCTGCAATCCTGAAATTCGCAGATGTGGCTGACGCAAAAGTCCTTATCGTTAACCGCTCGGGCTTCGCACTCCGGCCTACGGCATCTTGCGAAGCAGTCTGGTTGAAGAGAGGGGGGGGGGGATTATCCGTCAGCAAGGGCCACACTCCGCATCGCGAACAGATGTGGGAGAGGAATACGCCGGTAACTCACGCTCCTCGCACCGGTCCAACACGGTTCCCCCGACGACCATCCGAAACCGATTACATCCGACCAAGCTACACGTCAGATGAAGCTCGCAGTAATGGTTCGTCGTAGCCTCTTTGTCACAGCCGGGCTTCCCACATTGGTGAGCCGGACAGAAATCACCGAGCCAGCGCCGGAACCGACACTCCTTGGTTTCGCACTCGTGGTTCTTGCAAAAGTACCCATCCGCCTTGGTCTTCCCCTTGGCACATCCCGGTTCGATACACGTGTGCTCCTTGCAGTGTTCGGCACCGGAACCCGCCTCGGACTCGCGTGCTTTGTCGCAGCCTTCCCAGTGGCAGTAGTGCGCCCCGCAGTGCAAGGACAACGAGCCGCTCGCCCGGACATGGGCGAACCTCTGGCAATGGCTTTCCTGGCATATGCAATGCCGCTCGCAATATCTCGTTGGCTGGCCTGGGTCCCCTCCCCCCGGCACCGGGGCCAGGCAGTTAGGGGCTTCGCACGTGTGGCCCTCGCAGAATAGACCGGGACCTTCCCTGGGGTGGGTGCATCCGGCGATGGAACAGCGGTGCTCGCTGCAGTACTTTAGGTCTGCATCGCCGGTATAGGATCGTTCGTTTCTGCAATCGGTGTGGTTGCAATTATCTTTTGGGAGGGGTGCTTGACTCATTAGAGGCCGTTTTCACTCAGCTTACTTGACAGAACGCCCTGATAACTAGAGCCGACGACACTGAAAAGACATGGGAGAGAGTGTTCCGTATAATGACAGACCATTGGCAACAACTGCAGCAACTTACGATACTGGGAACAGAACGCGTATTCTCTGGGTTCGTATCGTTTGACGTAATAGGGAGATTGCTGGCCGTTTAATTGACCAGTGCATTGAAGATCTAAAAGGCGTACAACGTCAACTGTCATCCGGCCTGTCTTCTCCCAGAATCCCGTTCGTTCAGAGTGGTTAGGTAGCAGAAAGGAGAGAGAAACGCACGTCTTCGACAGAACCCATTACTGCTGGTTCTCATGTCCTGACAAGCAGCCTGGTCAATCTTTATGCAGCAGTGTACCTTGCAGAAGGCGCTTGGGTATCTGACGCCGCCCTTGATGAGCGTGACCTTGCCGTAGGGGCATCGTCCATACGCCGTAGCGTAGCTGCAGAGCTTCTGAAGGTCTTCGAGCTCGATCTCCCTCCATGTAACTCCCAACATCCTGCGGTGGTTTGTAATGATTCGCTCAAGTCTTTCGGATAGTGACTTCTCAGAAGGGGATTCCAAGAAGATGGGCCGAGCCCCTAGACTATAAAGCTATGAATGGAAGACTTTCAGTAACACAAGGCTCACTCGCCGCGGCCACATTTGCGTACTATTCGTCCTCAGGAGTTTGCATGTAGGTCTATGTGCCGCTGCCCGCGTCGCCTCGTCTCTGCCTGGTTAGGCTGAATGAGGCTCGTGGCATATAGGCAAACCGAGCATACGGAATGCAGCTCTCTCGGGTGGCTGTATCACTCATTATGCTTCTCTATATCGCAATGAACCACCCCGTATCCCGTGCAGTGGAGGAATGGCGGAGAGGATGGCTTGGACGGGCCAGCATAGATAACTCCTGGCCATCTCTGGATGACGAGACAGGCTCACTCGGCAATGAAACCCAGGACCTTATCTCGCATCCGGAATTTCACAATTAGGGACAGGAGGTTTGGCCTCCGTAGTCCCGGCCTTTCCCCCACCCACTTTGGACTTAAACAAACCCCTATGTTCAGCATAGCCTTAACCTAACCCAAAGCCTCTCCATGCGAAAGTGGGTGGGACAGGAACCCTTCGAGGTAGCACAGGTAATCTTCTGCATGCAGATACCCGTCTTCCCCTTCCAGTATCGTCATATCCGAGATTGAGAAGCGAGGCAATGGGTGCTTGTTTGCCTCGTATCCCCGAGGCCATGGGCCCAAAAAAAAAAACACCAATATCCCAGAGCCCCAACCGCCGACCGATATGGATGATCACATTATCCCTCACGCCGAGCTAGGACAAGAACACGGGTAATACATTACAGGGGGAAACCAGAAGCTCGCTTACGTCGTCACGGATGGAAACTGCGATGTCTCTTATTTCAAGGTCTTACTTATATAGAGTAAGACGTCAAGATAACGCAGCATCGCACTCACTGAACTGTATCATTTCTCCATCCGTTGCCCCATCTGTCTTCCATCGTGGTATCATGGCAAACCAATTCGCTTTTTGTTGGACCGCTCCCTGGTGACGGCTGATGTGGCCCGAGAATAATAGAAAAAAAAATGACCACGAACGCCTTGCCTGCCTTGAAAAGGTACACTATACGCTTGACGTACCCCGAAGTAAAATTCCTGTCTAGCGCGGCCGAGAGACGCAAATTATCTACTCATCGCGCCAGAGATATAGAACGGCCTTGGAGGTGTGATGTCTCCTCAGTCGACCCATCAAACTAAATGATCTGCCCTACGCAGAGGGAATTGGCAGGGCAGTGACAGCCTACTGAGCTGTAACATCTTACGAGACGCTGGTGCTACTGTATGCTTCCAGTTCTCGCAGGCTCTGCATGAGTGCCGCATCCCTAAGGGCATCATTGTCGTCGAGCGAAGTGTCTGCCGGTGGTAGAGGTGCTGTAGACAATGTCGCACTTGCTTCTGCCCCTGTGGAAGTAACCGGAGGCTCTGGGTATGTCAGCGGAGCAAGAGTCTCCCGTGAGATCTGTTCAGCTTTGACTTGTGGTGAATTCAACCGCGGGTCTGGAGATGGGTAGCTTTCTGCGTGTGTGGAGGTTGTCGAGTCCTGAGCTGATGGCTGGGCCGTCTGGGCGGGTATCGGGGTCGAATACGACTGTGCATGCGATTGTGGTGTGATGGGTGATTGTAGGGCAGAGGTCATTGGGGCGTCTATATGATAACCTGCCGTTGCCTGAGTATCCGCCCTCGGAGGGCCCGTCCCCAGTGTTGGAACTGATGCAGTAGCTGGCAGCGAATACTGAGGTTGAATGGAAGGTGTAGCCTGGCCATTAGGCATAGTAGGTGCGGCGGCAGCGGCCTGCAGTCCCGGAGTGCTAGTGCTATGGCTGAGGGAATGAAAGCCGTGGATATTCGTCGGTACTCCCTGGTGTTGGTTATGCTGATGCTGATGAAGTTGGTATCCACCCGCTAACGGCACATTCTGTCGGCCCTGGGCCTCTTCCGAGTTCTGGCGAGCCTTCTCTTCGGCCTCCTTCCGGGCTGCTTGTCCAGGTGCCCTCGTCTTAAGCTCGCCGGTGACTGCCTGCAGATAGTAAGGCATCTCTGAATTGGACTTGAGAAAGAAAAGCTTGAGATTCCGCGCCTTGTCCTTGAGCTGCACTTGAGACCTGTCCTTCAGGATATTGGAAATGGTCCCCTCTGGCCCGTACAGGGACAAAATCTGGCTCCAGTGGGGCCCTTGGACTTTGTCTAGACCCATCATCAACGCCTTCTCCTCCTCTTGAGACCAAGGGCGTCGCGTCGAGCTCCCGCCTTCGCGCCTCTGTGGATTGGTATTTTTGGACAAGGCCGCTTGGCGAGCTCTATCGTAGAGGACCGCACTGGGTAAAGATTGCGTCGGTGGTAATGGTGGATCATCCTTATCCAGCGATATGCTTTGACTCGCCGGAGGATACCCGTAGTAGTGAGAGGGTGACGATTGGTGGTTTTGTTGAGGTTGGGGTGGTGGCTGCGGTGGCGGTTGGGGTTGAGGTTGCGGTGGAGGTTGCGGCTGATGTAAGTGTGATGTGTATGGCTTTTGTTGTGCCATTATTGTCGCTGTAGGGGCAGGGACTGTGGGCTGGTACGGCGCTGGAGACAGGTTGCTTAACGTAGTTCGCACATATTCTTGGGTTTGTTGTTCGATCTCCGCAAACAGATCGTGCGTGTCAGTGACATGATCCGCGGTCCCATTACCCGCAGCTGCTGTTGCCCCTGCTGTTGCCCCTGCTGTGACCGACGACGTCGTGCCGTTTGTTATGTTTGGTCGAGCATCTGGCGGCACGCTTCCTTCTGTTGTGGGAACAGCTGTTTCAGGTGCTTCTTCCGGTCCGCCGTTCGGTAGATACTGGGCCACAAGGCCGTCGGTTGCCTCGAGAAGAGATGACAACGCGTGCTCATCCATCTCGGACATGCCGTCATGCACGTCGTCGACTTCGTCCTGCTGGTGATGTGAAAGGTCGAGATGTGGTAAACGAACCCCATACTTTTGAGCAATTGGGGAATATGAGACTAGTTCGGTATTTAAGTAGGTGTTGAGGAGCTGAAACGTCTCCTCCCCGTTGTATACGGATCGAAGCTGGCCTAGAAATGACGCGTTAGCACTGGAGGCCGAGGCGGCAAGTTCACCGCTATGGATGGACGCACTCTCGTCTAAGCCTTCGGCGATTTGCTTGAACAGGGCATCCTTCCTTGCCTGGCAGGATGCCGTTAGTGCCTGCTCCGTAGGTGTCAGATCGGATACGCCTCGACGGTCGCGTAATATTTGGTCGAGATGAACCGGGAAAGTTTTCTCGATGATCTGGTCTATGGGTGTCTCCTGGACGCCTTTGGCCACGGAGTCAATAACTGCTTGGGTTTTGACTGCAAGAAAGAGATCGGCGACTCCTGTGGATATATCTGCGCCCGGTCGTAGAATGATCGAAAAGAACTCATTATATAGCTCGAATCGATCAGCAGAATCGGCGTCGCGGCCACTGGAAGTCATGGAGCAACAAAGACTGGCGAGATTGGCTAATCTCAGCTCTTCCTCGGCCTCGAGGTAACTCAGGTCTTCTTGCCGAAGCAGCGGACTGTTGCTCGAATATAGGGATCGCGTCTGTACAAAAAGGGACTTCAGGATTTCCCATGATTGGAACGCCTCAGACTCGCGGTTTCGTATCGCTGCTGGTAGGTCGTCGGGCGACTGCTGAGATAGTACGAGGAGAGTTTCGAGGGCCTGAACAACGACTGTCAGCAGCAGCAAGGTAGCCAATGACCACTCCACATACAAAGTTTGCCAACGCAGGAAGACTAGAGCACTGTATTGACTTGACAGGGCTTGTGAGGAAGGCGATGGGAGCTTCAGCAGGCTCCTGTGATGGTTGTGTTGGTAGAATCGAAGGGTCGGAGGGGCCCATGTCGGCTGTGGGAGCATTTTCCACGGCATTGAACTTGCTCATCTGGTTATCGATGTCACCGAGCACATCTTGAACCATCGCATCAAGGTCCAGGTCCATGTCAATGGAACCAGCACTGTCCTCGGGTGCATGATCATGGCTCAGGTCGAGTTTGAGACGTTTCGAATCGACGTTCGCTTCATCGGCAGGGAGTTCGAGGGGTCGTTTAGAAGGCTGGGGCGATGAGGCCAGTTCCTTTGGCAGCTCTGGAGAATCCTGCTTCATGCCGGGCACTACTATTCGGTCAGTCCATCATGCGACAAAGGGTATTCGGCCTTGACCCCTCCATCAAAGATCCGGCTGGGAAAGCCAGTGTGCAGGTCTTGGCGGAGTGCAACCCGTACCATGTGAAGGAGAGGGGTCCGTCCCAAGGCCCGGCGCGGGCTCCTCCATTCTTTCGAGTACTTGCATCCACGGTAGGCGCAAAAAAAAACGGGTGAACTCGAGTCACAGGTTATGGAGAAACTTGCTGTGGAAGTTGGCGCAGCTTATGTGTCCCACGATAACTTTAGGTGATTGATTGCTCGACGATAGCGGAAAAACTTGAGAAAGAAAATCCGACCCCGAGGTTTTCTCTGCAGTAATTGGTCGTCCGTCTCGGGGGGGGCCCACCTCCATGCACGCAGATATGCGGAGCGATACCTAGACGTCTTATCGAATTTTCTTTTCTTCTCTTTTTTCTTCTCTTTTTTTTTTCTTTTCGATGTCCTGTTGCTAACGTATCATTACGAGTCCACAGGCAGAGTAGGCCAGCGGTTAACTTCGTATTTTCCGCCCTTCTTTTTTTCTTCGAGACGTCAACAGAAGAAAAGCACGGTACTTTTGGTCCAATACAAGAGCAGTTGGTCCTTATCTGGCCACCGTCTTACGATCGCTCATAATCCATTGTCCGTCGGGAATTACAACTCGGCTACAATGACGTCTAGGGTTATAGTTCCTATGGATATATACAACTCACCTCAGCATCATATGTTTCTTGTTCGCCCGTCCATCCGTCGCTGTTCTGCATTATCCTGGGATATCAGAGCACCGACGATATGACAACCCCACGAAGTACCAGTTCTCCAGCCACGCGTTTCCCTCCCCTTAGCATTATCCTAGTTTTGCTTGCGCAAAGCATGCTCATGTCATAGTGTTGGGCCCATGAAGCAGATAGTAATAAGCGCGCTCTCTCCGGATTCCACGTAGCTGTTCATAAGTCGTCCTATGAATTCCAACCAGCGGAATCTCCGTCTACACCAAGTGTCTGGCGCAGAGGTAGGATACCAAGGCGCATTCGCCCCATGCTTTAGACATATGAAGAGTGTCAAGCTGGTCATGCTCCTTCCCCTTCTCCGACGATAATAGCTGAAAAGAACCGCTCGTGCTTTTGCAGTCGCGTAGGGTTGAGGTATTAATATTCCTGGAAGAACGAGGAGAAATCGGATGCGAGTGGGTAAACAACGAGTTGTCCGGTCGAGGGCTGTGGACAAAGTGATATATATCCAGACCGTCAAAACGAAGAGTAGCGGCTGACTGCCTGATATAGGATGCAGGTTTGCGGCAGACAGTTCCTATCATTGTACCTAGTGTCCAATGTCCCCAAAACTGTACTCAGCATGGCAAGGCACGTTAACCGGGCCTTGGCGACCAGGTTCGCCCGTCCTACTTCGTAGACTCGAAGAGCCAGGCATTTTTTGTGACATGGAACAGACTTGACGGCAGGTAGTGGTAGATAGCGGATGAATTCGTCGCGCCGTCTCATCGCCCCCGAGAGACGCGCATAGCAGGTACGGGGATAGATCGGTCTATGAAGCACAATACGACGGAGAGGCCAGGTGACGAAACCATCCAAGTATCCGTTCGTGGCCATTGGTGCTACCCCTCACTTACGCCGTTCTCTTCACTGCAATTGCAGGTCTGATGGGGAAACTATGGCCAACGAGAATCGTTGGTGACTAAGGAATTCATGTGCTCATGAGGTCAAAGACATGCGGGTAAGGAATAAACAACTGCAAACACTGCAAACCGCATGGTGTCTTGTGCTGATGCACTATGCGGATACAGTGAAATAACACTGTGGGTGTGCCGAGTCTCCGCAACATCGTTTCGTGGAAAATAGGACCTGCCCCGCCTTGGCCCGTGTTTTCTAATGACGTGGATACCCCTTCCAGTGTCCCCACCATCTTCCCTTCCCTTATGACGCCACTCTCCGGCTGTGCAGAAATCGGAGTTACACGGTATCGTCTCCCCGCACCGAGCTTAAGGTATCGAATCGCAAGATACTCACCGAGATTCGCCCGAGGGATCTTGCCTCCGGGGTCGAAGAGCGTTCTGAATTCAACCCCGGGTATAGTTGAGACCCATCGATGCTCGAGCAATAAGCTTCGAACTGAGTGTCTTGTTAGCTGTCAGTATAACAGGAAACACACTTCACTGTGTTCACAACGTTTACTCTGTAGGACTTCTTTGTCGAACCCCGGGGCCAGCTTACTAGGACACGACGCCACCGACAACGAGTACCTACTGGGGCATGACATACTTTTGTATGGTGATTGCTTGGTAGCGGTCACTTTAAAGTCGGATGATTATTAGCGAGTTGCAAATCACATTCTCGGGTTTACACGTGTAGAATGCTCTCTCCAGTCACGTTGCTCACTAATCAACGCTAGTCACCTTCTGCCACGAAGTTCTCTTGCCTTCGGCTTAATGACGAGCGAAGTACTGTACAGCACTTACCTACCTACCTAGGCAAAGCACTAACATCACATCATCCATTAGTCCCATCGTCACGGAGGTGGCCGACCTGGGAAACGACTGCGGCTAGGAGCCCACCCGTAGGTACGAACACCCCCCAATCCGCAGTCACTCCCGTGTGTAAAACACCGCTGTAGTGTTCCTTGTCACCGAGAGAGGCTGCAGTTCACGAACGCGACCACAACCAAGGCCCAACTACAACGTATTGAAGAGGCATGTGTTTTGGTAGGAATAAACCATACGAAGTAGAGGGTGGGCGCCTTGCTGCGTGATAGCGTGGCTTAATGTAGGTGAGGTAGGGGCGTTCTGCGGGTGCGGCTGGTGCGGCTGGTGGATGAGGTGGGTGGTTACAATCCATCCATCTCGAGCCATCTGGGAACATATTGCTTTTTAGGCCCGCGTCCTTCGTTCTATCTGGGGAATAACGGCGACTACAGCACGAAGTACAAGGTCGTAATTCCAACCGGTGCTCCCACTGTGCTCCTACGTCGTACCTACTAGCGGCATCTCCACGTCCCGGTTCAGGCACCGCTACCGCAATCCGTCCGCCCCTCTTCCCCTTGCCCCCTTCCCCCACTCTTACACACACGAGAGGTCATAAGAAGAGCCACGCTGCCGCCCACTTCTCGAGACGAATGCTGGACCGTTTCTCTTATTGTCCCGTTTCTTTTCATAACGATCTGTTTATTCTTCCGCCGCTTCATATTCCTCACGGTTGCATCTACCCCCTTGACTCTTGTCATATATCGGACTAAACTCGGCATCTACTTACTCTCCTGCATATTTCGTCACTATGGGTCTGGTAACCGAGATCAAGACGCCATTGATCGGCAGCTACCAGCAGCCCACCGGCCTGTACGAACCTCGTCCTTCAGTCTACGCTCTCGATTCTCCCTGACTACCGCGTTTCCGCTTCTTCACTCCACATGGGCACCCGCTAACTTGCACCGGAACAGGTTCATTAACAACGAATGGGTTGAGGGCGCGGAGAAGAAGACCTTCGAGGTCATCAATCCTGCCACGGAGGAGGTGATCTGCTCCGTTTCCCAGGCGACAGAGAAGGATGTCGACATTGCTGTTGTCGCAGCTCGCAAGGCGTTTGAGGGAGTCTGGCAGGAGACTACCCCGGCTCAGCGGGGCCAATACCTCCTGAAGCTCGCCGACCTCGTTGACCAGAACCTCGAACTCCTATCCGCCGTCGAATCGCTCGACAATGGAAAGTCTATCAACATGGCAAAGGGCGACATTGGTGCTGTCGCCGGCTGTCTCCGCTACTATGGAGGTTGGGCCGATAAAATCGTGGGCAAGACCATTGACGTCGCCCCGGACATGTTCCATTTCACACGCCGCGAGCCTGTACGTTTCACCTCCTTCCTCGCCTCCTGATCTGTCAATTCATATATCTGCTCCGCTTGGGCTCTTCTCGTGGGTCATACTAACATGAGGTACACGAGTAGATCGGCGTTTGCGGTCAGATCATTCCATGGAACTTCCCCCTCCTCATGCTAGCGTGGAAGATTAGCCCCGCGCTGGCCACCGGCAACACCGTCATCATCAAGCCCGCTGAGCAGACTCCCTTGTCGGCGCTCGTCTTCGCCAACCTTATCAAGGAGGCCGGTTTCCCTCCTGGCGTCCTGAACATCATCAACGGCTTTGGAAGGGTCGCTGGCGCGGCCATCTCGGCCCACATGGACATCGACAAGGTCGCTTTCACCGGTTCGACTGTTGTTGGCCGACAGATCATGAAGGCCGCGGCCTCCTCCAACCTTAAGAAGGTGACTCTGGAGCTTGGCGGCAAGTCACCCAACATCGTGTTCAACGATGCCGATATCGAGCAGGCCATCTCCTGGGTGAACTTCGGCATCTACTACAATCACGGCCAGGTATGCTGTGCTGGCACTCGAATCTATGTGCAAGAAGGCATCTACGACAAATTCCTCGAGGCGTTCAAGAAGCGAGCCCAAGAGAACAAGGTTGGAGACCCGTTCCATGACGAGACCTTCCAGGGCCCACAGGTCAGCCAGACTCAGTTCGACCGCATCATGGGATACATCGAGACGGGCAAGAAAGAGGGCGCGACTGTTGAGATTGGCGGTGAGCGCCACGGTGACAAGGGCTACTTCATCCAGCCTACCATCTTCTCCAACGTGAAGCCCGACATGAAGATTATGCAGGAGGAGATCTTCGGCCCCGTCTGCGCCATTTCCAAATTCTCCACAGAAGAGGAGGCCGTCCGGCTTGGCAATGACTCTTCCTACGGCCTCGCTGCCGCTGTTCACACTACCGATCTGAACACGGGCATCCGCGTGAGCAAAGCGCTCAAAGCCGGCACGGTCTGGGTCAACTGTGAGTGTTAACCCCCCCCCCCCCGGATGGATAAAGATAAAACTCACCCCACACGTCCCCCACCGACCCCGTTGTAACCCCTCTCTAAATTCCCTTGAATCCCTTTTCTCCTCACTCACCTATCTCCGCTGTTGCAACCAAAATGACTCGGTAAAGCTAACTCCACACTCCAGGCTATAATCTTATTCACCACCAAGCTGAATTCGGTGGCTACAAGCAGAGTGGCATTGGACGTGAATTGGGAGAGATGGCGTTGTTAAACTACACCGAGAACAAGACTGTAGCGATCAGGCTGGGAGGTGCTATGTTTTAGGTAGGTGACGGGAGGATATGAGAAATTCGAAAAAACCTGCTCCCAATTTATGACCTATTATCGTCGGGAGGAACATGTACACAAAAATGGGCAATGTACCTTAGCTAAAAATTTCGAGTGTAACAAAACTTACCTTTTGTACAAATGCAAGCCAAGGAACTGTACTGTCTGCGATACGACATTAACCGTGTGCGATTGGCGGTCATTGTAAGCGACAAAGTCTCGATGCCCTTGACACTTGATCAGAGCCCTTCAAGGATCGTTTAATCCTGAGTGCGCTGGAAATTCCATTGGGTCGTACACGGAGGCCGTTCCTTTAACCCGCCTCTACCCGCAAGTCGCCAAAGATTCTCCAATTGATTCCAGAGAGGGGAGCGAGTGATGTCGAGGGGCATCGGCCGCATGGGTTTTGTCACAAAAAGCGAATTCCCCGCAGTCGCCCTAAATCTCGATGGTGGTCCGTGCGCTAGCTCTACCCCACACCAACCCCAGTCCCCGTTGACCCCTCCATGAACGCGTGTCAAACACGCGACAGATGCATCCTCATCTCGACATCTTCAAAAATGTCCTCTCATCAGCGATCCCTATCCCAGGCGGCCCCGTCGGAGAAGTCGTACTTTGAGCAGCAGCGCGAGGCTCTTATTGGCGAGATTGCCATGGTACGTTACGAAGCGGCCCAATCCCTTCAAAAAGCACACGTGGGACTAACGAATCGACAGAGCTTCGAACAGGTGCTCGCCAATATCAACAAGCTGAACCGCTCTCTTGAAGCCGTTACGACTGTACGCTCTATACCTTGATTCCTCTGCGTCCCGCAAGCGCAAGAAGCGATGCCCCTTCTTCGTTCCTGCTGGATGGAGAGACAATGCTAATTAGGTGCCCTTTTTTTCGGCGGGTACTTTCTCAAGGTCGGTAACGAGTTTTCGTCCGTCGAGGCGCTGTGGTCGCAGTTTGAGAATGTCATGGCGAAGGATCCAGAGGAGAACCAACCCAACGAGGGGGACCGTGGAGAAGGCGAGGAGGATGAGCACAAGAATAATGCGGAACATGAAGCACGTTCGTGACACCTGGGATGGAGGGGAGGCGACAATGGAGCGATTTGATGACAAAAGTTACTGATTCACTGTTTACGATACCCCTGTTTTCGATGTTCTATTGCTATCTTTATATCTCGCGTTCGATTTCTTCTTTCCCCTGGCTTCCCCCCAAGTGCTTTTTCCCCCGCCTTTTTTCGTCTCGGTTCGTATCCAGGCTTCCCCGAACACCATCCTTGTATATGATATTGGTTCCGGTGCTTGGATGATGATCTGGGGATATATCTGGCCTTGGTGTGACATCAAGTTCTCTTGTGGAAGCCAGACGGTCCACCGAGGCCATTTCTTGTGAACTGTTTCTCCTCGTCTCAGTGGGTAGTATGAGGCAGGCATGCGGTGCTGCCGACTAGCTCTTCCAAGCTCTCCCAGGCTCTCCTAGGCTACCGTGCGACTGGAGGCGACAAACCGCGATATCTAGGTGACCCCCAATGCTGTGTCTGACGAGCGATCTAGGCGACGCCTCTAGTAGAGCCATCTTTACGGCTGGTCTTGGTCTGAGAAGGTGCATAATAGAATAGAATGCTTTCAATACAAAGGTAATAAAAGTGCACTGGTCCGGGCCAGTGGAACATCTGTGAAAGACGGAATGTATCTGTCCCACAACACAACGGGACGAGTCGCATCTTATCAATACAACTGTCGATACGGACTCCAGACTCCCATAACAGCCCCCTCTCTCGCGCAATATCTACCGCTCTCCCCATGGCTCCGACTCGAGCCAAGTCCAAGAAGAAGAAAATTAACCGGGAGAGAAAAATGCCTTCGTTCGTTGCACGTAGTCCCCGCCTCCTCCATATCATAAGACAAAGTCAGTCATAACAACTAGATGAGATCGTGCAACAAAAAAAAAGTGTCGTTTCGTTACACAGCCTCGCCCTTCCTTCACGAGAAGCCCTCCAGCCGTTGCACTTTCGTAGACTCCCATGTTATCTTCAACGCCGTTTTTAACCATCGCCCCTCGGCCGGGTGTCAAACAGGCTGGCACAATGCGCCGTCGCCAAGCTCCTCTACAAGAGCTTACAGTTCCTCTTCTTCTTAAGACGGCCAACGACTGGAATGTTGGGCCCGCCGCTGCCGGACCGGCCACCGCCGTTGGATGAGCCTTCGGCAGCCATCTGGGCCTCGATGTTTTTGCGGTCGTTAGCCACGACGGTGAGTATGGCTCGCTCGAAAATCTCGTCGACGCCTGTCATTTCTTTGCTGCTGCACTCCATGTATTGGGCATTCATCTTCTTGGCCACTGCCATGCCTTGCTCGGTGGTGACGGGAGTGAGGCCCTGTGTCTTGAGCATGTCGATGCAAGTCTTCTTAAAGCGGAGATCGGACTTGAGGGCGACGAGGAAGAGAGGGGTGTAAGGGCAGAAATGGAGAACTTCGGGATACCACTGGAAGAGAGCTTGTTAGTCGTCGGGACGCAAATTGGTTCTGGTATTAAGCAACTGCTGGGCGTAATTTTATGTGGACAAAACACACCTTGTCCATGACGTTTTCTAGTGAGTTGGGGCAGTCAATCGCAAAGCAGACAAAAATAAGGTCTGTTTCGGGATATGACAGTGGCCGTAGCCGGTCATATTCTTCCTGGCCGGCAGTATCCCATAAAGCGAGTTCAACGACTTTGCCCGATGGCTGGTGGATAGGGTAGGTGATGTAGTTTTCGAATACTGTTGGTACATATTTCTATTTAGGGTTCTGGGATTAGCATGGATGGTACGTGTTCAGTGGCAACCAGCCATGTTGGGACGGCTCCTTGTCATGGAATGAATTCCAACGCACTTCTGGGAAATAGCCCTGGCTATAGCTGATGAGGAGACATGTCTTGCCGCAGCCGCCGTCACCAACGACGACGATCTTCTTGGAGTAAGCGGGCCCTTCGGTCATGTGGGTGGCGGCAGATTCACGGCCGGTAGAGGAACTCATGGTGGTGCTGACGGTACCGTCGCTGCTCCGAATTCGCTGGTTACGACGCCCTCCACCAGTCGCCGTGTGCTGGCTACTATCGTCGTGCCTCTCGCCCGGGTTGCTGTGATAGTAAGAGTTGCGGTATTGATATGACGATGCCATTGCACGCCAAGCTGCCTGGCGCCCAAATGCTCTTCCTCCTCGAGAGGTGTCGTCGTCGATTTGGATTGTCCGCTTGCTATTATGGGGAGCGAAGCAACTCTTTTGCAACTTTCTTGTCTCGCTGCTATAGGTAGGCACCTTTTCTGGTCAAAGCTGCCTGCGCCGAATGGGCAAAACGTAGATGCCGATATTGAATGGGATGCTCAAGATTCGAGACTTGCCGGGGGACTGCGACAGCACTTGATGATGCCGATAAGCAAAAAAGTCGATATGAGAATTAACCCACGTCCGAGGACCCTTATGTTTGCGAGGAATGGAAAATGTTGCGGGATGGAATGGAACCCAGGGTTTGGTCTGGATCAGGTAGTGTGGTTGCGGACTCGGAAGGGAAGGTCAGCAAGTGTCTCTTTAGGGCGGAGCAAGAGCCAGGTGGTGGGTGCTTGTGGTAGGATGGAGCCAAGTAAACATGTCGGCAGGGCAACGGGATCAACTCGAAGCACATGGTGACGGACGCGCCGTACTCCGTAATTCCAGAAGGTAGAGTGTACCTAATTGACGCACGGGCCACGACCCTGGAGACCCCGTTCATAGAACTTCGGAATTCGGATAAACCATGTGTCCATTTCTACTATGGAGCACGACGCGTTTTTCTTTCTTTCTTTTTCTCCTTCCTTTTTTATCTTCCGAACGTCTTCAAGCGACGGCCTTTTTGTCTTTTCCGAAGACAAATCAGACGGGCAACATCGCCCGCTCCCGTTATTGCTTCCTAGGGAGTACAGCTGGAGGGAAGGTATATACACTAGATTTTCGGCTGCTTTCTCTCCTCGCATTGTATATCACCCATCAGGAGAAACAGCTGCCATGTCCTCGGAAGCCCAAGGCAACCACTCGGATGTCAGGGGCGACGATGGGGAGAGCAAATACGTGACCCTCGTGTCGTGCGATGGCTACGAGTTTGTGGTCCTTCGTGAAGCTGTCATGGTTAGCCCAGCCATCAAAAGTATGCTGGATCCCCGGAGTAGATTCAGAGAAGCCATCACAGGCCGATGCGAATTCTCTGGTATAACGTGAGTACCTTCCCCTTATCCCTTCCGCCCCGTCGCGTACCTCATCTGGCTTTGATGAATGTTTATCATTTCGCTGTGTTCTTTCTGACAGAACCATCCCTCTTGCGAAGGATTGGTTTGCGTGAATGTCCACTACACTTGATCTGAGCCTTGCTTTTGTCAACTTGTTTCCTTTGAAAGGCCCGCCTCTTTGTTGGCAGCTCTCAATCTCGAATCTCTGCGACTGACACCAGGACTCCAGCGGTATCATCCTCGAGAAGGTCTGCGAGTACTTCCAGTACTGGTACCGCTACCGTGACCGAGACGACGTGCCAGACATGGATATTCCGGTCGAGCTTTGTCTAGAGCTGCTTGTAGCCGCAGACTATCTGGGACTGGACAGTACGTCTTCGTCATGTTCCAGAACAGTTCATTTCACCGTGCCTATTGCTGACAATCGACACAGGACAAAACGCAGCAAACCGTTATGACAGTGATGAATCCGCTTGACTTTCTCGTTTTGATTATATCGTCTCTGGCGCTTAGGGTTAGGCAACCGCGTTTGGCTCCCAATCTTCTTGGTGTGGGCGTATGACGGGCATCTAGAAGAACCCGACGACCCGGCAGGCAACTCGACATGTAATGGCTGTCGTTCACGGGCCTGGATTGCATTGGGGATGATGCCATGATGATGGGCTGACGCATAGTTGTGCGTAATATGCTCTGCATGCAAAATGATAAGCATGCCACGACGGTCTACCGCTTACCGACCTGTCGAAACCCTCTAGGTTCACTCGTGATCAAGGCGGCAGCTTCGGTTTTGTGCCAGCGCGATCTACCCATCTTAGCATATTGCGTTGATCCTGATACTCCGTGGATTAACGTCTAATTATGGATGGAAAAACAACCTTCAAATCCGTTCACTCTGCTCGACGAAAGCTCACCATTGAGTCAATGCATTTTGCGGACTACGAAGTACATCTCCGTAAATGCGGCAGGGGACGGACAATGACTGCTAGTTTATTTTTGGGGGTATGTCCACGAGTCATATCACATTCAGCTTTTTTGCCATATACCCAATAAACATACAATGGCAGGGCCTATAATATAACCTCTCTCGGCCATATATCATACACTATAGGCGCTCAGCAGTTTTCGGCATCAGTGAAACCTGCCACGACCTCCCCTGCCTCTTCCTCTTCCTCTCCCGCCTCCTCTTCCTCGTCTCCCACCAAATCCTCTCCCACCTCGTCCTCCAGCCCCCCCACGGTTATATCCACCCTGGTACGTCGAACTTGCCGGTGGCCCCGACGCTTTCCGAGCCATCCTCTCCTCGTCAGAAGCATCCCAGAGGTTCTCCAACCCCAGGAGCTCACATAACGCCGCGGTTTGGGGGTTCGTGTATTCAAAGGGCTGATCCGGCGGGTTCCGCCAGTCCTGGGCCTCAACGTGTGGCGGGGCCGTGACTGTGAAGTTGGCAGGCACGTCCAGACGGCCCGGACGCATGACATGTTCCTCCACCCAGGCACGCTCAGTGTCGATGGAGGGGGCGTACACGGCTTCGCCCAGGTCCTGGGGCGGGTGGGCCGTACGGTCGCCGATTTTGAGGTAGGGATGGAAGACCCGGGTGATGGCGAGCCATTCGGGGTCATACTGGAGCGCGTATCGGCCCGGATGCTGGTGTGGCTGTCGATGATGCTCGGTGGTTTCTTCATTTGCGGCGTTTAGGGAGGGTTCTGAGACAGGAGGGGCGGAAGATGAGGCTGAGGAGGAAGGTGTTTGATAAGGATGAATTTCGAGCAACTGGAGGAAACGACGACTGGGAAGGCATTTGTCGAGGGCTAGAAACCGCACTTGTTTGTTGGTGATTCCGGGCGGGACAGGCTGGCCTGGTGTTGTTTTGGGGGTTGACGCTGGTCTTGCGAAAGATGCTGGCAGTTGAGCCCGCAGCTCTTCAGAGACCGTGTTTTCCGTTACTCCGCCGCCGCCTCCATCATCGCCCTTTTTCTCATCGCCCTTTTTCTCATCGCTCTTCTTCTCGGTTTCTGATTGTGGACCGGAGATTTCGTCGGGCTTCGTCTCAGATTCGGAGGAGCCAGGAGCAGGCGTTCGGGTATCGACGTCCATGCCATCGTCGTCCAAGTCAATTTCGTCAGGATTGGCCGCGTCAACTGAAGCTGGTGGTGGCATGCTTGGCCTTGCGACGTTCTTTGACACAGGATCCACCGCAGTAGCTTGAAGATCGTGGACTCCGTTATTGTTATCGTCGTACGTTTTCAATGCGGCGTACTTGCAATGGAGATGAGCAGAGAACCAGTACGGCGGGCGAAGGCGGTCCATGAGGTACTCGGCAGCGACGTTGCCAAGAGTACCATCATTCGACTCCCTCTCAAAGTCCGGCTTCATACGCCAGAGTGATTTCTGGTCACCCCACTTCTCAATGGCACGAGGCCAGTCGTGGCTGAGACCAATGTCAACCTGGGAACGTAGGAGGAGAAGCTTGCGAACGTCGAATTCCCGGACGTGGTAGAAGCTTTTGACGTCATCCGGGCCGAAGGGAAGACGCTCGTGATGCGTCTTGCGGTAGTCGAAACCTTTCCAGATGCCGCTGAGACCGGCGATGCGTAGAGGTCCCAGACGCAAGACGTTGGCGGCGCCCATGTAGTAGATGTTGGGGGCGACCCAGCCGCCGTAGTAGAGCTCCCATAGGTGCGAAGCCGCCTCATGGTTCCCAGCGATGAAGATGGTCAAGTAGGGTGCCGTGCGGCGGCCTGCATAATACTCCCAGAAGTCTGCCATTTCGCGGTACTTTGCTGGGACGGACATGACGGTCAAGTCGGCGGAGTTCCGAACGGCCTATAATGAATGGCGGGTTTGCGTCGTGCGTGTGAGAAGATCAGAATGAACAACATGACGAATGTCAAGGAGAGTAACGACGACCTACCTGAAAATCACCCCCGATGATGAGCACGTCGACCCCATCCCAGCCCCGAGATTTGCATGACTCGTCAACGGCCGCGTAGATGGCATTGAGTGTGCCGTGACCCTATGTGTCGAGTGAGACGGGTTCTTTCGGGGAGAAGAGCGAGAGGGAGAGGGGGAGGTCAAATACATACACATCCTTCAACAGCGACTCGAACTCCCTGCTCCTCAAATGTCTTTGCGGACATTTCGGTTAGGTGTGGATGTGAAAGGCGACCGGGTGGTTGTGGTGTGGTGGTGGTGGCGTTGGTGGTAGTGGTGAGTTCACTGAGGTGGTGAGCTTTTCAGCAGTTGCTTGGAGGTACATCTCCACTGAAGTTTTTCCAGGGGCGGGAGCTTAGGACAAGAATAAGGCAAACCCTCCCCCGAGGATGAGATGATGTGTATTCATTGATACACTTGGCTCGGGCCAGAAACGACCTTATTATAGTCTAATCGTATTTTGATGACCATTCATCGAATATTCGAATATCTCGTACCCCTTGATCTCAACTCAAACTAAGGTACCTCAATCGCCATGTCCCGCCCAGGGCTTGTATCGCGAGCAGAACAAGAACCACCAGATTGACTACCGACTTACCGACCTGACTTCAAACTCATCTCGTCACCCACACAACGCTTCACAATTCCATCCGTCTCAGAGTCGCTCATAGAACTCCAACAGCCTCTTCGCCCCAACTTCCCATGGCACATCATTCTGCAAATGGTGCCCAGCCCCGGGAACCAGTGTGAACCAGACTCCATGCCTTTCATCACGTTCATGGTGGTTCTGGCTTTCATCGTCATCCTCACCCTCGTCATTTGCCTCAATATTCCTATGGTTTTCCTCGGCATGGGTCTTCTCCGTGTCCACAAGGCGCGAAAGCGCATTTCTGTACGCGATCGCCACACGTTTCATGATGTGAGGAGTCGTCAATTTATCCTCCGTACCCGTCATCACCAGAACCCTGGCTGTCATGCCGCTGCCGGGGTAACCGCCCCAGCCCTGAATGGATCCCACCACGTCCTCGACATGGACAAACGGCCTTAGCATACTGATCGGCCATAGAAAGCTTTCGTATCGGCACATTCGTGTCTGGAAATCCAATACTTTGGCGTCAGACACCCCGCCGCTGAAGAAGGACTGCTTGGTCAACGCCGGATGCGAAAGGGGCGAGTTGGGATGGCCGCCCTGAAGGATCAGGCGGAGCATGCACCAAGGGTCAAGCGCTACCCAGTTCCTGTAAACACCGAGCCTGGTTGACACATTAATGTAAGCGGCCCATTTCTCGTTCCGCGTCCCTCACAAGGCTTTTCCATGCTCCAAATGGAGGCACCAAAATGAGAGGATTAGAGGCTTGTTCAAAGGCAGAATGACCGGCTACTTACGATCCAAAGCCAGGAATAGCGCCCAAGAGGGCCAACCCTCTGACCCGTAGTCTTTTGTCTGAGAGGATACTCTGGCTGATCCCCCCTCCACTAGAGTGTCCGACAAGTAGCATGTCATCTCCCTCCCGTTCCCGAACCCAACGGATCGCGGCCAAGGCATCTTCTTCCAGCGCCCGCCTGGTGGTGAAGTAAACCATCATAGGGTACGATGGGGACCAGCTGTTTCCGTGACCGCGTAGCGACACGGCATAGCAAGGTATACCCTGCGCTGCGAAGTACTGCATGTACTCGGCCCAGACCCATGCGCCGCCCATGCCTCCATGGATAAAGAAGATGGGCATACGGAGTTCGGAAGAAGCATCAACGGGCTCGTTATAGAGAACCTCAATGTTGCCAGACGGCGTGTCGACCCAATGTCTCCGGAGTCCGGGGGCGGGCGCAAGAGGAGCAACCTTCTTCTCGCATGGGCGACTCCAGAAAAGCCATCGGTAGTTGAGGTAGAAGCTGAGCATTTGGATTAGAGATGGTCGGTTATTACTGCTCCAATGATTTGGACTAGGAGTCGACTCCCGGCAATACTAATAGAAGCGAAAAGGGAGTACTGCACGGAGTACCTTAGGAAGTGGACGGGGAGAGGAGTCTGACAAACGTTCCAAACTCTAAAACCTGAGGCTGCCGTCGCTTGTGATTCCTGTGTCTGCTGGAAGGGACCGGCCAAGACATCAAGGCCACTAAGGTAGGTCGCGAGTACCTAAGCAGTGGCTGGGCTGCTGCTGGTACGAAGTCACTCACGAGTATTACCGTACAGAGCGCAGGTGTTGACACGATAATTGATGCATTATCGACCGTTCATCCCCAGACCATCAAATCAAAAACAAAAGGCCCAATCCATCCATCAGTGACACCGCCTGGCACAGGAGGGGCTTCTATTCTCTGTTAAGAGATGACACGAGTAAAATGCATCATGAAAGTGACACCATAACTGGTACCAGGCTCTGGACATGCTATAAGACACGAAGAGAGCAATGGTTAAGGATGTCGTGTGCTACTCCGTAGGACAGACAGGTCGGGTCGACAAGGCAAATTCAAGCAGTTGATTGAGTGAGAGAGTCCTGTCTGGGTTCCATCTCAACAAACGGTTCAGGAATTAGTGGTTCGGCCTTATCTTATCATGCAGGCATCATAGTGGGGCTTTAGCGCCCCCGAAGATCACCCGTGGCACTCCCCAGCAGCAAGTTCCACCGCAAACTTCCCCAAAGTTCAGTTTCCGAGTCTCTGTTTGGCGACCCTTTGAATCTTCGAAGCCAACCCTGATCGACGTCGCGAAAACCATTGCCCGCCATGAGTGTATGGTCTCCTCTCCTTTCCACCCGCACTTTTCTGAACGCCTGGAAGCTAACATTTCGTTCAGTTCGTTCCGGTAAACCCCCGCCCAATGATCCAAGATCTGTATGTCATCCCATCCTCGACCCTTCCATACACCCTCCCCCCGAACGCAGCAGACAAACATCCAAGTCCCCGACCTTCGTCCGCCTTCCCGAGATTCTCTTACTAGGCTACGGCGACAGCTTTACTAACGCGTAGGCGCGCTCTCACAGCGTCAACAAGGACGTGCTTGTTCGGCTCAAGTGGGGCGAGACCGAATACAAGGGAAGACTCGTCAGCGTCGACTCGTACATGAACATCCAACTCAGCGGTGCCGAGGAATACATCGACCAAAAATTGACCGGCGCGCTCGGACAGGTTCTGATTCGGTAAGAATGGAGAAGGAAAAAAACAGAGCCGGAATTCCCTCTTTGGATCACCATGCTTCCGTCATTATGCGAGGGGCGAAGGCTCCTCGTTCCCATCCCCCCCGCCTGCGCTTTAGCGGTTCTCAGTCGACCTTCCCACGACATTTCACAAGGCGCTGACGGTTCATTCTTTTTTCTTAGGTGCAACAATGTTCTCTACATACGGGGAGCAGACCAGGGAAGCAACGGCGACGTGAAAATGGAGGGTTGATGCGAAGGCCCTGGAGATTGTGTGTGCGGTAACATGGAACTCGAATCGATGAATGATAAAATTCTACGGTGGAGGACGACAGGGGAATCACTCAACAGTGCAGACGACGAAGGGAACTCGGTCGGAAAACAGAGGAGGGTCTCTCTCCAGAAAGACCTGTGTTCGGCCGAGCCAGGACTGAGCCGCCTGGGGCCTGGCCATGCGCGACCAACGGCCGGGCGAAGATGGGCCCGCTGTCATATTGCGGGATGAACGGCGTTTGGCGGAGCGATATTCATTGATGGATTCTACGTCGGTCATGGACGAAAGGGATTCCGCAATCTTACTTCCTTAGCTGCTGTCACCGGGATATACCCTTCATTTCCCCCCTTATTTTTGATAAACAATTGTTCGACTCCACATGGCCCGCCAAGATTTGGTTCTTTTTTTCCCTCTCTGCATGACATTTGCCTCTTCGCTCGTTCTACATGCCGGTTCCTCCTTGCATTCATTCCCTTTATGATGATGGTGCCTTCCAACGCACCGCATATCCAGAAACTACATCAGACAACCAACTTTCCGGCTGCTGCACAGCTCCGACGCCCCCACTTTGATGCGCTGCGTCTCACTGACCCACGTATACGCCTCGACCAGCCATTCGTACCACACCTTCGTGTCATCCGTCTGCCGCCACATGGTGACTTCGAGTTCCGTGTCGGCAGGGTAATAGAGAGGACGCTTTACAGAATCTAGTCAGTTTCTCATCTTCCGAAAGCGGTTGGGAACTTGGGACACGTCGGATGGCGTACCTTGATAGGGAAGAATATGGGGAACCAAGACACCATGTCCTTGCTCTTCTTGTCCATAAAGTCAGGATGCGTGCTGATCTCGACATTCTCCCTGCCGTTGCCCAGGCGAGGTGCATACAGCACCGACTCGAAATAGCCGGCCAGACCGTGGATCACACCTCGGGTCCGGCAGACAAAAGTCAGGTGGCAGAAGCGCGAGTTGTGGTCGTTGGCACCGGCCGCGCCGGCCATGCTGCCGCCGCCGCCGCCCATGACACCGCCCGAACGCCTCGCCTCCATAGCCTTCAGGGTCGCGTCCGGGATCGGGTGTTGGAACTCCCAGGCCTGCTGGAACCGGGGATGCCCCGGAACCCGCTCGGCGGCTGCGAAGTCCATCGCGAAGAGGTGGACCACCCAAGGCGTCTCGAAACCGTTCGGGTCCGTCGGCGCACGGCTCAGCAGGTCGGCATGAATGCGCGGCGTGGCGATGGGGGTCATGTGCGCCGTGTAGGACTCGGGAATCGAGATGCCGTGGGGCGCAAGGACGTGCTGAACGCCGTCGAGGCATTCGGGAGACAGCTCGTTGTCTCCGAAGGAGCCCAGAAGCTCGGATACTAGGATGTCCACCTTGCCGTAGACCGGATTGTCGTCGGGTGTCCCCGAGACCAGCGGGCCCTTCCAGGAGCGCATGTCTGTTTTGACGACCGTGACCTTGTCCTCCCAGATCAGCTCTTTCTGGTGCAGGAGGAACACGTAGGCGTTTGGGTTCTTCTCAACCGCCCAAACCTGCACCGGTACCCCCGTCTTTTCACTGGCCTTCAGCGCACGCGTCACCAGCGGCCCACGGCCCGAGCCGACAACGGCAATGACAACAGAGCCGTTCGCCGAGGAGTAAGATCTGCCGATATCTTTCCATTCGGCAAGAGCCTCGACGATGGCAGCCTCGTATTGGTTGTACTTGACAGGATCCCCTTCAAAAACCTCGTATGTGGCCGACTCTAGGTTGTCCGAAAGGGGCTGAAGAGGAGACTGCAACCAATCTTGAAAGCTGGCGAGGGTGGTGCTTTCGATGTAAGACAGTGGGGGTTGCTGGGTCTCAAGCCACTTGAGGTAGACGACGTAGTCCCGGAAAGCGCTCATGGGGCTTTTAGCCGTCTGAGAGGCAGCGGCAGCTTCCTGCAAGCTAGGGAAGTCCGCACCTTGGGTGACTCGCAGCTGAGTCTGTGCGACCAATGTGGCCAGGTCAGGGCCGACATCGCAGAGAAGCAGCCACGGGGCGTTCTTCAGTCGCATATACGAAAATAGGAGATCCTGGTGGGTTCGGGGCAGAGCCGGATGGCCAGCTTTGTTCTTTTGGAAAGTCTCGGGACCAAGCGTCAAGTAGTGGAGTGGTTCGGCAAACCACTTCTCCTGAACTTCGCGCTCCGGGAGGACTCGGGGGATGCGCAAGGCTTGAAGGGACCTGCGGGTCAGTAATGGTCTGGGCGGCTTCTGGGCGGTTTCTAGTTTTTCAATTGGGTCATCTACTCACCAACAAAGAGCCGTGGGCTGTAGTCGCATATGGTACGGATGGTGTGCCAGGAGTCCCATGTGCTGTATATATCGATCTCACCATCCGTTCTCTCTGCAGAGTTCTCTGACTGTCCCGCCAAATGAGACAATATCTCGGATCGTCTCACCTCCAGTCCGGGCTCCCTGTACATGGGGACGTGGACTAGAAAGCTCAGGCGGCTGCCAATGGCCATGGCTTCCTGTAGGGCCCGTCCATGCTGAGAGATTCCTTGATTACCACCGTTCCTGGAGCCATCTAGCCTTGGGCCGGGGATCACAATGCTCCTGACGCCGCAGAAATTGGCATAGGCTACTTCGAGATTCAGGACCTGGCGAGAGATATTGGCGACGGTCGGGTTGGAGGAACAGAGGTCAATCCAGGGGCTGATGTATGCTATGTAAGTGTTCACAGCAAGGCTAGGAAAGAGCGCGGTATCTTTCGGGGTGAGAGGCGGGACGATAGAATCAGCCGGCAATTGAGATTGGCCACGGTCGTCGGAATCGCTTTGTTCGGTGATTTGTGCCAAGTGACCCGCGACTAAGTCGAAAATACGGGAACGGAAATGGTTGTTGGTCACGGGAGTGGTGACAAAAGTGACCTGGCCATAAAGCGTGAGTTCGAGTTCATGAGCATGAGATCAAGAACGTGTGGCGAGATGTCTCGTATCTTACTCCTGTATTCAAAATCTGACCATACTGCATCTCAGTGAGGGGCTCTTCTCGAGAAGAGTCGTGCTGCCCAATATGGAAAGTAGGACGCAAAGGGCTGTGGTCGCCACCATCTTCAGACAGACCGTCGCTCATCATCTTGGCAGTGATGATGTTGTTAGTAAGTCTTTGACCGATCGACAGTGCAAGGTACGGAGTTGTGGTAAATCAAGAACACTGGGTCATTGACTTTCAGGGCGATCCTTGGGACAGTAAAGGTGCCAGGTAGCCCCTATCTCTCCTGGAAGGACGCAGACGAAGAGACTGGGAGTGAGAAGGGAAAGGGCTGTTTCCTTACCTTTTTTTTCCTGCCCTGTGCCTTGCACTGAAGATCTTGAAACGGCCAATGCAATGTGGGAAAGAGTGTGAAGAAGCTGGCTTAACGGCGCATCATAGGTGAAGTTGACTGGTCTAGCGCCGGACAATATCGTTTGTCTCCCTTAAAGCTTGATAGACACTTAATTGCCTAACAGGCTAAGAAGCTTAATAGCAATCGCGTGTCAACCTTTTTGCTGTCAAGGAGAGTCAAACCAGGATAGTCCGAGATATTTGCTAAGGTAAGGTAGTTGTTGGTGGGGGGGGGGGGGGGGGAACACCCCAGGACCCTGAATATCCATCTCTAGGTACCTTACCTTATCTGGGACAGTGCTAGTTGGAAGTACCAAAGAGGTACTCAGGCCCGGGATGGAGATTGTTAAAATAGCTGTGACATGTATGTCTTCATGTCTTGGCCAGTTTGTAAACTGTGGATTGTAAGGCATAGGGCTGCCGTACATATTTACATGGCAATATCTAAGATGTCAATAAACTGCGGTGGTTTGTGAGAAGAAATAAAGAGAGATGGGTTCTTAAGATCCATGTTAAAAACATGAAGAGACAAGGTAAGGTACAAGACAACACAGTGTCATTAAGAGGCCAGCTACCGTATCCCACCCATTATATATCTTATCGATAACATTTTTTTCCCTTATCGTCATCACGTTTATCTTGATTGGTCAGTTATGGCTCCCCTCCAGTATTTTTTTCCATTTGTCCTTTGCCTTGCATTCAGCCTTTCCTCAGCCTGCCTGGAAGGTGTCTCGTCCTCGCTGCCATTCCCTCCTGCCATCCGAAACGTCGGAATTCCTGTCGGGTCTGTTTTTCGTGGTGTGTACGAGGGCCGTCATCCCTGTATCACATTTGTTTTCGTTCCATTTTTGCTTCGAACAGAGACTCCTCTTGTCTTGACCGCACCATGGCCGACAACCACAACGGCGATCGATCCATCAAGCGCCAAAGCTCCGACGACGGCGAACCTTACTCCCGAAAAAAGAAGTCAAAAATGGACAGCCTCAATGGCGACGGCAAGGCCAATCCTTACCTCGCCCACATGTATGAAACCGATACCAACGGACACAGCGAGCAAGATCCTTTCGTAAACTTTCGCACCAGAAACACCACCGCCAAGGAGGCCGAGGCTGTGGAGGACCTCGACGTCAATGCTTTCACCGGCAAGCCCCATTCGTCGCGCTACTTCGACATTCTCCGCGTGAGGAGGGATCTTCCTGTCCACAAGCAGAGACAAGAATTCCTCAACAAGTACCACTCTAGCCAGATCCTCGTCTTCGTGGGAGAGACGGGTTCTGGCAAGACCACCCAAATTCCCCAGTATGTCCTCTTTGACGAGGTGCCCCATCGCTCCGGAAAGATGGTCGCCTGCACACAGCCTCGTCGAGTCGCCGCCATGTCCGTCGCCCAGCGTGTCGCCGACGAGCTCGACGTGACCTTGGGCGAGGAGGTCGGTTACAGCATCCGGTTCGAGGACATGACGAGCCCCAACACTCTCCTCAAGTACATGACCGACGGTATGCTTCTACGTGAGGCCATGCACGACCACGAAATGTCTCGCTACAGCTGTATTATCCTCGACGAAGCCCACGAGAGAACCCTCGCTACCGATATCCTGATGGCCCTTCTGAAGACCATCGCGGCCCGTCGCCCGGACCTGAAGATCATCGTCATGTCTGCTACCCTCGACGCCCAGAAATTCCAGCGCTATTTCAACGATGCGCCTCTCCTGGCTGTTCCCGGCCGTACTTACCCGGTCGAGATTTTCTATACCCCCGAGCCGGAAAAGGATTACGTCGAGGCGGCCATCCGTACTGTCCTGCAGGTCCACGCGTCAGAGCCGGAGGGCGATATTCTTGTGTTCCTTACGGGCGAGGAAGAGATCGAGGATGCTTGTCGCAAGATCAGTCTCGAGGTCGACGAGATGGTTCGCGAGATTGATGCGGGACCTCTCGCCGTCTACCCTCTCTACGGCACGCTGCCTCCCCACCAGCAACAGAAAATTTTCGACAAGGCACCTGCGCCCTTCAAGAAAGGAGGGACCCCTGGGCGCAAGTGTATTGTTGCCACTAACATTGCCGAGACCTCTCTGACCATCGACGGTATCGTCTACGTCGTCGACCCAGGCTTCAGCAAGCAAAAGATCTATAACCCTCGGGTTCGTGTTGAGTCGCTCCTGGTGTCCCCCATCTCCAAGGCCTCGGCACAGCAGCGTGCCGGTCGTGCCGGTCGAACCAAGCCTGGCAAGTGCTTTCGACTCTACACCGAAAATGCCTTCAAAAAGGAGCTCATTGAGCAAACACACCCGGAAATCCTGCGCTCTAATCTGGCGAATACGGTGCTCGAGCTAAAGAAGCTCGGCGTGGAGGACCTGGTCCATTTCGACCTGATGGATCCGCCAGCGCCCGAGACGATGATGCGGGCGCTTGAAGAGCTCAACTACTTGGCGTGTCTGGACGACGAGGGCGAGCTGACAACTCTCGGGGGCCTTGCTTCCGAATTCCCGCTCGACCCGGCCCTGGCCGTAATGCTCATCTCCTCGCCAGAGTTCTACTGTTCGAACGAAATCCTGTCAATTACGGCATTGCTCTCGGTACCGCAGATATGGGTACGTCCCGCTAGTAGCCGCCGGCGCGCGGACGAAATGAAGGCGCACTTCGCGCATGTGGAGGGCGACCACCTCACTTTGCTCAACGCATACCACGCGTTCAAGGGTCAGATGAACGCCAATGCCGACGTCAAACGCTGGTGTCACGAGCATTTCCTATCCTATCGGCATCTCTCCAGCGCAGACAATGTGCGGGCGCAGCTTAAGCGCATCATGGAGACCCACGAATTGAAACTGATATCGACGCCCTTCGAGGATAAGAACTACTACACCAACATCCGCCGTTCCCTCCTCGCCGGCTTCTTCATGCAAGTCGCCTTCCGTGAAAGCTCCGGGAAGGTCTACCGCACGATCAAGGACGATCAGGCCGTCATGCTGCACCCGTCCACTGTGCTCAAGACTGACTACGAATGGGTCGTCTACAACGAGTTTGTGCTCACCTCGAAGCAATATATCCGCACATGTACCGGCGTCAGGCCCGAATGGCTTTTGGTAAGACGCCCAATTTTCTCTTCCAATTTCGGTTCTCTTTGGTTTTTTTTTCGTCCCCCCCCCCACGTACTCTTTGGCTAACTTATTGCGCCCCCGCCAGGACATTGCACCCATATACTACGACCTCGATACCTTTGGAAAGGGAGAGGCGAGGACGGCTTTGATGCGTGCCGCGGAGAAGAAACGGCGGAAGGAGGCAATCAAAAAGGGTCGGTGAGGCATCTATCTCTCATAGGGACGGAACGATCAATGAGACGGGGGCACAGGATGAGCAGCAGACTCTGTACGTCGTGATTTATGGTTGGGCGTATTCGGTATCTGGTTTGATAAGTCCGACTGGAGTTGTTTTGTCTTTCATCCAGTCTTGGAGATTTCTTGGGGCCACCTCTATAGACAACAGGCGGTGGCAAGTTAGCGACCCGCAGGGCCCAGGACGTAGCAAAATATAGAAGAGACGGGTTTGAGATCTGGAAGCAGGGGAGAGAGCCGATGTTATCTAGATAAATGGGATGTTGTCCAACATGGATGGCAGCAGGGCGTAACATCTAGCTGGTCATTAACGACCGATACGCCCCACTCCAGTCAACGTTGGATGTGCTATACTGCACGAGAAAATGGCAGCAAATTCCTCCATTCAACTCACACTGGTCGCCAGGTGGAGTTTCTCGGCTTTTTATTATCGAAGACTTCTTTTATCGATCTCATCAGCAGTGGACTTCTTCATCTCGGTCTCAAATGTCTTATTGACATCTAGGGCTGAGGTTCAGGATCCTCCGTAGCACATCCTAGGTAGAAAGTCATATATGCTGTGTACCCGACATCGCCCGTTCCCGAGTTTGGTTTCTTTTTCTTTTCCTTCCTCTTTCTAGATTTCTTCTCTTTATGCAGGCCACCCTCCTACCCTCCATCCAAGTCCTAAATAGCCAGGGTCGCATCCTTTCCTTTCCGTTTTCAGAGATACTGGGAAACTCTCCTACGCTGAGTCTTGATGGGGCTTGAGCGATGTGGGCTGTTTTCCACGTGGGTGTGGCACGAAACGCTCCGCGAACGTCAGGCTTGGGTCCCCTCCTTTACCGTTCTGGGTCTCTCCTCTACACTATTCACCTTACCCGTCTATTGTTGCTCTGATGAGTTGATTGCCTCCTTCTCACCAACCATAACAGTCAGTTACATGCCGAAATACCACACCCCCGTCCCCATTTTATTGCTTTTCCTTTCGTATGCCTTGTTTCAACTTCTATGTGCACCACTTTATTCTTTTGCGGGGCCCCAAGAATCCGGAATTCTCGAATGTTTCAGGTTGCCTGCACGTGGGACGGGACGGAAGGGCCCGGGCCGGCGACATCGGAAACGGTCCGGCGCCGCCCCGGGTCAAGGAAACTCGAGAATATAATTTGTTTTATATCTTTCTTTAAAAAGAAAAATGGAAATGAAAAGTAAGAGGTTCTTCTCTAAGTACATATAATAAAGAAGCAGGAGAAAACTTATATGTAATATGGAGATATATGCCGCTAAATTATATAACTATATTTTCTTGAAATTGCCAGGCAATGAGCCAGCCCACTTTTCATTCGGATATTACAAGATAAGACTAACCACCGGGACATTCCCAGTTAATCGAACCATAATTATATGTACGACAAGCCACTAGACTGTCACAGATACCAAGTCCAGGCCAAGACGCCTTACCTATTACATTCGGTACTCTAGCTACAACGTAATACTTTTTCACCATCACCGGATACTGAGCGCGGTCACGTCGTCGGTTATGTCCTAGTTTGTGTTCTAGATGGTACTATTTAGATCTGTAAGCCTACCAATCCGATCGCCATCGCTAAACTCAACAAGCAATATGGACTCTCAGATTCGCATATATCCAACGAATATCATGGGGAAAAAATGCACATTTAAGAGGCACTTAGCGGATAAATTGCCCACATCTTCTTGATCTTCCCTGGTCAGTGCATAGAGGGGTGTAGACCAGGGCGTCTGTTCTCACCAAAGCAAGTCGGGGACGTTTGGACATGGCACGGACGCCTGGGCCCCAAGCTTTGACGGCCGCTCCTTTCCCGTGGGACGGTTTGATCAGTCGATCACCCCAGTACGCGTGATTTTTTTCTTTTCTCTTTCGTTTCCCTTTGAACTTCTCTGCCCAACCTTGTTTAGCTGCCCCTCCCTATCTCTCCAAACCTCTTCTATCTTTTATATTCCATCCTATTCTTACCTGGCATCTTCGTGCGGTTTATACCTCCCGTGGAACCGCTCAGAGTGTCTCCACAACAGGAAACCATTCCGAATGGTCACAGGGCATTACAACGTACTGATTTGCACAATAGAAATTGTGACAAAATTTCAAGCAAGTCATAACCCCCCAGTAGCATACCGTGCCAAGGGACCAGGTTAAACGGCCGAGAGTGGGGGAAAGGGTGGGTTGAAAGGCGGAAGGCCGGGGCCCTGGAGAGATACAACGTATGTCGAAAATACGCTTTGCGGGGACAGAACAAGAACCGAGCAACTAATACACGCTAGGACTCTTTGTTGTCTTGCATACACCGAAGTAATGGGAATGACAGGGAAAGGAAGCCGGGAGGCTTTAGTGTCGGCTTTCTACGAAGGCCGACGAATATTGAAGGACTTCACAGTTCAGGGGTCCATACGGACACCCATGTTTATTTTGGGACGTGGGGTTCTTTTTACTCCCACCTGTCCTGGCTTTACAACGCAGGACGGAGAGTAATTATGGCCTCACAGGGCCACCCTGGCGCCGACATGGGATCCCAGGATAATTAGCTTGGATGGATGTCAAGTTCATCTCGGGGAAATGGGTGTACTTGTGAGTGAGTAGTGCGGGAATGTGAGATTTTCGCCTCTATTGCTAGGTTAGTATGTATGAGCTCGGTTTTGACAACTCATCAGTGGCCACATCAGCCCTGGATATGGGTATCGTCCTTCTCCCACTCGCGGCCGGATTCATCCACACACTGTTCTTGATATACTCAGTACACTGGCAAAAGTTTGGGGGGAAAGAAAGGGGTAGACTTGAGTACAGAGGGGTGCTGATCTCCCACGCGGCTTTCCATGAGATTTCTCATGCCCCCCTCGAAAATAAGTCCGCTACCCTTGAGGCACATAATTACAATTTACAACCCGGCATCTTAATCCTCGTCCCGTTGATATTCGCTCTCTTTTTGATCAACTTGGACTTATCTATGAGTGTTCTGTTGCTCAGTACGGTGAGCATATGCCTCATAGAGTGCGTGCATATATCACGCATGCATTGGAATCACCACCACATTAGGGATCACCAAGTGCCACACAAGCTTCTATAACATGTGGAATCGTTTGCGTGATGGGGCCAGAAACTTACAGAACCACCTACTCCGTATGCGCGCTTTGATTTGCTGCTTAGTACAGGTACGAACGACTCGACCCTTGGCCGCTAATAAATAGAGGAGGCCCTCAAAAAGTCTCATCACGACTCACCATGGTTGGCTTTGTACCGGAAAAACGGTGGGTAAGAAATTAAGAAATCTCCAGAGTTTTCAGACGTATGTCTCAGTGACACAAGTGCAGATATGGAAGTTTATCACAACTCGACAACTGCGAGAGGAGCATGGAGCAGGCCAAAGGCGAGCAAGGTAGTTTCGGTCACTCGTGTTCATTGCGATGCGACGGATGAAGCCATTAGGACGGATCCGGACACCCGGCCTTTGCTGATTATCTACCCGTACTTCGTCTGCCTCAACTCCATTTGTGGGCCGAATGCACGTAATCGCCAGCACGAACACAGGCGTTGTAGAACCACGCCCGTTGATTGTGCCACATTATTTTGGAGTACTTCCATGAGCTAGCTGCTCGGGTCTCTTCGATGTATACAGAGCGAGCGTCGAAGATCTACTGGTGTCTTCGCCAGGCCGTCACTGAGGAGACATGTGTCGTCTAAACCTCGGCCTCAGACAACCGTGCTGGTTTCACTTTGCTTTGACAGGGACGACAAGCTGATTCGATCACCTCCTCGAATATAATTGACAAGCGCCAAGGAAAGTTCGTGTGACGAGAGGCCCGTCTCTCTGCATGTGCAGAATCTTCTGGCATGCGACTGTTTACACTATGGAGGGCGTGCGAGTTTGCACCATTCGAGACAGAAACCCATTTGTGATCGGCATGACTTATAACGGATCGAGCCGCTTTCTATAAGTGTCCTGCCCTTTGAAATGGTGTCACTTGTTAGATTTCTGCAAGCACCTGTGGGGTTCCTTGGAAAAGGTTCCGTGCAGCAAATAGAACAGCGTCGCATGCAGCCTACCTACTTTCAAGTACGAATAAGTCAGTCCACACGTCGAAGCAGGGAGGGGGGCACCAGTTCCTCGGAGTCTTGGACGCCTCCAGATGTATACAAGACGTAGCTTCATGTCTGGGTTCTGTTGAGTGCCAGCAACATGTGTTCGTACCTCGTAACCTCGCCTGTTTCCTACCCATCACCTCGCCCATTGCAGTTTAGGGAGCCTTGCAGACAGATCATGGATGGTATCCATGGTTGGGGCCTTCGTATCGCTGTTGGGATATATAAAGTCCCAGGAAGAGTCCCTCATCGAACCGCATCACTCTCACCCCTCAGACGCGACCTGATTCCAAAACTCGACTATCCTTGTTTCGCCTCAGCTCAAAAGTGCATTTCAACTGTAGCTTCAGTGAAAGAAGGGAAGAAGGAAGCGGCACAAAACAAACAGTCAGGCACAATGGTCGACCAATACCCTTGCAAATGGTCGACTCATCCGAGCGGGTGCAACCCACGAAACTGGGTAGAGGTTGCAGACGCAGCCTGTGCCGAGTGTCTTGTAAGTGGAATACCTGTGGTAAATCTACTACCCACAGGCAAGAGCTGAATTCCGTGGATAGGCCAAAGGCTTCCCTAGATGACGGATAATCTGGATCGCGGAGACGGTGGCAGCCCAATTCAATGTCATGGGACGGAGGTCTTAGAGTGGGAAGACTGAAAGGGAGAATGGTGGTGGGAGTTATACGGCGTTGGAATGTGTCTTGGACGATAATTAGTAAGGGGCAACTCAAGCTTACCATCTAGAAGACTACCGACATGTCTTCTGGTTGGCTCTGACTGGTGACCGTTATCAAAGCCGAATCAGGCAGCAAAGTCGCCATATCACAATCAAAGCAGCATAGTCGTCAATACTGCAGACTTGGGACCCACACAGGGATATCCGGATACCTTCCGTGCCTGACCGCGTAATCGGCCGTTAGGTTGTTCCACCCCGAGGGAGGTCTGTGCGACAGGGTGTCGTGAAAGGTGGGGTGGGGACTTCATGCTTATAGTGTGTGTCTAAATTTTTTTTTTTTTGGGGGGGTTTCTTAAGTTGTTACAGAGCCTCCTGTGATTTGCCGTACAAACAGCCCGGACAATGGGCTTCGTATCTGGTTTATTCGCAATCAGAGCGCAGACGAGATAGAGTGTAGCGGAGGTCTCGGGACAGCCGAATCTAGCGATGCTTAGCTGATCAGCGATTCATAGCTGAATCCAGACCATTGCCCCTGACCCAGCCAGGGTGCAAGAAAAAGAAGAAGACAGGACAGATCTAGAGGCCGAGATAAGAACGTCCGGAGCAAAAGCAGCGGATACTGGGGCGGTCCAGAATGAGTGCTATGTGGGCTAGATCCTGGAGAATTGAAGTGTGAGGAGGGGTAGGGAGGCAAACGAACAGAAACAGAAAGCCTGGACCGTTCTCCTGGGTCACCGCAACCCACGAGTCTGGTCGAGGCAGACTAGATGGAAATAGCCGTCCGTTATAGGATCCAAATGACGAGAAGTATTGGATCGGAACTAAATGATCGGCGGTTGGGGCGCGGGTTTTGGAACCTTGTATGGTATTCAGTGCATGAGCGTGACCAATGCCATCTGCTGAGTTGCGTTGGAATCGGCTGGATGTCCCGCTTCTTCCATGCTGTAGGCCAACAGATCGAAACAACTCGGCTCACCATACCTCGCAGTGTTCCGGCGACGGTAGTAATTTAGCAAGAGATTGTCAACCAGGTAGGCTGCTTGCTTCAAGAGGAAACCCTGCAGGTAAGCCGGTGATCGAAGACTTGCCAGTAAGCATATCCACTCGTTTTTCCGCTATGCCCTGCATAATTGTCGTTTCGAGGCACAAGGACAACAATGCCGTGCAGACAGAGGGCTCGAAATACGGCAATGATACATGATGGGGGTATGGCGCTGCTTGGGGTGGCAAGTTAGAATGCATCGCCGTTGGCCGACCACTCAGCCCATGGCGGACCAACGAAGTAGCTAACAGTATGAAAAGCCTATAGACCCGCCGGAGAGCAGCGTGCACGCGGCGCCCCAGGCAAAGCATTATCTTTCGAGGTCTGTTTCCTTTTCTACCATGATAAGTGCATATATGCCTTTCGGTTCGCTCGCCTACTACGTGGCAGGTCCCTTCGTACCTACAGGGATGGTGGCAAGTGGTAGTAGTCAGACTCCTTTCAGCTATTAGTTCACTTTAAACCACCGAGCAGCGAATAGCCTTGCAAGACCTCGCATCGTCCGGGGTTTACCGCGCCGAGAAATCTGCCAGTATCTAGAATGCGCCACTTATTAGAAGCACTTGATAGTACACGTAGTCACAAAGAGCCGCGACCCGCATGGGGAAGCGAAAGGGCTTCAAGCTACCAGGGTTCAGGGTAGACAAGGACGAACAAGTAAGAACTCGAACGAACTTCCAATTTGTACTTCGAAAGTGACAGGATTGGCAGTGGGATGTTGGAACTTGGCAGAAGCGGGAAATAATTACCACTATGCCATCATCCATGGTATCACTCAGCACCAACGGCCTGGGGGCATGCACACTCCACTAATGCTGCAGTTCCGTATCTAGGTTGGCCGGGCTCGGCAAACGCGGAAGCACCTCTGTCCAACCCCCGGAGACAGCGCGTCGCATTCAGCCGAGAATTTGACGCAGTGGTCTGTCTTGAAGAGTCGGCCAAGAAGCCCGCGGAGCCTCATCACTGAAGCCGTCCCGGCTTGGCCCGCAGCCTTCAGTGCAGCTTCCTAAAATTAATAACTCGGAGGCATTTGGTTGGTGCGACATCGAACCTGCAACACACCTTAAAAGTTGGACACTGGATTTCTGGCCAAGGTGTGAGGGTAGCTTGTTCCCCCCCTTTTCACCTCGTCGTCCGTTCATTGGAAGCTCTGCTCGGGGAAGTATCCGGTCGAGATATGTCATTGGACAGTCCCCTTGAAATACGAAGAGGTGCCTGCCTGTACTGGTCTTATTCGATCGACCTCGTCTTGGTGCTTCCTGAGAATTGCTTGGCTTCACTGTGGCACCCAATGACTCGGGAGACTGAGCGCACTTCGAGACCAAAGGAGTGACCTCTCTCTTCACGCGTCGAGTGCGGGGGTCTGAGTTGGGTTGTCGATCATCAGTGGCACAAGTTGCACATCTAACTGCTCACAAGGCCAAAAGCCATCACAAACTGGTGTGGCCAGCCGACCTGTCACCAGAATAAGTTTACGCCCCAGTGATAACTCCCAAGAAGCATCTCGACGGGTCATCTGTCATGGGATGGAGTGTAATAGTCCCAACTCAATGGGAACACCCTCTCCGTGTTTGCCCCTGTTGATGTTCCGACCTAGAGCGGATTGAGTTGTTATTGGCGACTCTCGCTTGTTTTTTTCTTCTTCTTCTTGTGTTTCTGCAGGCATGTTCGTAAGACCTAGTCTCCGTTGTTAGTCTCTGTATCATAAGTCCATGTAATCAAAGGGGTTGACTTATCCCCGGCCACAGGGGGTTGTCGTCCCGCCATTTCTGGAGCGACAACAACCAGGACTACCTTCCATTGGCCTGTCCGCTCCTTAGAGTCCAAGACGATCCGCCCAAGCTCCTGTCGAGATGAGGAAGAAGCAGATAGGTTTGCCCATGGACCGGCCAAGCACGAAGCTTTGACTCCAACTCTAGATGGGTCCCGGAGCCGTGGGTAGCGCCAATCAATTGCCGATCCTCTTCCCAACATCAGAGTGGACGATCAATCCGTGGTCGTACGAGAAATAGCCAAGACCCATCATCTGTGCAGTTGTACCAAAAGCTCGGCGAACTTGATTGCAGCTGACGACATCCCGACTGCGCCGTTAGGAGGGTCCTTCAGTTTGACTCGCGCTGCCAACAGGGAACTTTTTGTTTCCTCTCCAAAGCTCAGGGGCAAACAAGGAGGGCGTCGCGCACGGACAAAAAAATCCGAAAAAGCCGTGCTGTCATCCGCGGTTACCATCAATTGCTCGATGAATAGCCGAGGGAAATGTGCTGGTCTCCAATGGAGATCGGCAGAGCCTGGCGTCCCTCTACCTCGTGGGATAGCCACCCACGCGGGAGAGTTAATGCGTCTGGTCCGACTACGCGCAGAGCGTGACACACCTTCGCCGTGAGCCTAGGTGTGGCTTGAGGGGATGTGGAGCGGCTAGTCTGGGTTGGATGAAGCAGAACGCCCTCGAGTTCAAGAGTGTCTTGAGGCATTGGGGGTACCCAGAGCATTCAGTGTGGAACTGGAAGTCAGACCAAGCATTTCTGTCTGTCGCCTGAGAATCCCCCCACACCGAGGTTGCAACCTTCGAGGTGAGCCCTGGAGGGTGAGTGCCAGGAAGGATAGGTAACCTCGGAAGGTCGAAATGCCGGCCTGACGGTTTGTTTCCAGCACTGCGCCCTCCCCTTCTGCCGCCGACAACACTGATCGGGATGGAGAAGTCCACGATCAATTCCCAGAACGAGGAAGAAGTTCCTGCCATCTCCCCTACTCGGCCGACTGACATACTCGCCTCAGCAGTCGACTCTTGACCAAAGCACGAGTTCCAGTGGTGCGGTCCTGACGAGCGACCCTCAGAGGTTCTTACCAAACCGACTCATAGAACCGACCTCTCACGTTCCTAATGGAAACTGGAATGCTCTCCCGCCAGTCCGTCGACAACTTTCCCGGCTCAGACGTACCACTTCGCAGCGGCAGTGTCATCGCCAAGAAGAGGTCAACTTAGAAGGCGGCCTGAGCGGCTATGAACGCAATACTGAAACCAATAGAAATCTTAGGGTTAAGTTCCGAAACCCCTTCTCTCAGCCCGGCTGGGTTGTCTGATACTGACAACAAGCGTCCGCAATAGATCCCAGCGCAGCATACACGATGTCCTGTTACAGGCTCGAGAGCGGCGAATTGCGAATTTCCAGTCCTTTTCGAGAGGTCAATAGTAGACATTCCTTTCGGAAAAGAGGAATCGGAGGACTGTGGTGGAGGCGTTGCGCGTTGAGGAAATGCCCGTAGGGGCGAAGGACATCCATCCATCCAGCGAGGTCAGGGATTCCGTTGCTGCTTTCAAGCTCGTATCTCAAGTTCAATCAGTGACGACTTGCACATCCGGTGCTGGGATTCTCTTGTTGACCGTTGGTGAAGTGTAGATGTTGAGTTGGGAGAGAGATGGGAGGAGAGATGGGAGGAGAGATGGGAGGAGAGATGGGAGGAGAGATGGGAGGAGAGACGGGAGTGGGAAGTGGAGAAAAATGGTGGCAGGTATTAATATAAGTTACGGATATACGCGTAATAGGCACCACAAGGAGCGCTGTGGCGCGTCCGCGTCATGGCACGCGAAAGCACGTGACCTTTCCTCTCAGCCATTAGTCATTCTTCCGTCATCCAGAAGGTACCTGTACTTCGACCTTTTTTATGCCTACCTTACCTTAATCTTCTGGCCTTGACTGTGAAATTACACCAAGTGCATCGGGTCGCCTGCTCGCCTCTTCCAGTGTTCACACCAGCTGAGTTTCGGACCGCTTTACTGGTAGGGACGATGGCTTCACATTCGGAACCGTCTCGCTCTACATTGGCGGACATGCTTCTTGATGCAGGCAAGCGAGCTTTCGATCCATCGTTGGACCAGGGAGTCAGAGAGGGCGCCCTCAGCGAGTTCCGGGGGCTCATCGATCGGTAGACCTGACCTTGCACGCAAAGAAAAAGAATAGAAAAGAAAGAATTGATCGTCTCTAACCAGGGAATTGCAGCAATGGGTCATGGAATTTGCTTCCAGCTCTGAATGCTCTCATCAAGCCGAACGTTGCGCCGCCAGAACTCAAGCCTGAACTTATGAACACCCTCACCCGCATCCCACTACGGCCAGATGGAGTGCGTGGTACTCTGGAGTTTGTATTTTCGGTCCATCCTAGTAGCGCTTCGAAGACGTCCGAGGGGGCGATCCCTCAGAAACGCGGTGCCGATATCACCCAAGAAGCCTTGGCTGTGGCGACTCGGATTTTAACGTCTCCTCCGAGCTCGGTGCCGCCGGAGACGTGGTTCGCCGGGATCGCGCCCCAAGTGTTCCATCTTCTTGATGGCCTAGAAGGGCCCGAGCTTTCCAAGGCAGCCGCCCAAATCATCATGCTCGGCGTTCTCGGACGCAGGCAGTTTGGTGCTCCTGGTAGGCGATGGTTTGCAGGACCCTTCTGTTCTAACCACACAATGCTGACAACGCCCCTTCAGGAACTGCAGGTTGGGTTTGCTTTGCCGAGCCGCTTCTGTGCAGCATCAATCCATCCCTCCGCCGTGCCCCTGGCGATAGTTTGAGGAGCAATGACGTGTCTTACGAAATCATTGATTTTACGCGAGACAAAGTCTTGGTGACATCCGACGACCTTTATCGGTCCCTTGCGCGATTATCCATTTTGGTTAATTCGACCCCTTATCCAGCTCAGACTCGCCGACTGCTTGACCCCATTCTACCGCAGCTATGGGCCATCTCATCCTGGGTTGAGCCGAACGCCCAATATCAAAAGAGATTGGCCGAACCTGCCTCTTTACTTGTACAAACCTTCTTCAAGATTGCGGCTTCCCCTTCTAAATTATTTTCCATTACGAGCAATCTACTTTGTAAAGGGGAGTATTCAGAAGGCAGGCAGAGTTGGTGTTATCATGCTGCTGCGTCTGGTGGTATTGAAGTCATCGTGCCACGGCCAAGTAACGCGTCGCAAACCATGGAGCTGGATTGGAGCGAGTTGCAGCGAAAGTCGGAGTCTTTTGTGATACTAGTGGCGTCCAGTTGCACCTCTGACGATGTGTCTACTTTCTTCCTGAGCCTACTCGGCCGATGGCTCACCCGAACGTCGGAACACGCAAAAGCGGGATCTGATATTCTCACACAGGTGGATGATCACGGCGACTCGAGTCCAAACCTCGAGGAGCTCTTCGAAGGGACAATCCTTCACAAGCTCCTGGAGAAGATTCCGCAGAAACTTATCAGCCGGATTGAACAAGTTCTTGAGCTTGTATGCCGGATTCTGGACCCAGACACGTTAGCAACTCAGCCCGACGACATTGTGGCGGTGGCCCTGAGCCTCCTGAACTTGGTCCTCACGTCCCCAGTGTTCAGAAAGTCCAATCTCAAGCCGCAGGGTCTCCAAGTATTGGAGCAGAGTCTGGACAGTCTAAGCAAGCAAGGCCGTCCCGAAGTATCCACAACCGCGAGGAATCTATCTTTCTTACTTCAGTACCGCGACGCGGCAGATGAAGGGGAGCAAGATGCATATGTCCCGACTAACAGCCAGATCGAGGACAGGAACACGTATAAGCTGGCCATTTCGTACATCACACAGTCGGATAATCCACCGCCTGTTCGCTCTGAAGGGTTGAATCTCATATCTGGCCTGATCATGAGAAGCAGTCCTGCCCTGGACATCCAGGCCGTTCTTGTTCTTCTCTCTTCGTTGTTGCAAGATGACGAGGACTTCATCAACCTGCGGGTCATCAAGGTATTCACCCAGCTGGCCAATAAGCACCCCAAGGCCACTGTGAAGGAGATCCTGGAGCACTACCTGGACGCAAAGGAAGCCATCTCGACGGATGTCAGGCTACGCTTTGGCGAGGCTCTTCTCCAAGTGGTTGAGCGTCTGGGGCAGACTTTTGCCGGCCACGTCGCGAATCAGGTAGTTGAGACACTACTTTCGATCGCTAGCCGAAGGGGTTACCGCCCCAAAACTGAAGCGAGACAAGCCCGGGAAGCGAGGCTTCAGGCGATGAAAAAGAAACAGGCAGACGAAGCCTGGGGAGGCGAAGTGCCCGACCTCGGGGATGAAGTTCCCGAGGATGAAAAGGAAAGTAACGACATCTTGACGCAGATCGTTGAGGGTTGGGAGAGCCGGCGGGGTAGTGAGGATGTGCGAATGCGGTCTTCTGCGTTGTCAATCCTTGCTGCAGCCATTGAGACTAATGTTTCAGGTATCGGGGCTGAGCTCGTCTCAGCGTCGGTAGATCTCTGTGTCAACGTCCTTACTCTGGAACCGGAGATCGAGAAAGGTATCCTACGGCGAGCAGCTGTCATGCTGGTTCTTAGTTTCGTGAGAGCTCTGGACAAGGCAAAGCAGACTGGGCGGAGGATTGGTTTTGGGTTAATGGATCAGAGCCGAGAGGATATCACGCGGGTGCTCAAGTATGTTGCTGTCACGGACAATGATGGTCTTGTTCAGCAGCATGCGAGGGATGTAATAGAGAGCCTGGACAACTGGAGGATGGCTTCCTTACTCCCTCACGAGGGGATTGGACAGCGAAGCACTGGCTTGGAGCGGCTCTCAGGGCTCGCATTGAGCCCGGGGCACATGGGGTCAAGTCTTCAGGAAACAAGCACAAGACCCAAGATAGAGGAAATTGAGTGAGCAAGTCTGGTTAAAAGGGGTAAATAATAGACTCGAGTGAGTCGAGTCCTTCGGGTCTGCACGAACTGCCAGGATGAAAAGATAAGATTGCGGGAAGGGGAAGGTCACGTGAACACGTGACACGCGTTGGTATTAGGTATGAGGGGCACAAGCGTCGCGGTGCCTTGTTTTTCGGCGGATGTTTCTCCGTATTTTCACTATTGAATTGCGTTGCAAAGCGATATGACACGGCGCAACATCATTGCGGACTCCGACGAAGATGACAACGATGGTGTTTCCACTCCGGAGCAAAGTCCCTTAAAAGGCATCGGCGCCACGTCCGCGCGGTCGCCACCTGAACCTTGCCTAACGCCACTAGAAGTGAGCGCTGCTTCGACAGATGGAGTTCTCTTTCAGTCAGACCTTCGCCGTCAACATCTTCCATCCGGATCGCACCCGGGGGGTGGCTCAAGTTCAGTCTCTGTGCATGCTAATCAGCCGAAACAGGTGGCAGCGACTGGAAACATATCCTCGCTGACTTCCATTACCGACCCCGTCGACAATTCCAGACATGCAAAGAAGGGCAACATCAATTCGGCATCGGACGACTTGACGCAAGTGACGACTCCCGGACGAACTACCCACACCGCGATGAGGAACATCTGGGACGTACCGAGTAGTCCGGACCTCGAAGCGTCCGAAATACGTGTCAATAAAAGAAGGCGTCTTTCGCTAGAAATGCCACAAGATGGAATCGAGACAGCAAAGAAAAGGCACAGAAAGAACGACCTCTATTTAACCGTTGAGGTCCAGTCTCCGGAACAGACACCAGCACAAGACGTCTTAGTCTTAACAAGAGTTGAGCGACCCTCCCCTCCTCGTCCTGGCAAACGGAGAAAGATGGAGCGGGAGGAAACGACATCACAATCCGGTTACGGCTCAACTTCCATTGAGGCTGGTGGCCTAGACAACAATGCTGTTGAGTCGTATAACACTACAGTTCCCAATATGGACCAGGAGGCAACCCAACCGAATATAGATCGGTCAATCTCGCTCTACGTTGAGCCGCACACCTTAACAGCAAGCCAGAGAATTCTCTACCAGTCACTCCACCCATCTCCGGACGATCAAGGTCCTATTCCTCCCTTTGATACTCCAAACTACCACATAGGCACCCGATCGAGTGGAATGACGACAGTTGCCTACACTACACCCAGCCAGTTCAAGAGTCCTACTTGCGCCAAGATGCCGGAGCGCAGGGAACTGGCCACTTCACCGCGGTCCCCAATACGCGAAAGGAGACGAAGCTCCCAGAACCGGTCTTCTCCCGACGCGATCACTCTGGCCGAAGAGCGGACAACGGAATCCACAACAGTAGATACCGAGTGTCATGGTCCGGACGGCATGGACTTACCTCGCGAGCATTATTCACCTCGACTAACTCGGCGCAGGGGACGCCGTGCGCCTCATCACGAAGCATACCTGGATCACTCGGAGCCGGAGTGCGCTCCAACTGCCGCCAGGATGGGGGATTCTAGAGAAGCCCCCCGGGCGTTGTTTGATCCAGGCCCGGACAGCATTCCACCGGGCAAAAGACAGAGCCGTTCGCGGAAGGCAGAAGAAGCACCGAAAGTCCCAACCGACGTTGGAGGCGATCATGATCCAGGAAAAACGCACAGCGAAGATGGTGGGAACGCAATCGACGCAGGCGTGCCACTTGCTCCACAAACAGAGAAGAAAGGCAGAAAGAAACGTGGTAGACCAAGGAAAGTGGCCAAGGTTGCTAAGGCTAGCAGCCTGCGAAACATTGACGACGCGCAAAAGGGGGTTGTCCCTGTAGATGAATGGGGTGATCAACCTGTGCAGGATGCAGTTGGCTTGCAGAAAGCTGAGGAAGCACAGATGGAAGACATTTCCCCAACAAGAAAAACGAGCGAGGAGAGTGTGGATGGGCAGGAAACGGTCGCCGCCCACGACCCAGCGGATGCCCTTCCCACTCACGCGCCGAAGGACTTCCAAGTAGCAACCAACAGCCAACCAGCCGTTGGTGCTGCCCCCAGCGACATGGATATGCCAGAGGATGCAGAAAGCGGACAACTTGTAAAGCACGCGGGGGCTGGTGATGTAGCAGCAGAAAAGGCTGACAACCCAAGTCGAGACTTGTCCCGGACAAGCAGTCCGGTCTGGCAATCAGGGAAGCCGTTGTACCGAGTCGGTCTCAGCAAGCGGTCACGGATCGCGCCGCTCTTAAAGTCGCTGCGGAAGACCTAATAGGGAAGAGGTCAAGACTGGGCTTGCGCAATCGAGAGGAGCTAGTGATATGCAGTAGTTATAACACGAGGGCCTTGCGGCCCGCTGCCTGGTCTGCCTGGTTGTAAACTGAGAAGGCCAACCACAGGAGGTGGAGTCTTTGGTGTAAATACGAAGCAAGCTAGTAGATGGTCGTTTGCTGTCTCCACTGACGCATATCTCGGATGTTTTTGCTGGGTAAGGCGACTTGCATGCATGCCGCAATGGATATGAATGATCGTCAGTTCGTTCGGTTGAACTGGTAGCGGGGACACCCCTCCCCACTGCAGGCGTTCGCACCCATCCGGCATGTTTATAATTGGTGGATGGTTCTTTCAGGCGCTTGAGGGATGGTTGAAATAGGAGGTAGCGGTTGCAGAACCACAGCCAGAGAGGATGGTGGGTAGAGAAGACCATCACCAACCTCACTGTCTGGATTTCTGGCGTAACAGCTACGCAGGTTGGCCCTCTTTATGGACATATAGGTCATCATAACTTCCCATGATCGTTGGTGTTTATCTCGCCTGCGCAAAGCGCAACGTCTTAGAACAAATATTCGAGTGAGATTGGCTGAGAGTGAGGCCGATAAGGTGAAGTTAGGGCTTCTATCGCTTTCTACGCGTGCTCCCTCACCTTCGTATAACTTTCCAAGTGTTTTCTTGTCTTCGACTTCCTGCCTCCGCCTCCCCATACCTCCGCCCCTCAAACTCCCGACCAGGCGGTTTCCCACTTGTCTTGCTGTTTGCCTCCGCCCGACTTGACGCTTCCACGGAGTATGAGGGTAGGTGAATGGCTTTGCGTGGTTATAGTCGTCGTCGTCCTATTAGCTGAATAGAACCAATGCGGACATACTTCGTATAACGCAAGCTGTTGAATGCCAAAGTCGCCCCTTGCCAGTGGCGCTAGGGATGGTGCCCGATCTCGGGTTTGGATATTTACTCCGTATGAGGGAAGAAATTCTTTACTTCGTTACCGAGTCGCGAACGCGTGGTCAGTGGGTGGAATCAGGTGTGAGAGTGGAGACACTGGACTTAGTGTCTTGATGGCTGTGTAGCATTGGTTGGAGTGAATCTGAAGTCACGAGCCGTGAGCATCTTGGCATAATGAGGTATCAGTACGCCCCGTCCTCTCTTCCTGACGTCTGTGAAGCCCAGCATCGTTACCTGTCGAAGCTCATAGGTACCGCCGTGGTACAGCGAAGATACCTAAAGTCTAATACAGTACTACCAAAAACGAGGGGGTCTAAGCCGCTTGCTGTTAGCTCTACCGTCTAGCACCCCGCCAATGGCTTGGTAACCGAATGTATCACGGTCCACCATATCCTAAGGTACCACAGATCTCATTCCAGTTATTAGGTACCTACTACTTGACCATCAACCTAATTTGGACAGCGGATAAACCCCCGACCTTCGGTCGTATTTTTATGACTCGATTTTTCTTCTTTTTCCTTTTCTTGTTTTGCGGGATATCTACTCCGTAAATCAATCTCCTTCCCCTCCTCTTGTTCTTCTCATCAGAAGGACTTATCCAGCTCTTCTCTTTCGTCGCTGGTGGTAGAATCAGTATCAAGCCCTTGACGACGAACCCCGCCAATCCCACGACGCACCGTTGATCGGCCCGTCTTGTTGCCGAGATTTCGGACCCCTCCCCCTCCTTTTTCCGAAACCGCAATCTCTCACGCTCTGCTTCCGCTTCCCGGCTCGCCTCCGGCGTCAACTCCCCCGACTCCGTGATCGTCACGATGGCTACGAACGGCACCACCGATGGTGCCTCCAACAGCACTACTCACACTCCGTCCCAGAGATACCTCAGCACGCGCGGAGAGGACAGCGGCGTATGCATCACCTCCCTCCCCCTTGCTTCGTCCCCCCCCCCCTTCCGGGGGAACCATCACGCCACAGGCCGCAAAAATGGAGCATACGAGTGATATTTTCCGTTGGAAGACACGCTGACCATGACCCTGTTTTCCAGTTCTCTTTCGAAGAGGTCGTCCTCAAGGGTCTTGCCTCCGACGGCGGGCTCTACATCCCGGAAGAAATCCCCCAGGCCCAAAATTGGCGAAGCTGGAAGGATCTTTCCTTCGCCGACCTCGCCTTCGAGATCCTCTCTCTGTACATTTCCCCGTCCGAGATACCGCCTCAGGATCTCAAGGCCATTATCGATAAGAGCTACTCGACCTTCCGAAGTCCCGAGACGACCCCGTTGGTACACCTCAATGACAACCTCTACCTCCTCGAACTCTTCCACGGCCCTACCTTTGCTTTCAAGGATGTCGCCCTTCAGTTCCTTGGCAATTTATTTGAATATTTCCTCGTTCGCAAGAATGAGGGTAAAGTTGGAAAAGGTGTGTAGACCTCCGTACTTGTCCGAGATGTCTCTCCCCCATATATTTCCCCTTTCTTTTCTACCTTTTTTTTTTTTCTTTTTTAAATATATTTTTTTTTTTTGAAGAATAAGTTAGACTTACCAGGTCCCACTCTCTGTACAGACAGACACCATTTGACCGTCGTTGGCGCCACCAGCGGCGACACCGGATCGGCCGCTATCTACGGCTTGAGAGGCAAGAAGGATGTTTCAGTCTTCATCTTGCATCCCAAGGGACGCGTGAGCCCGATCCAGGAGGCGCAGATGACCACCGTCCTGGACAAGAACGTTCATAATCTTGCTGTGACGGGCACTTTCGATGACTGCCAGGTAAGGCGACGATGATTTCTGGCGAAGCCGGGCGACGTCTGCGTTCCTCTATACCTCCATTCGACGTACTAAAGTTTCTGGTTTTCTTAGGACATCGTAAAAGCACTTTTCGCGGACAAGGATATCAACGAGACGCACAACCTCGGCGCTGTCAACTCGATCAACTGGGCCCGAATTCTAGCGCAGATCGTCTACTATTTCCACTCCTACTTTTCCCTGGTCAGGGCGTCGAAGACCTCACCGCCGTTCCGGCTTGGCGAGCGGGTCCGATTCGTCGTACCCACAGGTAACTTCGGCGATGTGCTCGCGGGATATTTCGCGCTCCGCATGGGCCTGCCCATAGCCAAGCTGGTCATTGCTACGAACGAGAACGACATCCTCCATCGGTTCTGGACGACGGGACGGTACGAGATCCATTCAAGTCAGGGCGCTGCTGCGACGGGTGGTCTCGCGACGGACGGCGCGAAGGCGCACGAAGAGGGCGTGAAGGAGACGTTGAGCCCAGCCATGGACATCCTAGTGTCGAGCAACTTTGAGCGCCTGCTCTGGTTCCTGGCGTACGAGTACGCCGCTGGGGCCAGGATGGACAACGAGTGGAACAAGAAGCAGGCGGGACAGGAGGTGTCGGCATGGCTCAAGGAGCTCAAGTCGGCCGGCGGATTCGGGCCTGTGCAGAGAGACGTGTTGTCGAGCGCGCGGACGGATTTCGAGAGCGAGCGCGTCAGCGACTCGCAGACGATCGACACGATCAAGGACTTCTACCGCCGGAAGGGCTACGTTCTGGACCCCCACTCGGCGGTGGGTATCGCTTCGGCCCTGCGATCGGTGGGCCGCACCGGCCCGGAGGTATCCCACATTTCGCTTTCCACGGCACACCCTGCCAAGTTCGCGGGGGCGGTGGAGCTCGCCCTCAAGGACGAGGAAGGGTTCGACTTCCAGACAAAGGTGCTACCGGCCGAATTCGCCGACCTGGAGAACCAGGAGAAGCGGGTCACTTTCGTGGAGAACGACTGGCAGAAGGTCCGGGAGCTGGTCAAGCATCAAGTCGAAGAGGAGCTCCGGGAGGAATAAGCCCATCACTCGGCCGAGGACCACTGGCAGTCGACGTGAGGGATATGAGGCACCGAAGATCATGAGAAAGGGTGCATGGGCCCCCGGTGTTGTGGGGGTGGGGGGTTGCATTTGCCGTGGATTTCCCGGTGTGCATAACTGTCTCACAGGGTTGGGATTCTTAAAGACGGGGACGAACACCCACGTCCTCCAGATATAGAGGCGCGGGTCGTATTGGATATGGATCTTTTAGAGATTTGGAAGAGACGAAGCAACGTGTGTGCTGTATAAAAACGCCGTTTCACCTAAGGTACTTGAGACTACGTTTCATGCTGGAGCTAAGCGGGTAGAGATGGGGAGAGGCATTAGGCAACATGAACAGCAGTCTTATCATTAGACAGATGGGCACGTCTGTAGTTCTCCATACCAAGACTTGATTCATGAAGAAGAAGGGGGGAAACAAGGAAGTTGAGGAGTAGCCCGACAAAAGGGCCGAAGCACTTTACCAATCACATCGTGCAGAATGCTTCGGTCCTTTTGCCTGTTGACTATATCGAAGTACTCGTTGCGGGGTTGAACTGAAATACATGTATTGGATGGTACGGAGTAGTAGTATGGCGAGACGACCGTTGATGTTGGAGAACAAAGATTCGCGTAAAAAGTCATTTATAAGAGCATCCATTAAATGTCCCAGTACATACGACCATACCCATTGGAAAACTCGGGATCCCGTCCGCTCTCCCCTAGATAAGCCAATGAGGGCCGGATTAGTAGTTGGGTCGGTGACGACCAGCGAATACCCGGTGTTGTATGTCTTTTTTGTCCTTTTTTTCCGTCTCTTCTTTAAATTTCATTCCCTGTCTCTTTCTCCGTGGCCGTGGAACTGAGCCTTCTAGATCCTCCACCTCGACCTTTTTTTACTCCAACGTTGAACGACATAATTACGCATACACTTCCGTACGAGGGTTCACACTTCGGCATTTTTATAACAACCGAGGGCATCTCGCAGTCTCAAACCTAATTGATCGAACTCCTAGCACACTCGCAATTGACGCAGCACCGTTCTCCTCCTAGCCAACTCGGGATCCCGAAACATGGGGCATGGCTGCCATCCGTTGGCTCACGTTGTCATCCCATGTCCCTACCTCAAGTCGATGTAGGTAGTCACGGAGGAACGACTCGCCGACTCGCGTTATCATCATGATGCCACAGAGAGAGGCCGGTAGCTACAATAGTGGCTAGTGGATACAAGGGTTGACAAAGGTTGACAAGGGTTGATCTTCGAAGCAAAGTAGCCTCAATCAACCCTGGAAGCCGTTTCGTTTTGGGCTAAGTTCGGTCCGTCAACGGTCAAGGCAAGTAAGCATATCCCTCAACAGTCCTCATTAGCTCACAAGAGTGAAGGGATTGGAGGGCTATGACGTGACTCTCGCTCTCCTGGGAGAAGAGATTCCACATTCAATTTGTTTCGGGATCTCGATGAGTGTACAACGTAAGGAGCTAGATCACTGTCCTGCCTAGCTACAAAGGATCTTCCTCTCCCATCTGCTCCTCCTTCTCGTCCTTCTCGAATCTGGCGGTTATCTTTCTCGTTCCTTTATCGCTTCGCCCTGTCCCCCTACGAGAATGGTATCTGAGCCTCTTGGCTCTTCCCAATAGATACATTCCATGGCCAAGAACCCTTCAAAAGTCCTAGGACAGAGCCTATTCGAGTGTTGCTAATATGTTCACGACGCTCCCGCCACTTCTAGCCATTGGCACCTTCGCCATGGCTTCATTGGCTCAAGTTTCGTCAAATCCTACCGTATGGGGCTCGGTTGCCATGGTCATGCAAGGCGAAACCACGCCCATGTACGAGAATGTAACCAGCGCCTTGACTCCTCGGGGAGCCCATCAGATGTACCGACAGGGAGCCTACTTCCGGTCTCACTACCTAGTAACGGATGAGTCCCTTGGAGACGGGCGAAACCAGGCGGCTGCCCGGCCGATACGCGGGATCCAGGGGCATGCCATCGACAATTCGCAGTTATCCATTCTGACCGGCACGGACCGGCACGCCATAGCTGGTGCTGGTGCTTTTCTGCAGGGCCTCTATCCCCCAGTTGAGGACGCCTTCCTAGATGCCGATATGTCTTATGATGCCGCCTCAGACAGCTCTGTCAACTTCCCGTTACAGGGATACCAGTACCCTGCCGTCAACGCATTGTCTACGTCAGAGGAGAATTCCATCTTGTAAGTATCTGCGCTTTGCATGTTCGCATACTGAAGAGACAGCAAGGGGTTGTTAGTTGCTCCTGGCTGACACCATCGTCTCACCTACCCAGCCTACAAGGACATGTGGGCTGCACGGAGTGGTATAAAGCTGTGGACCAGCTTCTTTCGGATCCGACATTCGAGAACCAACACTTGACTTCTCTGGAACCCTACGAGATGATATTTTCCAGGCCGCCCCTGAACGGCACGATCCCCGCGAGGCTCGACGTCTTTCACAATCCATATGCCGTCTACGATTACGTGAGTTATCTATACCATCACAACCGGACCGTCTACGAAGGGATGCAAGACCGTATCTTTCAAGAACCGTCAATGAGCTTCATTGAGCGGAACGCCCTACAGCATGAGTTGGCCCTCAATGCCGACGCCACCTTGTCCGACGCCACCACCGACAATCCCATCCGCACCATCGCAGGCCAGACTTTCGCCCAGGGGGTCCTTGACGCCCTCGACAACGTCATCAAAAGCAACGGCTCCACCCAGAAACTGACCGTCATGTTCGCCTCCTACCATCCTTTCCTCGCCTTCTTCTCCCTCGCCCAGCTTAATCGCAAGTTCCTCGATCCCAGCTCTCCCTTCACGACTTTCCCCACGCCGGGTGCCGCCATGGCCTTTGAGCTCATAGGCGACGAACCGGACCGGCCCAGCGCCTTCCCGTCCGAGGACAATCTCTGGGTTCGTTTCCTATACCGCCGCGATGTGAACGAGTCCTCCCATCTTCGCGCCGAGAGCCTCTTCGCCATGCCCCGCAGCGACTTTACCATGCCCCTGGCCACCTTCCGCAGCGAGATGAGCAAGTTCGCCGTCGATGTCTCTACTTGGTGCGACACCTGCGGCTCCCCACTGCAGTTCTGCGTCGCGCGGCGTGATCTCGTGTCTGGGAACTATTGCCAGGGCTGTCCATCCTACGACGGCGGCCGTTCCAAGGGCCATATAATCGCGGGCTTCGTCGGCGCAGGCATCACGCTGGCCGTGCTCTTATTGATCTTGTGCCTCGGGAGGGCCATTGATTGCATGCGACACAACCGCGGAGGTGGTTTGGTCTCTTCCGGGATCTGGGGCTTCAGCTCCGGTACCCGTCAAGGTATCAAGAGTGCAGAGAAGAGGGCGAGCGATGTCGATCTGGCCGTGTCGCGGCACGGGACTCGTCATGAGCGCGGTGGCAGCTGGGAGTTGCGGGGTGGACCTGCCCTAGGTATGCGTGCGGCCACGGCTGTTTCGCCTGTCAGCGGCGACCACGCTGTTGGGCTAAGTAAAAGTGCTTCGTGGACAGGACGGACGCGGGAGGTCCAAGACGATGGGCAAAGTATGATGAGCGACGACATTACCCTTGCGTCGCCTGTGCATCCCCATGAGGGTGTTTAACCTGAATACCAAGTCGGGGAAACCAACAAGATGCGTAAGGTCCTTCGCTACCCGACATTCTGTTACGGTACTCTTACGGTACTCTTTCATTCGTGTTTCTATACCCCTTGGTTCTTCCCTCATTTCTTTTTCTAAGTAACGACTCGACTTCCGAGGGTAAGGGTCTTGTTTTACACTCGCTTTGGAACCCTAGAGTGAGAGTTGGTTGCAATTGAACAGGGCCTTTGGATCAGGCCTAGGACGACGGCTGCAGTGAAAGTATGAAGTAGGCAACTGTGTATGGAACATGAAGAAATAGGCAACCTCCCAATGAATTGGGACTCGTTGAACAAAGGAGGTTAATTCACCATGTCGTCCGTCTTAGAACTATTGAAATACCTGGCCGGACCAATGTCAGATAAGACTGGCCATTGTTTGGTGATGCAGCATAAATAATTCAGGAGCATAGCCAGGTGCATAGGTAGCCAAGGAAATAAGGAACACTAACATCGGTACACAGATAATTTACACAGTCCGGCTAAAGAAGGTCCTGCTATACCTAGGGCATACAGTTATATACACGAGCCAGACTCGTATCAGGGAAAGGCAGGAAATCAAATGCAGCCGAACAGAAAGCAGCGAGGCAAAGAGACCAAGCTAAAGACGTCGTATATGCAAAACACCAAAGAGCAGATGGTAGCTGATCCTCCATATAGACGAACTATGAGCCTAGAATCCGAGAAGAGGAAAGGTGAGGGCCTGGAGAACTCGAGCTCAGTATTCAAAAAGCAAAAACAGGGTTAGACGAGATGTAACGTCAATACATACAAAGTCGTCAGATGCATACGAGATCAAGCTTCAACGCTCCGTTCAGCGCCAGATGCGTCCGAACTGGAACCGTTGGAGCAGTACGCAGAGTCAGAGAATGCCTGGTTGTCGCAGGAATTGAGTGACGAGTCATCCACGACACCAAAGACCTTTTCGAATTCCTCCCACACCTCGGGGCCAAAGAAACAATCATATGGGTCTCCGATTTCTGGGGTGGCAAGTGGGAAGGAAGTAGCTGCAGCCTGGGCCGGAGCCGGATCCCCGGTGGGAGCGGAAGCCCCTGTGTCCGAGAATGCAGGTAAAGACGACGGTGTACCGGCTCGTGAGCACGACGACGGCAAAGTGTTCGGATCGTCCATGGCGGCTGCCTCATCCGGAGGACCGATGGCCTGGAATGTTTTGAGGAGCTTCGTGTGCGCGTCGCGAACGAACTGGGAGATTTTCCCCCTCAGATTCTGCGCGACGTCACTGAACTCCCGGTCCACTGCGGCCTCGATCTCTCGTCGGATGGACTTGGGCATCTCGCGCCGAAGGAACTGCATGTAATTCTTTCCATAGTGTTCCTCCATCTCGGCAGCAGAGGGGCCTTCCTGATATGTTTGAGAATTGTCCGCATGGTCGTAGACTTTGGGAGACCTCGTCAGATAGGTTCGATAGAGAGTGAGAAAAGAAAGACAAAAAACAGCAGGGGACAAAAAAAAAAAAAAAAGGGGGGGGGGGGGCTTCTGCTTACAAGGAGATGGAATGTCGGCGTCCGGCTCCAACTCAAACAGGATGCGATACATGTCAGACCACTTTTCAACCTCGGTCTTCTTGCCACTCGAGCGCGCCCGGAGTTTGGTCTCTTTTTCCTTGTCGAACCCGTCGACAGGATCAAGTGCAAAGGAATCGCGTAGCGGGCAAGAAGTCTCTGATCTCTGATGGTCCTCAAGCTCCGCTTTGGTCTTGAAGAATCCACGGCAGCGATAACACATGAACTCGGGAAGACTGTGACGTCGATAGATGTGCTCCCTGACATATGGTCCATTCATGTTAGATGAAGAGCCCTGCATGGGGGGGGGGAAGGGAAGGGCATTTGATTATGGGATTGGGATTGGGATTGGGATTGCGAAGTGACGGACTTAACCCTGTGAACAGTGTCCCAGCCCGGACCGCAGCAGTTGCGGCAATTGTGTCTGACGGGGTCCCGCTTGTAATAAGGGCAAGCAAACTTTCGGCGACTATCATCCCTATCCTTCTTGGAGCGTTTGGGGGTCCTATCCTGTCCCTCCTGATCTTCCTCGTCATCCGAGTTTTGATCCCTGTTATTACGGTGCAGTTGGCGCTTTTGACCGGCAAGTGAACAGCCAGGCCCTCCAGAGGAGGTGTTGCAGCCCGAAGCCGAAGCCGACCTCTTAGAGTGGCCAGAACGACTGTTCCCGCTGCCACTACCATCGCTTGTCTCTTCTTCATCCTCCAAGGGCCCGAGTGCTCTGTCAAGCCATTCCCGGATCACGGCCATCAAAGAGTCGATGAGTTGTTTTTTCCGTCGACTAAGGTAAGCCTGGGCGAAAGCACTGCCGGCGGCAGAGATAGTCGCGCCTGGTGAAGGGGAAGGATATTGAGACGAATAACCAGCTGGAACATGTGACGTCTCAGACGAAGGAAGACCAAGGGCGACGGCACAGGAATTTGCAATATCCGAGGCTTTACTAGCGTCAGAGCTCTCAACCCTTTCCTCCTTCTTACTACAGTCGGCCGAATCGGTTGTCGACAGACCTGGGCCCGTCAGAGAGGTAGTCTAGCACGTCTTCGTTAGCAATGGGAGGCTTGTCAAGCGGGGGAGGAGTGAATGTGCGGGAATAGCTGACAGGCTCGGTGGAGGTTTCCCCCTTCGAGGTCGATTCGATGATCGACGACTGAGTCGTTGTCTTGCGCGCACTGCCCCTGTTCTTCTCGTCTTTACGCATATCCGTTGAACGGCTGCCTGGACAGCGCGTGAGGCGCTTGAGGCGCTTGAGGCGTTTGGGGTTGAATGAAGGGGCGAAATACCGGGGAGGGGCCCGGAAGACACCGAGGGTTTGATGCCAGCTATCAGGCCGAGACCATGAAATGCCACCGAGGGGTATTTGATTGAACGGGCCGTGACGGGCAACACACAGCATCCTTGGGTAAGCTTGCCTGGCTAGGTAAGACCCTTGGTCATCCTTCCCTCTTTGCTGAAGGTGATATGAGTTTGATGGGAAGAGCCGAGAAGTACTATCGTGGGCAGGATAATGTATCAAGCAGATGGCGGTTGAGAAGGGGGAGAAAGCATGAAGAACAGGCTTTGAGGACATGAAATCAAATAAATACCTAGACGGCTGGCTGTCTGGTCAAGGGCCACTGGCACCCGAGAGTGGAAGAGCAAATAGTTCGAAATGCGCAAATGCGCAAAGCCCCATATGGAGTATTCGACATTCTTGTATGTCGCACAAACGCTCGCCGTGCCCAAGTCACGAGTGTTGGGCAGTCTTCTATTCCCGGTGCCGTAATCGCGCCAGCTGGGAGAGGACGCGACACTGGCGGGGGATGCGAGATCAAGCCGATCAAGGCTTACAAGGCAACCAGTAAGGAATCTTGAGCCTTCAACACCATGTACGTATGGACTGGGATACGGTGTATGGGGAAACCGTGGGGGTTGTCTCCGCCAATGCACGTCGCAGCGTCAACGAACGGCGCGTACGCGCCATGTTGCGCATAGCATGAGCCATCCAGGGGGATTGCCATGTTCTCGGACGAAGTAGTTGTTAGTCGTCGCCGCTTTGCGCAACAGTCTGCTGCGAGATGAAAGAAAGGACCGCCGGACAACGAGGCTCGAGGCAAATGCTGGATAAATAGCCTCCATCGCCCTGAGGGAATGTGATGCATCGTTCCAGCAGCAAGAATCGACGAGAAACAGGCAATCGATCCTTTCCTAGCAGTGCAGTGAGCGAATTGTCTGTCGCTTTCATCGCGCATCCCTAGAGCTCCTGTCAAGGCGTGGTACCTGAACTTGCACTGGCCACTGCGTCTCAAGACTCCCTTCATCGATTATCTGATCCCCAAGAGATTGTCCAGCAGGAAGGGCAATTCGACCACGAGAAAGACAGTCCCAGGAACAGGGAACGAAATACTTAAAGCGGAAAGAGGAGACTGCGACTGCTTTGGGACACCGAGTGCCTGTTCAAGTGCCTACAGGGAACAAGATGTCTCAAGCCACGAATACCCCATCCATGAGAGTTTCCGGTGAAAGGTATGGACAAGGACTTGCCACGTCTAAGCCGGTAAGCAAGCTAACGAACCGGATCGCAGGGATCAGATGCAAGCTCCTTCAGCCATGCTCGAGAGATACTTGTCTGATGGGGAAACGAGCATCGGCGATAAGCTGCTCGCGCATACAGCAAATGACACCGTAAAGGAGGCGACCAATGACCGTCTGAAGAAACTCGGGCACGATCTAAACCTATTGGTAGACAAAACCGGACTAGATCGCGGCGAGAGGCCAGCCACAGGCCCTTTTTCTTCTTCTGTCGATCTTGTCATGAGTTGAGAGGATCCGTGGATAAGGACGGGAAGACAGGAGAGGAGACAGCGAGTATCGGAACACATATGTATAACAGATGTCTCCTTGGAGATCAACGATCAAATAAGATGTTCTCCGTAAGGCGGCCGGGTCGTGGGTCGATGAAGGACGGAAAATGGCAGCGTGATGCTGCATAAGGTAAGGTAGGTAAGGAGGACAAAGGAAGAGGTATCGTATAAGGTACCTTGGAGAGAGGGAACAAGATGTCAAATGCCATGTAATTACCAAGTGGGGTCCGCAGACGACAGCCTCTGATTGCCTGGGGGACGACTGTATTTGAAGTACCTTTGAGGTACAAGGTTGTTTCAGTGGAGTTGAGGGTAAATACCATGGCCATGGCACGCATTCAGAAGTACTAGTAGTGTACTAGTGAGCTAAGACGTCAACATAAGGTAGTTGCTCCGTAATTAGGTAATACAAATATTTACTTTCTTCCCACCGGCGTTCAACGAGGTACGAAATGTTCCCCTGGGCCTTTGTACGAAGAGGGATCACGGTACTACGTCTTCTCTTCCCTATTCCTGTCCTAATCCTCCGGGTTAAACCACTTGTCGGCGTCTCCCTTAGAGAGCAGCCTTCGCCAGATTGTTAGCAAAATTCCACTGGTTAAAAGGCACATTGGCCGACCCGAAATCCGTCTCGTCCAGAGCGCGTCTCGCCCCTTCCGTCAACTCCTCGTACGCAATCAAGGGCTGCTCCCCGCCCTGGTCGCCCGTGAAGACCATCTGGTGGTTGGTAGGCCAGTGGCTGCGATACCCCAGCCGTGGCCGGGTGCCCGAGAAGCTGACATCTCTCGCGGCCCGCGTGTTGAAGCTCCCGTGGGCCGATGCCGCCACGCCCAGGACGGTGGCATCTGTCGATGTCCCATCGAGCCAGACCACGGCACTCTCCCAGTCGTGTCGGTGACCCAGTCCGGTCGACGGCGAGTCCTTAGGCATGTACCACGCGTACATGATGGCCCGCCGTCCGCCGTGCGTTCCCTGACGAGCATATACCTGGCCCCGCGAAGACGAGCAGCCGCTGTTATGGGAGCCCGTTGGTGCCAGCCCGCCGCTGACGAAGTGGGGGGGAGTAAAAGCAACTGTTAGCAGAGAACGAACCCTTGCCGTCTGACGTCTTCCCTGAAAGAAAGAAAACAGCAATGTGATTACCTGGTATCTCCTCTGGCGTTGACGGCAGGGAATGCCACGCAGCCTGTATAGACACGGAGCCAGGGCTTGAATTTGAGATACAGCTGGCTGATAGCCCCGGCCGGGACGGTCTCTGGGAAGCCGACGACTGCGTCGTGATTGATGACTGCGCGGCGTTCGACGACCGGCGCTGCGGCGGCTGCCATGGCAGCTAGGAGCCAGCCGATGAGGCGGATGAGTCGTGTCATTGCTTTGCGTCTCCTCGTGAGAACGGACAAAAGGAAAGTTACTGGTGTGATTTGCCAACGAAAGTCACACAAGAACGTAAGAGGAGATTGTAGGTCAGTCCGAGTAGTCTGGACGAAAGGGCCCAGTGTAAAACGAGAGCTGCACAGAGGGCATTACAACTTCGAACTCGAAATACGAGGAGACTTGGACGGCACAACTATTTATTGCTAGATCCCCTCCGGCTCCATACATGGTCTGATTGCGGTGTTCCATTCGTCGCGGAGCCATAAACGTTCCTAGAGCCGGGGAAGTTCGACGAGAGAGATGATCGGGCTTCCGACCGGATTGGGTAGCTGGACCGGCCGGCCGATGTCACCTTCCAACTCCCGCGCCAAAGCCGAGACGGCATACGGCATTCGGCATGGACAAGACAATGCGATGAACTGTCTACGGTGGAGTGTTAAACGTCCAAAGAGTGCAGATATCGATGGCACGTGGCACGTAGCACATTGCCGAGAACAGGCTTCGTATATCATACTCCGAAGTCATTCAAGATGAAGGGATGAGTCCAGTCTGGAGATTATGCTGGATCCAAATCTCCTGCAGCGGTTATCACTCCAGCATGCTGTTCTATCACCACGCCGTCAGTTTGTCGCTGATTGGCCGACTTGACGGAAAGACGAGAATTGCGAAAGACTCGGATCGCTTCTCTTTTTTCACGGGTATCACTGTCGTATCTCCATAAATAATAGTACATCGTCGAATGACGCAAACCTCATTCCGCTTCCTCAGTTGAGCATATCCCAAGCTTCTCCCCAGAGTTCGTTCAGGTTAAGGCCAAGCGATTCCATGCTGAAATCAGGGTTTAAATTTTGCGCCTAGAAGCAGATTAGTATACCATCTGGGAGATGAAATCGCCTGACCAACGGGCCAAGTCAAAAAGACCCCGTTGGTTTGGGGTTGGGGGGGCACGCACCGATGGGTCGACGGCAGATGGCAGCCAGGTCACAGGTGTGGGCGCACCATCCACACCGGAGCCTTGCGACGAAGGGAAGTTGGGGAAGGCCCCCTGGAAAGATAACGGGGCGACGGACTGTGCGAGAAGAAGGGAGGTGAGCTGAGCTGGACGACACCAAATAATGGAAAGACAACAAGGATAGGAACTCACCCTCGCCCCTTCGGGAACCTCCATAGATATCGCCGGCATCCTGGATGGCTCCGATGCCTGCGCCGCCACCGGCGGCTCCTGGTACGATAATAGCTTGTAATGCAAGTTCACAAATCTCTCAGCCGACGCCGCCTTGGCCTGTTCCGCCGTCTTCGTACCAAGATGGAGCTCCAGCAAGCCAAGTGCCGCGCACATTATGGAGTAGCCCCAGGGTTCGTTGTTTCCACACCGCATGAGGCGATCCTCTTTGATGGCCAGGCACCGCTGAAGAAGCTTGACGGTATGTTGCGAGTTAATCATGATCATGTGTGTCGAGCCGCGAGGTTGCAGCATGGTCACCTTGCAGAGGTTGACGGCCGTGGTTAAGGCGTCCTCGCGCAGAAAGTTCAAGGATCGCACCCCTTGCTCGTACAATTTGTCGTGAAGCAGCACGATGTCGCGCGCAGCGTTGTAGTATATGATTTCCGAGTACTGGTACTTCGGGTTGGTCTTGCGCATCTTGAGAAAGCGCTGGTGCAGCGGGATTATGTACTGTCGGAGCTCGATGTGTAGCAGTGTGTATGCCAGGAGCGGTCGTTTCCCGCCCTGGCCGTTGGTGCCGTTTGTATCCCACGACGGGAGGGCGTCAATCTCGCGAGTGATGTCGTTCGTAAAGCGGATTACCTGTTCGTAGTCAAGATCGCCAGGCGGACCGCAGAGAACGCGGCTCAGCTCGATCCGGAGCGGTAGGCTCTGCCGGGCCAAGTTTTGATACGAAGAGTAGGTGAACTCCTTGGCGGGTTTCGATGGCGGGAGCTCTGTTGTTTCTTCGTCAAAGTCGTCGTCGTCCAGGTTCCGCGGTGGGCTGACGTCGTAGTACAATTGGCTCACCAAGGTGGGTAGACCGTGGTCGAAGCTCGCCTGCATATCAAACTCTTGGACCGTGGCCCAGATGCGCCGCCGCATCTCCTGGTTATAGACAGAGATCTTGCCTCCCATGTGACTCGGGTCCCGGTGAAGGCCGACCGAGATGCCGTCTTGGATCAACGACCCTGAATTGGTCCAGAACCGCTTCTTCTTGACAATATTGACGCGCTTGCCGAGGTAGAGCAGGCAGGCGATCTGGTAGTGGATGAGACGGCGGTGCTTCATGCTCTGTCGCGTCTGCCACTTTTCCACCGCTTCGATCCACTTGACTGCGGTGTTGTGCGCATTGGATACCATTCCAGTGAACCAAAGGGTGTCGTGTGTATGGATACAGTTGGAAATAGCGATCATAGAAAGTATCAGTGCTGTTAACGCTGCATGTCGTGACTCGGTGTCCTCCCAGAACTGTGAGTACTCTCGCTTGAGAGTCGGAATGTGCACAATACGATGAAGCTGCTCAAATTGCTCTAGGTAGACTTCAACGAGGGAATCCACCAGAGCTTTTGGGGGCAGAAGTGCTTCGAGATCGAGGTCGCGCTCAAGGAATGCCTTCTCACGGTCTTCCTTTCTTTTCTTGCGATCCTTCATATCATGCGCCGCTGCCGGTCTTAGCCACTCATCGGCGGTCTCTTGCATGAAGGGGCAAAGACCGCGGAGCTACAATGCACGATTCAAGTGTCAGCCAATCCAACGCGCTTGCCACAAAGACGATACGCGACGCCAGAGCAGAGCAAGGGCAAGACAGAGAGGAAGGGAATAATAACAGAAACAGAGGGTGTCCCGGGGGGAAGCGCTACCTCAAGGAAAGCCATGGTGGCATTATGGGGGCCGTAATAGCGGGTTCGGAACTCTTTGCCCCTGAAAAATCTCAGCTCCGATTTGTCATTCTGCGCGTATGCTAGACAGGCGATGTCGTTGGCCTCGGGATCCGTTGGTGAGTGAGGTATCTCATCTTTGTGTGTAAGCGGAGAATTGCTGGCAGCGACGGTGCTACCATCGAAGGAGGAGACCGCGTTGGAGTGTTGGTTGAGTTGATTCTTCAAGTGCATGACCTCCAATTCGAGCCTGCGGATCCTGTCGTAATCCTTGGCGGCGTCGCGGATAACACCCGAGTCCGAGTCCCTTGTTGAAACGGCCGTCTCACTCCCATGCCGCCGCGAGTCGAGCTGGGCAAAAGCCGGTGGCACGCCCGAACTAGCGTTCATAACCATGCCCGACTTGGTCTCGTAGGTGCAGCGGTCCGGGGTACCACTCTTGATGCATCTTTGGCATGGGTAGCCTCTGTCGCAAGAGAGCTTACGGCGACGACATTCGAGGCAGCTCAGGCGCACGCGCTGTCTCTTGCGGGGCTGCCCACCTTGGTTAGACTCGTGGCCCTCGTCATCGTCAGGACGAGAGTGGTAAGTCGCCTGGCTCGCGGTGTCGTCCATGCTCATTATAAGCCAGAAGCGCCGACCGGATTGTGGAAGAGATATATAAGTGATGCGTCAAGGGGAGGAGCGCGAGTGCCACGTGGAGGAAAAGCCGAGTCGGAAGCAATACGCATTCGATCTGGCCCGGACAGGTTGGTAGAGTATACGGTTCAGCTTGTTGATCCGGTTCAAGTGGATAGCAAGCATTGAGTATACTGATGCAACGACGGCCCGTGCCATTGGAGTCGATATTCGACAATAAGCAACGCGGAGCTCAACGTAGGGCCATGAACGAGAGGGAAAAGTCTGCGATTTCGGAAGACACACAAGAGTCATTGTCAGATCCTGAGGGCTACCGTCGGCGTTCATTTCTGTGACGTCGCATGGAGGACAGCTTGGGAAAAGGATGCTACCCTTTGTCCCTTTTGGGTCTAGGGCGAAGCATCTCGGAGGTAACTTGGAATTTCTCCGAGCTTGCCGTTAGGCTACTAACAAATCTCCTGGTTAACTGTGTATCAACACGATATTACGTAAACTGAACACATCCCGAGTCGGAGACCGAGGGGCTTTTCGGGGAACCCCCAACCTTCGCTCGATCTCGTGGATTACAATTTTACAAATCTTTGATCTTATCAGATCGGACCATCCAGTTCCAGTTCCTCCCCCATCTCCCCAAGGGGATTCCAATAGGTATGGCACTAACATCCTCGAAAGCCGTCCCCGCCATGACAATCTCCGAGTTGTCGACTACGTAGCAGTCAGTTCTGCATGCAATTCGAACGCGCAGCTATCATCGAAACTTCAGTAACTTACAGTGTACATATCTTCAAGTCCAGGCCGTGAGGCAATGCCCACCGGCGCGCCCGGATTTCGCCCGGATTCTTCGGGTTCCCCTCTCCAGCCTTGTGGTTCCTACGACGTCGTCACATCCTTGACCCCTGGGCTGGGCCCTAGCCCAGCCAGCGTCTGACGTCTGAGAACGAGAATCCACAATTCCATGTCGTATGACTCGCTGGTGGCTCATCTTTCCCACCGTTTGACACTACAAAATGGCTCGTGTTGTGTTTTCAGGGAATGCCGCTCCGGCTGTTCGAGCTTCATCCTTCCCGCCTTTCTTTACACCACCCAGGCTCTTCTTAATAATAAACTCCACTATTCGTCTTTCGCAATATGCGCGCCCATTGGCCTTGTTTCTCCTAACTATGCTCCAGGTAGGCGATGAAGCCCAGAGAATCCAGGCTAATTTTAGCCTCATGAATACTGATAGCAAAGTTAAGTGCTTCTTACTTTACTTACCTTAGGTACCAATTCTTCTTCAAATAAGGTACTTCATGGTCTGTAGGTACTCAAGTAGTCTGTTGGTTTGCTCTTGTTGACATGACACAGTTGACATCTCAGCTGATGTGTTATTAAGCTCTCCTCATGCCGCAGTTGTCTCCGTGTAAGCAACCCAGTCCTGAAAGTTCTCAGCGAACAATGGAACAGAGGTCGGTCTGCATGGGTATGGCATCCACCGCTGAGCATACACCTTCGCTTATGGTCTGACCAACGATTGTCATCCAATGCTCAAGTATCCATATAGTGGGCAATACCTGCGAAGTATAAGAGAGTACGGAGTACATCACGGGACAAACCCAACACCAGGTCTATTGCTTGGTCGGGCAGGGCAAACAAACATCTAGAGGCTGAAACACGCCCCTTGCCGTCCTTATCCGCCCCCCGGGATCTTAACAAGAACCCCTTATGTCTTTGCCAAAGTCGCAAGAAGACCACGGTTAACCCACCCATGCCCCATTGCCCACAAATCGTCATTTGCTGCAGTTCTTTTGAAGTGTATTCGGGTGTATTCAGCGAAGATTGGCCTATTTGCTTATCTTTCCCCGATCGGCTCCGGGACCAGGCGTCCGCAGCCTCGTACAACAGGATGCAAAGTACAGGGGGCCTTGAAGAGCTCCGTCACACAAAGCTGCGCCTTACTCTGCATCCAGAACCAATGACCTACATGGGGGATTTGGTACCTGCGTTTGAACTGGCCGCATAAGATGCGAACCCAGACGACATACGGGCACATGCCAGTGGCCGCATATCAGTAAGATAGCTCTTGTGCGGTCAGTCTAATGCTACCTCCTCGAGAAAACCGCCTCCCCCGGCACTTCTGGCACCTGGTTATCTCCATGTTTCGCACAATGAAGCCTGATATGGGCATGCTTGCCTGCATCTGGATACTGGTCTTACTTTTCGACCCCTTGGTGTCCGGCTGGTGTTACCCTCAGCCGTCTTAGGCTTGTACCCATCCACGGGCCATGGCCATGCGGAAGTCCAAGCCCTTCTGTGGCTCTTAATCTGTGATACTACGGTAGCTCGAATATCCAGTCTGGCGGGCTGGCCCTGCGGCGCGAACCACTGATGTGCTAAGTGTCGCTTTGACTTTGACACACACCAAGCGGGACGCGCAATATGACTCCCGTATGACAGGCGTACTGCCGTCTTGTTGAATCCGTCTTCTCGGATGCCGGCCACTCTGAGACTCCATTCCGTGCCGAATCCGCGGCGACATAAGACGTAAAACATCCGCTGAGTACTGGCCAGTAGGTCCCCACAGGTACAGTCGGGTGCGACTGTCCTGTCTGGGCTGAGGCTATGATACTTCCAACATCATACGAGCGTTTTTCTTCTTTGTATCCTGCGGGGCAGAGATTTAATCCTTTTAAGCACCCATCGTTTCTCAACCCCCCTGTTGAACCCTGGTTCGTGCCCCATATCTCTCAGCTATTAGCCCTGATATCCGACCAGCAACACGCGGTTTGGGCTTCATTGACACCCCTATTGACCGAGCTGCCTAACTCCGTTGTCTGCAGTCTCGTCATTCACAGCCGTGTCGTCGATATTGAACAAATGATTCCAAGGAGTACACATTCATGCATACTGCTGGCATGGCTGGCATCTCTTATCCATATTCACGCATCGGATCTCATGGACATCGCTGATGGGCTTCCACAATGCGGTGTGCGTCCCTTCAGCTAGATCTGCCGGTCATGGAAGCCAAGACAGTCGAATCCCTCCTTGCCTAGAGATACTAATGTTCCTCCGTTGCAGCTGACCTGTCTCCGTCAAGAAGTACCGCAGTCGATCTGCGGGAACCTTACCAACAGGACATGCCTGTGCGCTGATAAAGGCTTTGATGATGCTATGCGAACCTGCCTGGGATCGGCTTGCGAGTCCTCTCTAGAAGTTATCGGTGCGCTATCTACCCATTAAGGTGTGAGCTCCGTCCAGAATCGGATGTCTAACTTTACAAAGAGGCTGGCCAGATCGAAGCAAAGTTTTGCGGCCGCCCGTACCGCAATCGCAAACCGGTTCTACTTGCTCCCCTCGCTCTTGAGATCCCGGCACTCTTGAGCGTATGCCTGCGTCTGTATGTGCGATGGATGACACCGCACGAATTCGAGGCCGATGACTGGGTGATGGTCGTGTGTGGTGTACGTTGACATGGACTTGCAAACTACTATATGTCCCGGTCACTTACCATACTCTCTGTCTTCCGAAGATATTATTCATCCCATTCGTCATCCTAGGGCAGGCCAGTATGTCGTGCACCGAGAACCCTTGAATGGACGTTAGCTAACTACAAATACTAGTGGGGGTGATCGCCTTCGGCGTTGATGTCTGGAATGTCGACGTTGACGATATAACCATGGGGTTAAAGGCAAGTCTACGAAGAGAGACGCGTTCCTCACAAGTCGACGTGACTCGACTCGGTCGAGAATCGAGCACACGAACTGACAGGTGACCACACCAGCTCTTTTACATTGCCGAGGCCCTTTATCTGGTCTGCCTCGCCTTGACAAAGGTATCGATTCTATTCTTCTACCTGCGCATCTTCCCAAATACTCCGTTCCGAATCGCGACGTTCATGACCATGGCTCTCGTCGTGGTTCCTACCACAGTCTTCGTCGTTCTGCAGATATTCCAGTGCACGCCCATCGAGTACAGTTGGCTTAGCTGGAAGAGCCAATCCGGGTCGTATCGGTGCCTCAACATCAATATGCTGGTGAACGTGGCGGCTGGCTTCAGCATCGCCCAAGATGTCGTCATCTTGGCGCTGCCGTTACCGCTACTGTACGGACTTAACATGTCGTGGAAGTCCAAGGCTGGCGTCGTGATCTTGTTCAGTTTGGGTATCTTCATCACTATCACGTCGTGTGTCCGACTCCAGTACCTGATTCTGTTTGCGCGGTCGACCAACCCGACGTGGGACTATGCCGACACGCTCATCTGGTCTGGGCTCGAGGTTTCCGTGTCAGTGATCGTTACTTCGCTGCCCACGTTGAGACTTTTCTTCGAGCGAGTCCTCCCGGCCATGTTCGGTTCCCTCGCATCACGCCTGACAAGCTATACGTCTACCAGGGGGGTCTCTTTGAACAACGGGACGAGTGCGTCTGCTAAGGCGGAGGGAGAGAAGTACAAGACCCAACATATCATTGAGCGGGGAGTCGAGTAGATGACGTAGAGAAGAGCCTCGCAGTCGGGGCGTCTCCTTCAAACTCTCACTTTCCAAGTAGGCCTATTTCGACAAGCCAATGCTCTCCTCTGCAGACTTCTCGCCGTCTAGCCTACCATGACACACAGATTTGGCTGGCCGAGGGTATTGGGAATAGGGCGCGCGTACGGTCTTGTGAAAATAAGACGTTATCCTTGATAGTACCTTCTAGTCGCCCCAGATATTTAAGCAGCTGGCCTTGATGATTTTGTAGATTCGTCGGCTTCGAACGTGAGGTGTGCGGGAACAATGCTGGTCGGTCCGTCCCTCTAAGGGGGTCGAGTATGACTAATTATACAGTGTACCAGACACTGTGGTTTCAAGTACTTCGTAGATTATTCAGCGCGAAATCGGAACCAATATCAGGATCGCTTCGTCGCTTCTCACAAATGCCGCACCGTATCCATACACAGCCCTACGCCCAGCTTTTCGCCAGATTGGATCACCAATCTATTGATCGATTATCAACGGAAGACGAAGAAGAACACAGCTCGATCAGCAGGTCCCCAGTCCACGATGGGCGGGCCTCTATCCATGTTCGACGAAGCGGCCCATGCCCGCATCGCCAACCACATGAATAACCACCACAAGCGCGAGCTCTCCCATTACTTGCGCCACTATTCCGGCCTCTCCGCTCGCGCCGCCTCATCCCCAGAACTCATTGAAATTTCTCTTACCGGCATGACCATCACCGCTGGCGGCTCCGGTGGCGCCAAGTTCCGCATCCCCTTCGAGCCCCCGCTTTCTTCCCCCGCCGAGGTGCGCGGCCGCGTTGTCACCATGGACACTGAAGCCCGGACTGCACTCGGCATCCGCGACGTTTACGTGACGACCTATACCCCACCACGAGGCTTCGACATCGCGGTGTTCGGCGGCGTGGCGCTCTACTTCCTCTCATATGCCACGCTCCCTCACCTCCTGCCCGGAACGCCTTTTTGGTCTGCCCTTGCCGCCTTCTTCCCCGGTGGGCCCCGCGCGTTCCGCTGGCTTGTCACTGCCCTTTTCTGGCCTGTTCTGGGCATTCACGTTTTCGAGGTTTGGTGGATGCACCGCACGCGCCTCCTGCCTCATGGGGTCGATACGGGCTCCCGCCTGTGGTGGACGTGGGTCGGCAGCACCTTCTTCGAGGGCGTGTGTGCCTTTCGGAGGATCGATTCCATCATAGCCGACAAGACGAAGGAGAAGGAGGAAAAGGCTGCAGCAAGCCACTAGCCGACCTGTACTTACATTCCGCCTTCATGTCCTGCACACTCCACGGCCTTTTACATCTTGTTGGTTAGATGAAGCGGGCGTTCCAAGGGTTTCCCTCATTTCTTTCCCCTCGCACGTTGGTCGGCTTTTTTAGGACGCTTTTTATACCATGCTACGATAGCGTTGCGGTAGAGATTCTAACGACGTGTTCTTGACGCATTGTACCGGCCTTCATGTTCCAGTCGAGTCTATGCTTGCGGGACCGATTTCTGCCGCGAGTTGGTTTAAGTCTCTGATAAGCGTCTTAAGTTGGTGAGGTTTATGCGCTCTCGACTTCCAATATTGTGTTGGTATACGTTCTTGGGAGCTCTTCCAGTAGAACTCGACTTTTTCTGGCTACCTATCTACAGGGCCCGTGAGGTATATTCCTATGTCGAATGATTAATTTCATATTCTAATACGATAACTCGTGTCTATCTCTACGATGTGTTGAAATATTTACCGTTCGATTATTGGGCTTCGAAGTCGGAACAATCATCATTGTCCGCAAACCCGGATCTCGCACTGTAATGTGGTGAAGGCAGGTACGGACGGTCGTATGAGCCGATGGTATGCGTTTAGCCGGCGCTATAACGTTCTAGGTATGTCATCGTGTATTATTACCCCCGAGACAGCCACAACCACAACGGCGAAGCATCGTCGGTAATCGTTCTTCTGTCATCAATACGACGAGACCAGATTTGCCCTCCATGTCTCTTTTACGTCCTGCAGTCTGTAGAGCATGCAAGAGGGCAAACTACCGCTCCTTGCGAACCTTCGCCACCGCTCAAAACAACGTCCAACAACAACAACCCCGACCTGACAACTACATCAAGCTGGTCGAGGTCGGACCACGCGATGGACTTCAAAATGAGAAGAAAACCATCTCGCTCGCAACAAAGATTGAACTGATTGAGAGGCTCGCAAAGACCGGCTTGTCGATGATTGAAGGTGGTTCCTTTGTGGCGCCCAAATGGGTTCCCCAGGTAGGCTGCGATTTCCCGGTCATAGAGAATCGCCCCCAGTCTCTGGAGTACTGCGTCTACTGACCGACTTAATTGGTTCACCTAGATGGCAAATTCCAGCGAGATTATGGAACACATCCTCACGAAGAAGATCTCTTCGCCATCTGCGGTATCGTACTCATTTCTTGCGCCGAACACCAAGGGCCTCCAGAACGCGACCTCCATCCTGCAAAAGCATCCCGACACCTTCTCCTCGCAGCTCCAGCCTTCGCTCAATCCCACTAAGCCCGGTATAGAGATCGCCGTCTTTGCGGCGGCCACCGAGTCGTTTTCGAAGAAGAACCTCAACTGCGATATTGCGACGTCGTTGGCGCGCTTCAAAGATGTAATCCAGGAGGCAAAGGCGAGCGGGCTACGGGTCAGGGCCTACGTCTCCGTCGTTCTCGGATGCCCTTTCGAAGGTTACGACGTCGATCCACACAAGGTTGCTGAGATCGCGACGGACTTGCTGGAGTCCGGAGCCGACGAGATCTCGCTAGGAGACACAACGGGCATGGGGACAGCTCCTCGGACCAAGGCGTTGTTGGACTGCTTGCGTGCCGCGGGCATCCGGAACGAGGATCTTGCTATGCACTTCCATGACACATACGGGCAGGCTCTTGTGAACACGGCCGTGTCGCTGGAACACGGCATCCGGACCTTTGACAGCAGCGTTGCGGGCCTGGGAGGATGCCCTTATAGTCCAGGAGCCACCGGAAATGTGGCGACGGAGAACATGGTGTATTTCCTTAGTACCCTTGGCATGGATACGGGTGTAGACCTTGACGCGATTTCTGAAGTTGGGGCATGGATTGCGGGTAAGCTGGAAAAGCCGAACGATAGCACAGTAGGCAAAGCTGTGCTTGGCGCAAGGACCAGAACTGAGGAACAGTAGTAATCTTGTACTCTGTATTAGTGTCAATTTGTCAATCGCACGAATTTAAAGGAACGAAAATTCCCTGGATAGAGTGGAATAGGATGCTCAGGCGCACATAATGATCGAGTCTCTACCTAGGTCTATGAGCCAGGTCACAACGGTCGCTCATTTACACGTACAATAGGTAGGTACCTTAGGTAAGGTAAGGTACCTTAGCTAAAGTACCCTGTAAGAGCAAGGTGGACGTGATGTCACTTTCACACTGGGCCTATCTTATCACATCACGTCTTTCGCTCAGTCGTACTTGTACAAAGTATTCGTATTAAGGTACCTCAAGTACTCCATACTGTAGGTACGTACCCACCACAAGTGGAGGACCCATTCGTGCATCCTGGCGAGGCCGACAAGATCCAGCTAAGTTACCAACTTCAACCTCTCTTCCGCGAGCTGGATCACATTACCACCACTTGCTTCTTGCCTGGCATAAACGCACAATCCCCTCTCGTTAGCTGCTCGCCTTTGCCCACCCGCAAGAAATCAGCACGTTTTGGCCGTTGACCTTCCTCCACCATGACCGACCCGAGAGTGTCGTCGTCCTACTCGGTTGTCCCTAGGATTCGCTACAACACTGTCGGTGGTGTTAACGGTCCTTTGGTCATCCTCGAGAATGTATGGAGGCAACCGCCCACAGTTATCATGCTCTCTCACACATATTTATGCTAAGAAACCCAACAGGTCAAATTCCCCAAGTACAGCGAGATCGTTACCCTGACTCTCCCCGATGGTACCGAGCGATCGGGTCAAGTCTTGGAAGCTCGAGGTATTTGACGCCAAACTACTAGCTTGTTAGTTCCCAAATAACTAACTGTTAGCATAGGTGACCGAGCCGTCGTTCAGGTATGCGAAAACGAAAACCTCGCGAAATAAGTGCCATGCTGTTCGGGCCCCCGGCTGACTGTTGAATCAGGTGTTCGAAGGCACTTCTGGCATCGATGTTAAGAAGGTATGGAGCTGGCCCTTGATAACCTACAATAATTCAAGCGCTAAACAAGGCACAGACGAAAGTCGAGTTCAGTGGCCACAGTTTGAAGCTGGGCGTGTCGGAGGACATGCTTGGACGCATCTTCGATGGATCCGGACGAGCTATCGACAAGGGCCCCAAGGTGCTCGCCGAGGACTATCTCGACATCAACGGCAGCCCTATCAACCCCTATTCCAGAGTGCGTCGCACACCGTTGCCTGGCCTCGACAGAAGGGGCAGTACGCTAATTACCCGACGCAGGAATACCCCGAGGAGATGATCTCCACCGGCATTTCCGCCATCGATACCATGAATTCCATCGCTCGAGGCCAAAAGATTCCTATCTTCTCCGCTGCTGGTCTCCCTCATAATGAAATCGCTGCACAGATTTGCCGACAGGCCAGCCTGGTGCAAAAGAAGGGCGTCACCAACAAGGGCGTTCATGATGGACATGCGGAGAACTTCTCCATCGTCTTCGGCGCTATGGGTGTCAACTTGGAAACGGCTCGGTTCTTCACCCGCGACTTCGAAGAGAATGGCAGCTTGGAACGTGTCACCCTGTTCCTTAACCTTGCCAACGATCCTACGTATGTTTTACCACGTCCCCACCACCACCCGCAGAGGCTAACGTGATTCTAGGATCGAGCGTATCATTACTCCTCGTCTTGCCTTGACCACGGCCGAATACTACGCCTATCAGCTCGAGAAGCATGTCCTCGTCATTCTTACCGATCTCTCGGCTTACTGCGACGCTCTCCGAGAAGTCTCAGCAGCTCGAGAGGAAGTGCCGGGTCGTCGTGGTTTCCCCGGTTACATGTACACTGATTTGTCCACCATTTACGAGCGAGCCGGTCGTGTGGCGGGACGCAACGGCTCCATCACCCAGATCCCGATTCTGACCATGCCTAACAACGACATCACCCACCCGATTCCGGATTTGACGGGTTATATTACTGAGGGCCAGATCTTCGTTGACCAACCCATGCACAACCGTGGTATTTATCCGCCAATTAATGTCCTTCCGTCGCTGTCCCGTCTCATGAAGTCTGCTATCGGTGAGGGTATGACTCGCCGCGACCATGGCGACGTCTCCAACCAGCTGTATGCCAAGTATGCCATCGGCCGTGATGCCGCTGCGATGAAGGCTGTAGTTGGTGAGGAAGCCTTGTCGGCCGAGGACAAGCTGTCTCTTGAGTTCCTCGAGAAGTTTGAGCAGCAATTTATCTCCCAGGGCCCCTACGAGTCACGGACCATCTTCGAGTCTCTGGATCTAGCTTGGAGCTTGCTGCGCATCTATCCTAAGGAGCTCCTGAACCGCATCCCCGCCAAGATTCTCAACGAGTACTATCAGCGCGCAGCCAAGGAAACCAAGGACAAGAGCAAGCAGCATGAGCAGGTGCAGCAGAACGAGGAGAATCTCATTGATGCATAAGTGTTAAGATGGGGGAAGGGCTGAAGGGTTATACCCCTGAAATTTACAGTCCGTAATAGAACTCCACATGATGGGAATCAAGGCACTTTTTGTGTACATGTGTGTCGGGACTCTGGCAGCGCAGTACGGAAACTGCATCAACTTAGAATTCGCAGTTCTCTGATCATGGATGGATTTTCAATATCGGTTCAGCTTTCAATCATTATCTCGACGAATTCTTCGTTTTCCGCGCAAATTTGATAGGATAGTATATTAAAGTTTTAGGAGGCTTCGCGAGTGTCGGGGTTTATACCAAGGTATTTGTCGTTTCTTGGTCTTCGGCGTTGGTACGAAATGCCAAGAAACCGTGGTTGCCCCTCCACATCTCACTGTTGCACCGCCTTATTTCAACCCCACTCTATCAATCAGTACCTACTACTGTAGGTAGCTTCAGCCTCATCTCGCACCGCAACTTGCAGTGACGCCCTTCATTCGACCGTCGTCAGACGTGAACACCAACCCCCACGTTCTCGCCGGTACATTGGTCTCGGTTTCCTTCTCAATTGCCGGTTTATACTAGCTATTACGTCGGAGGTGGTTTCTTCCGCTTGTTCTATTCTCACTGCCAAACGAAGCCATGTCCATCATCCCTCAACACACGGCCGCTTCGCTGAGCGATGCCTGGCGCACCATCAACATCGACGCTCTCGAAGAGGACTCGCCCCTTAACTTCGACACCTCTACCCTCCGCCCCCCACAATCCGAGATTAGCGAGGCCGACGTGCGAGGGCTGGCGGGCCAAGTGCGACAGCTGCTACGAGGCGGTGATACGGAGGGTGCCCTGAGGGGATGTCTTGAGTTTCCCGTTTATAATGGGACTGATGCTGCCAAGGTATGTTTCTCTTGCTTTGAATACCGAGCTACTGGTTCTATCTTTTGTGTTTCCTCAGACGACTCACTGTTATTGGTACTCTTTGTGCGAAAATGACTGGCTAACTCGCTCTCGTCTCGTGGAAAAGGACGCCCACCTCCAAACTATCACCGAAGTTCTCCATTCTATCAAAGCGTCTGAAATGACGCCCCTTCTTCAGACTATCTACGCTTCTGCTGGCGGTTCCGAGCTACTCGACGTCCTCATGAAGTACATCTACAAGGGAATGGGTGCCGCGGCGCCCCCTGCCCGACCCGGCGGCAGCAGTGCGGGGGTCACTCCACAGCCGACAGGCTTCAGCCAGATTGGCGCTGGACGGCCCGGCGCCGGCAACGAAAATGTCGGTGCGGCGATGAGTGTGTTGCTGAGCTGGCATGAGAAAGTTGTTGATGTTGCGGGGCTGGGTTGCATAGGCAGGGTCATGGCCGACTGGAGAAGGGTTTGAACGGGGATACATACAAGATCGTGGGATTTAGAGCAGGCCTCCCATGGTCAGGATCAAATATTTATGATGGGTTCTGGCTCCGTCAATGGAGTTTACGATGGTATACACCGCTGTCGGTGATATAAAGCGTGTGCCTTCGCATACGGCAGTCTTCCTTGATGTCTATCAATTTTGTCCATCAAACTCGAATCATGATTCCACGACTTAACTTTGATGACAACACCATGAGCGCGGGGCCTTTGTGTCGACGACTGCTGTCTTGCTGTCCAAGGCCAATCATAACATCAATTTGCAGAGTCATCTGCAAGCTTCTGAAAGACGACAGGAATTCCTCAAGACCTCCGTCGAATAAACCACAATTCGAGAGGCTACAGTTGCGAAGTATATGAAGCATGTCGCTCTCGCACACCATCTATTTCGATTCGAGTATGTCTTTGAGATTGACCTCGCCGCTACCCCGGGGAAGTGGCTTGGCCTGGTCGTCGGATTCGCGCCATCCAATCATGTATATCACTCTAAATGTCGCTGGGAGGCTGCCATCCGCATTTCCATGGAGCTCCCTGTAGATTCCCTCATTGGCTAACAGAACATCCCTGCTGATGGGACCCATCTCCCGGCTCAAGATGGCGTTACCCTCTGCCATGCATTGCAAGTCTTCCATCAGCGCGAAGGTGTCGGGGTAGTCCACAATGATGTCCTCAACGTCGACGGTTAGAAGCTTGAAACCAGCACGTTGCATGAGGCCGCCCACATCGCGGACGTCCGCAAGGGGGCTGACGTGCGGAGAGATACCACCCTTCCGCTCCTGATCCGCGAGCTGCAAGCTGGTGCGTAGCTCGTATAGGGTATCGCCGCCAAGCATGGCACCGAGAAAAGGCGCGTCGGGCTTGAGAATGTTGTTGATTTGCGCCAAAACACTAGGCAGGTCGTTGATCCAGTGCAGGCTGAGGGAGCTCATGACCAGATCGAATGTGGCAGGCGCGTAAGGCAGCTGTTCCTCGTCCTGCAGGACTTCGCGTGTGATGTTGATGGCGTCGTTGAAAGACAGGTCGGCATCTCGGTAGAGGAGAGAGTGGGACGAGTCGGCTGCCACAAGCTCGCCGATACGGGTGGCTAGAGGAGGGGAGACAGGTCTCGCCGGGTCTGGGTCGGGATTCTCGCGTGTCAGGGCTCGAGCAATGTTGCAGGAATTGGCCCCAAGATCCAGCACCTTGGGGAATTGTCGCTTGATATCCTAAGAGGTGGGTGTGAGAGGGAATACTCTGGAGCCAGCTACAGTCGACGACACTCGATGACTCCTTCATGAGAAATTGGAGGTAAGGACTTACAAGCAGTCTTTCGCAAAGTCGCATGGCCACCTCATCCTTGAGATAGTCTGCCTGACGACTCAATTCGACATGGGATGCAGCGCGCTCCTTCTGAAGCCACTTAGTGCGTCGGTTGAAGACCTGAAAAGTTGGCGCGCTGGCAGCGTGGATTGCATAAGTTCGCCGAAACGTCTGGGGAGTCGGTACAGCGAGTTCTGGCGATGAAGAAGCTCGAAGCCATCGTGTTGGCCCGGGTCCAAGGCGGACTCGGCTGAGCCTTGAGCCAGCAGAATTCATGCTTCGACAAGGTCTAGGGCTTCGACTGTGAACGCATTCTGGTCTTGCATGCCGACCAAGTAGAGCAAGTCAAGCTTCGGTCAGTTGGGTTGGTGGCTCTATGACGCGTTAGCACTGTGCTGCTTCAGCATTACCTACCATGGAAGTTCTTGCACCTGCAGAGGTACTGCATTATCTTATCAACACCTCCACGTTCGCTAAGAGAAGTGCCAAAGCCACATTAAGGCACGAAGTACTCTTGGTCCTCTCGGTACCTACGAAGGTAAACGTCTGTAAATTGGCATGCACGAAGAATGCCCCACCAACCCCTTTCGCAGTCCAGCGATGTAGGTACTCCGTCCTCGGGAAAGTCCAGGCCACACGGGCTGCAATATCACAGCTTCCGTCCGCCTATCCCCCTGTCTTTAAAGCTCACCAACCCCCCTACAGTAATCGCGTCACTTCTCGAGACGTTTATGGCTCCACGAAACTAGCATATTTGCTTTGTTAATGACATTTCCTGAGCGCACACGAAGTTGGCTTCCTACATCTCCATTTACACAACCGCTCGTGCACCGACGTTCCGGACAATTCAGCGTCTTTCCTTACGGATACATCTGCCAAACCCTCCCAAGGACGAGTTCATTTCATGCGCATGGCGCGCTCCCCGACGCCCTTTTCAGAGCGTATCTCTGACTAGTCGATCCCTCTTCGGCCCGCCTAATTTCGATAGAAGACATTACGTGTATACTATCGACTAAATACCGAGTAGTTGGCAGTCAACAGAAAGGAAAGCACTAAGAGAGGGAGGAGCGAGCTCCAAAGCCAACAACATGTCGGCCGTCACGGGAGGGTTTCTCGGCCGCTCGAGCTCGAACACGGCCAATATGCGAGGCCTCGTTCAGTTCATTGCTGATCTGCGAAACGCGAGAGCACGGGACCTTGAGGAAAAGCGGATAAACAAAGAATTAGCCAATATCCGGTGAGGATGGTCTCTTCTGCCTCTGAGAGGGTTGTCGGGTAGGCACCTGGCTAACAAACCGTCGGATTGCAGACAAAAATTCAAAGGTGTGACCTTAAAACCCGGCTCGGCTTGGCGGGAAGGTTGCGTCTTGCTAATCGAATACAGACGGGAACCTCAGCGGCTACCACAAGAAGAAATATGTGTGCAAGGTAAGGCTTGTTTGAGTGTCAACTTTCAGGGCCATTCTCCTAATGTCGGTTGCCCATGCAGCTCCTGTACATCTATATCCTCGGTTGGAATGTCGACTTCGGCCATTTGGAGGCCGTCAACCTCATTTCGGCGAACAAGTATTCGGAGAAACAGATCGGATATTTGGCCATGACACTGTTCCTACATGAGAAGCACGAGTTGCTTCACCTCGTGGTGAACAGTATACGGAAAGATCTCCTGGAAAATAACGAACTCTTCAATTGCCTGGCCTTGCATGCCATCGCGAACGTTGGCGGAAAGGAGATGGGCGAGGCCCTCAGCGGCGAAGTCCACAGACTTCTAATTGCCCCGTACGTTGTTGAATACCTCCCCTTGCTCTTTCTTCTCCGTGACGTGCTACTGATGATTCGACCGTAGTACTTCCAAGACGTTCGTCAAAAAGAAAGCTGCCCTAACCCTCCTTCGCCTTTACCGCAAGCACCCAGAAATTGTTCAACCGCAATGGGCAGAGAGGATAATATCTCTCATGGACGACCCCGATCTCGGCGTCGCCCTATCTGTCACGTCGTTGGTCATGACACTGGCTCAAGACAGCCTGGACCAATACAAGGCGGCGTATCCGAAGGCCGCGGCCAAGTTAAAGCGGATAGTCGTCGACAACGAGTTCACACCCGATTACCTCTACTACAAGGTTCCATGCCCCTGGATTCAGGTCAAGCTGCTTCGTCTTCTTCAGTATTTCCCACCATCCGGTAGGTATCCAAGCTTCCTCTTCTTAGAGATGCCGACAAACTGACGAGGGGCAGATGATACGCACGTGCGCGGAATGATTCGCGAATCTGTGCAGAAGATTCTCACCGTGGCACTGGAGCCAACCAAAAATGTTCAACAAAACAATGCGCAGAATGCTGTCTTGTTCGAGGCCATTAACCTGGTTATCCACCTTGATACAGAGACAGCCCTCATGAAACAAATCTCATCTAGATTGGGCCGCTTCCTCAATTCTAGGGAGACGAACGTTCGCTACCTAGGCCTGGATGCGATGACGCACCTAGCAGCACGAGGTGACAACCTGGACACCATAAAACAACACCAGGATGTCATCGTTGGCTCATTGAAGGATCGAGATATCAGCGTCAGGAGAAAAGGACTGGACCTCCTGTACAGCATGTGCGACTCGACGAACGCTCGAGTCATTGTGGGCGAGCTTCTCCGATTCCTGCAGAATGCGGATTTCGCTATCCGAGAAGAGATGGTCATAAAAATTGCCATTCTCACGGAGAAATATGCGACGGATGTCCAGTGGTACGTCGACATATCTTTGAGACTGATCGCCATGGCTGGTGACCATGTCAGCGACGAAGTCTGGCAGCGCGTAATTCAGATCGTGACAAACAACGAGGAGCTGCAGGTCTATGCTGCTCAGCATTCCCTTCAGTACGTTAAACAGGACCATTGTCACGAGACGCTGGTCAAGATTGGGGCATATATCTTGGGCGAATTCGGTCACCTCATTGCCGATCAGCCTAGATGCAGTCCGATCGAGCAATTTCTGGCATTGCAAAGCAAGCTTCCGGCTTGCTCCTCTTCGACTCGCGCCATGATTCTCTCATGCTTCGTCAAATTCGTCAATCTCTTCCCGGAAATCAAGCCGCAGCTCCTGGGCGCCTTTGATATGTTCAGACATACGTTGGACTCCGAGCTGCAACAGCGAGCTTGCGAATACCTAGCTTTGGCAAACATGCCGACGGATGATCTCCTGCGAACCGTGTGCGACGAGATGCCGCCTTTCCCATCACGGCAATCTGCGCTGCTCTCAAGACTACATAAGAAGCACGCGAACACTAGCGACAAGAGAACTTGGATCGTTGGTGGCAAGGATGCCAATTTAGACCCTGCCGAGCTGGGCATGACCAAGAGGCCGTCTTTGCAAAGGTCATTCAGCAGTAACGCTGCCCTGAACAGGCACGCCAACACCACGCCCGCCAAATCCAGTGCAACTAGCGACCTTGCCGGCTTGGACATGTCGAACATTGGCGCCTCGGAACCTAAGACCAAGGCTCCCAATCTAGCCAGCGCGGCTCACTTATCGCCCGGATGGGAGCGTGGCTACAACAGTCTCCTGCTGAAGGCCGAGGGCCTTTTATACGAGGATGGCCAGCTCCAAATTGGTATCCGGTCAGAGTACAGAGGACAAATGGCTTGTCTGATCCTGTACTTCTCCAACAAAACCCCTGGCTCCATGAGCTCCTTCACTACCATGTTGGATCTTGATGAGAGCGAGAAGGGCAAACTGACATGGGACGTCAAGAGCATGCCTGAGACGTCACTCAACCATAACGGCCAGTCTCAACAAGTCATCATGTTCGAAGCGAAGAAGGTGTTCGAGAAGAGCCCGACCATTCGTATCAGCTACTTGGCAGGCGCCTTGCAGGCACTGACCCTCATGCTTCCTGTGACTATTCACAAATTCATGGATCCAACAGATCTCTCGGCCGAAGACTGTTTCAAGCGGTGGAAGCAGATCGGAGGCGGACCAAGGGAGGCCCAGAGGATTATTAGTCTGAGTGCTGCGGCCAAGAGCGCTGGACGAGAGATGACCGAGGAGTTTGTCCGGAATTTGGTGGAGGGTTTCCGCTGGCGCAATCTCCAAAACGTAGATCCGAATGCGAAGAACTTCGTGGGTGCTAGTGTTCTTCACACGTCGGAGGGTGGCAAGTTCGGCTGCTTGATGCGTCTTGAGCCAAACTATGCGACTCAGGTTTGTCCTTTACCTTGCCTTCTTTCTCCCGCTTGTTCTACTCGACGCGCAAATCACTAATACCGGTTTCTACAGATGGTTCGCCTCACGATCCGAGCGACGGACGAGAGTGTCCCAGGACCCCTCATAAAAACTATGGAAGACCGCATCGCTGCCGGCATGTCGCTACAAAGGCACTCTCCAACGCGGGATGCGATCTCCGACACTTTCGGTAATGTCATGGTCGCATGAGCGGTTTTTCTCACATGCTGTCTTACTTCATCATAGCATTGGAGGACAGTTCGTCGTACAGCTGAACGGCTTCCTTATTCTTTATTTTATTTCTTCTTTTCTTATTTTCTTTGCCTTTTTTTTTCCGGGGTAAACCCAAAAATTATGGCGTATGGTGCAACGGCATTAAAAGAGTTTCAGTTAGCTTCCGTGGCGGAAATGGAAATGTGGAAATGACGGTTGCACCAGTGCAAACCGGGCAGTCGCATGGCCAAACTGTTCGGTATTGTATGAAGAGGTAACTTGAGGCTTCTTCACATCGTCTTCTCATTTCACCGACTATCTGATGCGCTGCGGTCGGTCCACAACAGTGCAGATGGGCAGCGAACTCGATGTGGTTGAATCTTACATCTGGAAGCCCGTTTCATATTGGGGTCTATCTAGCATAGGCATTTTTGACCGTGACGGAAAATTCAATTTAAGTTGTAAGGGCTCACAGGCTTAATCGTACCGCATCCCGCAGGGGATGTTGAACAGACCGTTGTCAGATACAGCGTAACTCGAACCGTCTAAAATAGGGTCAAAATGGAAGGGTAAAATTGATTGAGGTGATTGTGTAGTTGTCCCCTGCAGGACCGTCAGGGAACTTATCAGAATAATCGGGTTAAGGTACACGCGATGTTTATTTTCATGCCTATAATATATATCTACTAATTTTATGGGGCTTTTATCGAGTTGTTATAGTGTCCCCTGCGGTATGCGGTAGTTCGGGCGAATCAACAACCTCACAGCGAGGAGTTTGGCAGTGATGCCTTTTTCTTTTTTCTCATGTTCCATGTCTTCGAGATTCAACCCAATCGTCAAGTAGGATCCTACGACAAGCATCTACACCACCACTTTGGCTTCATTCTTGGGGCCCCTCTCCCCGAAAATGGTACTCCCAACCCTCACCTCGTCGCTACCCATGGCGATGGCGCCCTCGAAGTCCTCACTCATCCCCATGCTGAGTTCGAGGTCGCGCTCAATGCCGAGACGGGAGCGGACAAGATCCCGCTGCTCCCGAAGCGTTTCAAAATCCTCGTTGCCACCCTCAGCGGTGGTGGTTTGACTGCGACCGATGGCACCGATGGTCATGAGACCGAGGAGGTGGAGGGCGGGGCAGTCGCGCTCGATGGCGGCGCAGAGCTCAACGGTCTCATCCCCGGGGGCGGCGCCGGATTTGGCCTCCTCGCCCGAGGTGTTCACCTGGATGTGAACATTCAGTTTGGCAGGAGCGGCGGCAGGAGCGGCGGCAGGGGCGGCGGACGGGGTGGTGGAGGCCGAGGCGGAAGCGATCAGGTCGGCGCGGGCGGCGTTGAGGAGCTGGGCCTTCTTGAGAGAGTCGACGCTGGAGACGCAGAAGAGGTTGGGGATCCGAGCGAGCTTCTTGGCGTGTGAGGACTGTAGACCTCCGATGAAGTGCCAGTTGATGGAGGGAGGGAGGATTTGGGCCTTCTGGGTGAGTTCCTGGGCGTAGTTCTCGCCGAAGTGGGTGACGGGTGGGACGGCTGGGTCGGCCGGCTGGTGTAAGGCGAGGATGTCGTTTGCGGGCTTCAGCTTGGACACGGCAACGAGGCGGACCTACTACAGCTGTCAGTGACGAATAATAAGCTTTACAAGTAGAAATACAGGGTGAATAAACATCATCATCATCGGACAATTATGGTAACAGAACGAATGGGCCCCGAAAGGGGTATGGAGAACACACATTTCGTCCTTTCGCGGCTGTGGTTAGACGCTCTCTGACAGACTGTACTTGAGATGCAAGAGCTCTAGCCCTTGCGGGATCGATCTTCATCTCCGGCTGGATATCGGTCATTGGAAAACGCTTATGCGTATGTGTATATATTTACATGTAAGTTGGTGTGCAGTGGTAAGTTCGGTCGACGTTATTATTAACGTGCTACGGACATGATTCCGTCGCTGAAGTGATAACTGAGATGGGGACGATGTAAGGTAGCTTTCCATCGATGTCTAACACTTTCTGACAGTTTAGACGCGAAAACTGGAGGCACTTGCGTATTATGTGTTAAACATTGTTTGCAGTGGACCTTACACAGCATGCTGTACGTTGTACTGTCTGCTCTGACGCCCCATTATTCGTACTAGGTTCTAGAACCTCATTTGTAAGCTACATGTCATTGGCCAAAAGCACCGAAGTGGGCTACACGATGTGATCATGTAAAGCGCTTCTGTAATTTTGTGAGGCCACTGTACCTCTTTGCTGCTGCACAGAGACTTCGTACATATTTACCGTAGAGCGCCCGTCTAAGGTAAGGTAGGTATGGATTGTTTGTTCTTTCACTCGCACCCCGTACTACGGATTATATCTCAGCCTATTACTCGGGCCACCTTTGTTCGATACACAGAGTGACCTTGGCGGTCGGTCAATTATCACAATATCATGCACGAGTACGGATGAAAGGAGAAATTCGTACGGGAGGTTTACGTACAGACACCGCGTCGGCCAAATGGTCGGGTCGACAAAAGACAAGGAGTGGGAGCTAAGGTACCTTCCCTTATTTGAAGGTAGCTGAACTCAAATCTCGTTGAACGACTACCCGTACCTGACTTGTGTAGAGATGGAGATTTGTACCTGTAATTACTCTGTACCTTACTCTTGATCTTGGCTTCACACTAGGTACGTGTCGAAGTACGCGTCGAAGCTCCAGCTATCCGAAACCAGACCTCGTCAAAGTACTAACTGAATTGGCGATCATTCACTATTTGGGACGTCGATCCATTAATTGGCATCGGTTGCCTTTCCATACTCGCTTCCTACGGAGTATGACACTCTTCTGAACTCCTAACTCGTTTCAGCGATCATCCTAATGTTCAACTTTCCTCTTCACCATCGCCGAGACTGAGTGATCGGGATTGCGGCCCTTCATAGAGAGAGAGAGAGAGATAGAGAGAGAGAGAGCGTCCGCCCGCCATGCGCGAGCAGCATACCTCTATCAGAAGAACGCTCCGTATCTGCTCCTCTCGACGCTTCCGCTTCCTCTTCGCTTGCGTTACCGTCTTCTCACTATTCTCTCTCCTTTTCTCTCGACTGAATACCGTCACAGGTCAACGCACCCTGTCCCGATATGCCAACCGCATACCCTCTGTGCCGAAGATCAGGGTTCCTACCTCTGACAGCATTTTGAATGATTTTCGGCAACCAGTCAACCCGCTTCCGCGAGAGAAGAACGATATCTTTGACGATAGGTCTGGTTCGGAGAAGTTGCTCTCCGTGCCCTTTTCCTCCGCTCTCGCTCTCGCCCTCGACGAATATCGCTCCATCCTCCCTCCACTGGAGGATCGTGCACCAATATACTGCTACCATGACCCTGCCGCCGCTGAGGATAGGACCACGGCGGATGCGGAAAGCGACCTTCTGCTGACCTGGCGCCGTGCTTGGTGGGCCCACGGCTTCAGACCTATCATTCTCGGGCCAGCGGATGCTTTGAACAACCCTTTGTACGGCGAACTTCAGCGCCTCGATCTGGAACCCGCTGTGAAGACCGAGATCACGCGCTGGCTGGCCTGGGAGACTGCGGGCGGCGGCTTGCTGTCTTTCTACACCGTGCTGCCCATGGGGCCTGAGGAAGATCCCGAACTCATCTTCCTCCGGCGTGGGATATACCCCAAACTCATCCGGTGGCAAGGCCTCGATGATGGCCTGTTGGCAGGGTCTCAACTAGATGTTTTGGCGGCCATCAAGCACGTCCTGGCCAGTAGCGAGCCTAAGCAGGTCAAGGGCTTTCTCGCAGCTGCACCCACCGAGCGTTTCCAGGTGGATGATATGCCCAAACCTATCGTTTACTATGATGCCTCCCTTATCAAGACCAAGTACGGCAAAGTCAACGAGGCTCTCAACGACAGCCGCGCTCGAGGCCTAAAGAGCTTGAATCTGCTCATCAACAGCCACCTTCATGCGGCCTGGCAGAATCACTTCTCCGACGGCATAGCAGTGATGAAGCCGCTCCCCGAACACTCGACACATATGATCAGCGACGCCCGGCAGCTTGCCGTGAGTCTCTCCCAATGCTCGCCCTCGCCCATGGTGAATTCATGCCCTCCCAACAATGACCAATGCAACCCTTGCGTCTCCTCACGGCCCATGCATATCAGCACCCCAGGACGATATCAGAACATCAGCACTCTCTACACCATCGGCACCGTGCCGCATCCTTACACCACCGCCCTCCTCAGAGAGCTCCGGAAAGAGGTTGACATACCTTGGATCCGCTGGAACTCGCCCCGCGACCCTTGGCTGCGTGCCGCCACCATGGGGCTTCTCGGCGCCACCGTCAGCTCCGCCATCCGCGTTGTTCGCTTCAAGGAGATGGTAGCTAGCCAATACGGCACGGCCCACTCCCTCTGGCTGACGGCCGAGAAGTTGATCGAAGAGGATAAGCTCAAGGACTACCTCGACTGGCACTTTGGCTTCGCCATCCCATACGACCAAGACCGGGGCTACAGCGACCCGGGACCAGGGCGCCGTCCCAAGCCGGAGCACGACCCCGTCGATGGTCCCGTTGCAAACGAAGCAGACCTTGCTTTAGAACCCTTTCTACTGCAGAGGGCCCGCGAGCTTCATGTGACCCACAACGACGTGGACGGCGAGGAAGGGGGGGACCGACACCAGGCTGTCGCTGTGCGCGCCGCTATCGAGGCTTGGAACCTTGGCGACACGGAGGCGTGGAAGTTTGCTACGGCGTTCCTTGCGCAACGCATCGTCGAGCGCTTGGAATGGGAGAAGGATGAAAGCGGGTAATACCAGGGAAGGCATGGCTGGCGTTGAGCATGGTGTTTCCGGCAGAGTTGCCTGACTTACATTTGTGTAGTTGGGAAAACTAGGTATGGTATAGACTGGCGTCAAGGGAGTGAATACTTATTTTCTGTCCGTCTCAAGAGGTCCTTATGCGACAAGAATGTAGCTAAACAAGGAGCCTCAAGACCCGACAATGGAGAGGGGAAAAAATCGTGTTCACTAGCCAGATGTTGAGTCTGTGGGGTCGAAAAGAAATCTCCAGAAGAAACTGGAATGCCAGCCTCCAGTGCGCCTCCGTTCGGCCCAAGAGACCAAGGTAACTTTCCCGGAAATCGTACTGTATAAGAAGATGTGTTGAAATCTTCCATGGGGCATTCCCTTTCTCCTCTCATTCCTCCTCTTTCTGGACCGAGTCCATCGTCTGTAATCTAGGGCTGACATATCCCTTAACGCTTTCAAAAGCTTTTAGACAACAGACGAGACATCGGACTTGGTATCTCCGCCCATCTCGCCGCTCAATTCTCGTGACGTCGGCCCACGCCTCGCTGCGGTCGCCCCAAACTCGCCGGTTCCGTTAACGGCGAGGTTGAGCTTTGCTTTCCCATTAATTCCGTTGCTGTCGTTGGTATAAGTCGTACCGTTGACCTTCGCCGCGACAGCCGAACTTCCGATCTGCAGCGTCTCGGTGTAGGAACGTAGAGCGGAGAGGGCGGCCTCGGCGGCCTTTTCTGCGTGCTCGAGCGCATGTCTCAGCGCCTGAGCGGTCGCATCTTCGCAGGTGGTGGGCGGGGCAGAGATGGGCTGCGGCTCCTGCTCTGGATTCACGCCATTTTCAGACCGAAGCTGCGTCGTCCTCGCTGCCGCTGCTACCGCGGCGTCGCGCTCTGCGAGCAGTTCCAGGACGTGGCCGTTCAGCCAGACACCCTCGAGCTGGGCCTTGGTCATGTCCCTCGCGCCGCTGATGGTGCCGCGGCAGGAAGGGGCGCCGCAGAAGCAGTCGAAAGGCTGGGCCATGGACCACTCCGTAGAGGGGTAGAAGAACTAGGGGTCGGTTAGGTAACGGAATCTCTTGGCTCAGTATTACACCTGAAGTGAGGGGGAAAAATGGGAGGTACACGGATGACAACGAACGGTTAGCTCATCACCGGGCTTGAGTCCCTTGGGTCCCACTAGGACGTTGAAATTACCCGTGTCGAAGATCTATTGTCACTCACAAGTGTGGTTAGCGAAAAATGGACTCCTGGTCGCAGTTAAAGTGGAAGAGGACTAAATAATCAGGTGGCCGTGCAGAGCAATACAAAGACAGGCTTCAACAAGACCGAGAGCCGATCTATTGACCGCTATCCATAGACCACCACTGGCAGGACAAAGGTTACAGGGAGGTCAAGGGTGACTGACCAGAGAAGGATCACACGAGTGATTGATATACAGCAGGTCGCTGTTGAGGTTGAAGTGCTTATCTCGACCACACTGAACTGTAGCATAGGTCGGTTCCTCGACAAAGCTGCAAGGAGGGAAAGACATCTTGGCGAAGACGGCGAAGGGGGGTAGAGTGACCTTGGAAACACTCTTGGTCAAGAATTCGGTGTCGCTGGCCTTGATGACTTCCTGGACGTCCGGGTGGGACGGCTGAGTCCAATGAGGCTTAAGGGGGGCCATGGCGAGATATGAGATATCCGTTTATCAAAGGACGTCGATGTATACGAATGTGTAATTCAGGTGAAAGTAGAATATTGTGTCGTTCAGTCAAGGCGGGTATCCGAGATTTAAAGTCGGATTTCGTTGGAACCGAACGGGATCGCGTCTCAGAAGTTGGACAGACTACCAAGTGGGAAATGTAAAAAGATTGGGCCAAAGATGGGGCATAAGCCAGATCACTCGAGGGTATTCGGGATTGGAAAGAAAACGAGAAGAGAAAGGTAAAATAGTAAGAAATCTTAAGAGAAAACGGAACGATCATCGAACTCGACAGAACTAAAAACAAAAGGCTCAGTCATCATATGTCCATCGGTTAAGTGACCGGCTTCCACGTCTCGTCCGGATGCCGTTAATAAACAACGCAACCTAGGTAGACTAAGTTCCAAGTAAATGTATATTTACATTTAGTACCTCTTGGTATCGCACTTGGGGAGGCGTCATTGGTGGCAAGGAAAGAAAAGCGCCACCGAATCACGGAGTCGGCGTCCCAAAACAGGCAACGGCCTACGGCACTTAGTATCTTGTCAGTTCAGGTACCTCTCGGAAGTAGGAAGCATGAAAGCATTCAAGTGTAAGTCTTTCGGCATTGCACGGGGAGCTAGGTGCTAATTATACCGAATGCGGCCTGTTCCTCCCACTGGGTATAGCTATCTTGATTGCTTTTTTCTTGTCTTATCCTAGCACCGAAAATATTCAGATAGGACATGTGCTACTCCGTGGAATCTTATCCGAATGCTCTGCGTCCTGACTACCTTGGTCAGGGACAGAACGACACCTTAATGTATGCTGGGAGCAGATCTGCATGTGATGTTGTTTGGTCCCTCGAAATACTTGAAAGCAATCAACCCGAGTAAGAGGGAGGGGTAAACCGCGGGGTAACGGGCCCAGACGGATAGGCATCCGTGAGGAAAAAAGACCTCGGGCCACGAGGAGTGCCGTGCCCCGAGTCCCCACCAATGCGCCCCTGTGCTTCGTAGATCCACCACATGCGGGCAGTGATGGTACTGTACCTACTTTAACAGCTCTTCGGCCTGCCGCATGGTTCACAGGTGTGAGCCTCAATTCGGCCTCTTTACGAGCGGGCATTAGGTAACATTCTGGTATTCCTTAACCAACAGGCTATGGTTAGGACCTCAGCAAAGGGACTGCCCAAGAATTCAACCACTGCCAGGAACAATCCTTGCGAATGTACGGATTGGGAGTTGCATGACTGCTGGTGTACCAAGACTACGTCTGGTACCTGCGCCGATGCGGTCATCATGCAGCTGGACAGCACAACTATCGGCCCGGCCTGGCAGGAATAACGTGAAGCCGTCTACCGAGCGGTCCGTAGTTTACTCGGGTAAGGTAAGGTAGCCAGACAAACAGCAATAGGTACTTCGTGATTAAGGAACCTTGGTTTCGAAGCGTGCGTCTCTATAAGTTACACACTTCCTAGTTCTAAAGAATAGTGCGTGATACGCCCGACCTCCAGCCTTGAGGGTTTATTCTTATCAGATATCTCGCGGTAGTCGTTTTGTTGGGTTCGATGGGATAGGGGACGCGGAAAATAGAATTCTTTTGGACCCACTCTTATGTGTCTACCTTAGGTGCCTACCTTACCTTAGGTAATGTCCATTCTCCTTTGCTTCTGAGGTACCTACCAATCAGCGGCGTCCTTTGCGCTCCGTAAAAAATATCTCCTTTATCAACTCCCAGGTCTTCACTTATCTATAACAAGGGTTGAGAAGCTGGAAACTTCCCAGTAAGAGGCTCAAGACGTAGAAAGGCCAATTTTATGTGTACTGACGTTTCCAGCCATTCTTAGGATACTCGGATCGATACGCATCTCTGCACTTCTCATCGATCAAGCCCTGGCAATCCATCATGAGGGATAGAGACGGTGCGCATGTTGCCCTGGTGCCTGTCTGAATAGGCTTGGCTTGGCCAACAATTTGGGAGCCAATTTTCAATGGGAAGAAAAGAAAATCTCTTCCCCTTTCTTCCCCTGGCTCTCACTATCACCTTATGATGCTCAGTTCCTTGGTCAAGACGATGACTTTGTCCACAGTTCAACTTTATACTTTGTATACTAACTCCCCTGGTCGTTTTGCCTCTCTCCTTCTCATTTTATTCCACTATACGCTATCAAGCCGCCTCCCTCTGGTCTGGTCTCAAGCCTTCCGGGCAGTGAGAGCGAACTGTGCTACGGGGTATTTGCCTACTAACCTTTTAGGTGGCTTTTTAAAGATATGTCTTCTCTGATCTTGGAGAGCCGTCATTTCAAAGAAATACGCAAGACTCAAGACCTTCCTTTTCTCTCTTTGAAAGTCACGCTGGCCATCGGCGAGGAGTGGCGGATTCCTCATAAACTGAACCAACTTTCTTGTCTTATGCAGTCTGTGAGTCTGTTCACAGTCTGGGGATAGGATCTCCAGAAGACAAACCGGTGGAGCTTTTTTGAGTATAGGGCTTCTTTCTACTCACAGTCTACCTTTCCCAAGGAGTCAAGGAGCTTGAAACGGGGCCAATGGTCATGTAAGCCCTTCTCACATGGAAGTAGGACGCAGTTTTTCTACTCACATAGGTACTCTGTACCCATCTCTAGGTTAATACCTAGGAGGTACTCCGGCATCCTCTCCGGCTCTCCGTCATCATCTATTTCCTATCTGTGACACTGCTTGTGAGCAGTAGTCCCTGGGTATAGATATGTATCCCGCTTGATCATGATACCACCGCAACTTAATGGGGCCTTTGGGCGGGGGTTCTTGGTTGCCCCTACCTTGCAAGCCCTACTTCTGATGCTCGGTGACTCTCGACTCTCAGGCATTGAGGAAAGAAGACCCCAATGGTTCCGCTTAGTGCCGCAAAGGTCCTCACCTCCTGACTTGATCGTGAACCCTGGACACGCAAGTATTGGGGATCGCCCTGGGCTGGTCTGTTTCTTAACAAACGGGACCCCTTTCGAGGACCTTCCTGCTCAGGTGATCAGTTTCCTCGGTGTTCATCGTGTGATCATCTTCGGAACCCCCTTGTTTCTTCCCACGGAGGAACTTGCTCTCTTGTTTTCCTGACCAGCACACCCCGGTGTTCATTAACGCGTGGATCTTGACAGGTAAACGACAAGGTCGAGCCTGCTCCTTTTCTCCCTAACCTACCTTACCTTACCTACCAAGACTACTTCCACTCCTCCCAGAGCCAGACGCTCTATAGGTACCTTACGACCTACCACTCGCACATCGCGGTCAGAGGTGTAAGCTTCCGTGTATTACCCCGTCCGAGATCAGATATTGCCGCGCAGACCAGTGTCGCGATAACCTCTCAGAGCCTATTCTTAATTTTATTACCTCACCTAAGGTACCTACCTGATTCCTCATTCCCCCCCAACTGTTCGTCTTGACGATTGCCACTGCCGACATTTCACCAAGCAGATACAGCCTGACTCGATCTCATCGTCAACTTGGCAACATATCGGGCGAGGAATCAGGAGGCCGTTTTGCGAGTCTCCTCATCTGTATTGCGGGTTTCTCGTCTTGTCTTGTCAAGAGCCTGGAGTTTTCATCCGTAAGTTGGGATACTTCTCCTGTCGTCCTACTTCGTCTGCTTCTGCCCGTTTCCAGTTCCTATCTTTTTCTTCTTCTTTTCTTCTTCTTTGCATTCTGGGCCAGTGCCTCTTTCGCGAGCGGGTAAGAGAATGACAGCGTACACACGGTCGACCCTTCCTTGCACGCTCTGGCTGAATGTAGCTGGATATTCTCGCTAGTTCGTCCTTCTCCCACGAAGCCGCTTCGCGACCTTTTTTTTTCCTTCCTCCACAACTCTTCCTACTTCATCGCCGACCCTGGCGCTGACCCTCTACCTGCGTGTATCCCGTCCTTGCCATCACCAGACTTTGTTGCAGCCACCGAGTTCGTCTTTTCGAACTGACAAACGTTCTGAGAGTCTCAGTCCCTCTCCCTTTTGGCCCTGACCTCACACCACGTCCTCGCTTCGTACACTCCAACTCCAGCTCCCATTTTCCACCTCCTCTAGGCTTTTTTTTCCCTTCTCCGTTCCGGTTCTATTGAAAGCTGACTTCTAGAGAGCTTGTATGTATAGCACCGGCTGTTTCAATTGAGCTTGCTTTCGTTGGCTTTATCATAAGTTGGTAGGTCTCCCAAGGACACAATTTTACGCGGCATTATACCATTGCCTTCAAATAGAGAGCTGGGGAGCTCCTCTGCTCTTGTTTCTTGGGTTCTCTTCTCTTTACCATCAACTCTACGTCAGGACTCTATTTTGCACTCTTCTTGGGCATGCTTGGGCATGCTTGGGCCAACCCTTACCCCTACCCCGAATCCTTCCCCCTGGGCACGCTTCAGAAGTATTAGCTCTACTTGCTGGATGATGGGCGATTATTAACAATGATTTACAGTGATTCGAAGCAACTTGTCCCGTCAACTTGGCCGATATCACTTCTGCCGGCAGCCTTGACCAACTTACTCTCCGTCTCCTACCCAAAACCAAGAACAGAATTTGCCTGGCCTTGTATCGGTACCAGTCCGAGCATGGCCCGCAAGTCTTACACCCCGGAAGAGCTTCTTGCTCTGCGAGGCCTTACCTCCGAGTGGCCGCTCGAGCATAGACTGATCAATCGGGTTGAAAAGGATCCCGCTGTCGGTATGCACTCACCAAACCAACCCCCTTTTCCACTTGGCATGTGTAGATACGAAAGGGACTCATCGTCATTCACAGCTCACGTCCTTCGTGTGCGCCCAATGGCATCCCTTTCCAATGGCATCGACCGCGGTATCTCTGAGCACAATGCTTCTACCGAGTCAGAGGAACCCATCCGCCAGCAGCTCGACGGCCAAGATGTCGAATGGAAACTTCAAGGGCGTAATTCTGTGGATGCCCAGTCGCCCAATCCATTGACGGCCCCGCATGAGATGAAGGCTCAGATGAATGAAGGTTTTAAGCGGTTCTATAAAGCAGTGGTTTCGCCCAACAACATCCGGGTCACTGCGGGCGGCCGTATCGTGCCTAATACCTTGGCCAATTCTTCTCCCACTGGAAAGGGAAAGGACAAAGCGGTTGGCGAAAGTTCGGTTCATATGCCCGTTCAAGGTCATCCAAACTACAGCGCAAGCTCGAACGGTGGCGTTGCTGGCAACCGCCGGGATTCTCTCTTTAGCCCGAGCTTGATTCCTCGCAGCCCTCGACGCATGTCTGCGGCCCCCTTTCCGATGCCGGGTTATCCCTTTTCAGCTGCTTCGGCTGTACCTGGCCCAGTGAACGTGCCGCTGAACTCCGATGCAAACAATATTGGGGGTAATGGTTGCGACAAGAACGCACCTGGGCCTTCCTTTGAGCAGCCTCCTGCTCCCAAACCTGCCGGTATCAATGTGTCAGGTCACTACATGGGTCATGCATTCATACCAGGCATGCCAGGCATGCCTATGTCAGTTCAAATGCCCATGCCCATGGGTATGCACATGCCCATGCCTATGATGCCTTCCCATCCGAGCATGATTGGGTATCCAGGTTCCCCGATGGGCACCTTGAGTCCTCATATGGGGACCTTCAGTCCACTCTACGGACCAATGCCGTTCTCTGGTCATTTGCCTCATCCGATGCCGATGTCTATTCCGGGACTGGTTCACCCCTGTTCCAACCTGATGGGAGGGCCCCATGGCCCGCTGAACACCCCTAGCGCTCCACCTGCATCTTCGATTCGGATGAGCGATGTGACCAAGAAACACATTGAAAACATGCGGCTCCAACTCAAGTGGGTCGAAGACCAACTTCAGTTCAATAAGCATCAGGTCGACGAGAGAGAAATGAAGCAACAGGCGGAAGTCATCCGTCAGCAAATCCAGGAATTAGACGCCAACCTCAAAAGCCAGCTTGACGACGAGGCCCGCCAGTCAAGGACGGGCTCCAAGTCTGCCTCCGCTAACCCATCCTTCAGAGAACTCGCCGTACAGGCGCGTGAGTCCACCCAACTGAGTTCTGCGATTAGTGAGCCCAAGCCTTCGACTGGTAAGAGAGGTACACAGGTATTTCGAGTAAAAGAAAGAGGAAACCGAGCAAGGGGCTCCAGTTCAAGTCAGAATGCAAATCACTATCGAACATCCACCACTGACAGTAACCGCGGTGACGACTCCGCTTGCGCAACGACGAGCGCGTTCGTGCTTCACAATCCGAGCACGATCCCTGAACCTGCAAAGAAGCGGTCTGCCCTACCAATCACCGCTGCATTGGCGCCTCCTTTTAAGCCTCGTGGCCAGTACGGCCAAGGACTTTTACACTCGACCAGCGTTGAGTCCTTCAAGTACACGAATTCCAGCAAAATGAACGAAGAGGAGCGGCTTGTCCGTGAACAGCGCCTTCTTGCAGCAGGCATGCAGTATCCTCCCATACCTCCTGAATTCGAGGCCATGTCTGCGCGGCTCACTGGTGCTACTCAGAGAATGCCTGAAAATGAAGTCGACGCGTCGGCTGATACCCAGCTGAGCAGCCAAGAGAATCTTCAAGAACCTCTTGCGCAACTCAATGACGGACTCGGACGACCGTATCTGGAGGGCAAGCTCCGACCGGGAGTCGACGCTCGTAATGCGAAGGACCAGGACTACGTCTACCATCGTCCTCTCACTGATGAAGAGATTCGCGCGCGTCATTTGTACTGGGGCAACGCTCCGCGCTCCGTTCAGAAGGGTCTCCCAAAGTATGACGGAAGAAATTTCTATCCGGCTTCTCCAGTCAAGGAGATGAAGTCTCCAAATACGGATTCCAATCACACGTGTCTGCCTGCTGGTCACCTGGATGATTATGGTTACAAATCCCAAACCACTGTACCTGGACCCAATCCCGATCCTTTCGCTCAAGAAACCATGAAAGGGCTTCTCGCCCTTCACCTGAGAAAGTCCAAGCGCCAAACGCAGTCTGATAATGTGAATGGCAGCCAGTCACGGAGGAAGGAAATGATTCGTATACGCCCAACGACTTCCCTTATCAGCAAGGAGGAGACGAGCGATTCAGACGCCCACGATGTTGCCGAAGAGTCTCCAGCCGGCCAGTCTCCCCGACGTTCCACCCAGCCGTCCGATTCGGATGAATCTCATGAGATTGTCTTCAACGGCCGTCGGAGCATGCAACGCTCTAGGTACGTACCCTACCTCTCCTACGCACTTTTTTTCTTTGAGACTGACGTTTATGCCCACCAGCAACAGCCGCAGCGGACTCTGGCAGACGATGGGGAAGATCAATGCCGGTAGCGTCAATGCACTACCCGGGGCTATGAGCTCCACCACGGCTCATGGACTCATGCGCCAGTACGCGGGTTCGGCCGCTGCGTCGCTCACACCCGCCATGGCCACTGTTGCTGCTTCAACCGTGTCCCTCCGAACGTCCCCTGTCAAGTTCCAGAGCCAAGAAGAAACAACGGGAGCTGCTCTTTTCGGTGACAAGAGAGAGAACAAATCCCCCCTAGGCCGGCGGTGAGTGATTCGTACATTGATTTCAACCCACTATAGCTGACGACGCCTGGATTGTAGGGGCATACGTCGTATGGTACAGAGAGGCTAAGTACGCGATTCTGTTCATCAGTTCGTGGCTTCCTCAAACCCGTTCTACTTACTTAATGGGGTTCATATATCGTCATAAGTTGCTCAAGAGGTCTAGTATCGCTTCTTCCAGGAATGGTTATACCCGGCATTACGGCCTGCCTTCACAAAATCATATCGGCATCACCCATTTCGACTCCTGTGCGTCTCTGACGCCAGGGACCAAATTTAGCATGAATTATCTCAGCATTGGAGGAGAAATGTTACGTGTCAGGGTTTGGGTGTCGGACTCTACGTCGTTGTTGATACCCATGTTAACGTGTATCTGAATTTTTGGTATGGGGCCAACATCGCGGTTGCTACAGAACTCTGGCTTTCTATGCCTCATCATATCATCAGGGTCGGACTACATGTTTCCCTTCTGTTTTTCGGTCTTTTTCTACTTTTTCTTTGTCTGCCCTTTTAATGTCATGAAACGAGGTTCTAGAACAAGAAGTGTACAAGAGCTCAGTCCCCAGCCGGACAAGTTGCCAGAAGCTCCCTCTCAGGCTACTTCGTTTGGCAGCTTGGGTCAAGGACGCAATGAGTTTCATTAATGTTCATTCCTGGTCCACCAACTGTATAACAAGCATACACGGGTATCAGATATCAATAACATGGCATTATCCTACCTGGACTGAAGCCTCATATGAATTTCGTAACGTCTCAAACACACAAGTTGGACACGGGTAGTTTCCCTTTCAAGGGAAATATAAGTGGCAGACTAAGTGATATACGTATGTGTATTGTGGCGGCAGTGCATGATCTAGGCTACGTTACAGAGAAGTGCTGGTAAATATGTCTCTCACGTTCAAAATTTCGACGTCATGGCGTCAAGGCTCGACGAAAGTCTTCATGCGAGGACGAGGAAGTGGTGATCCTGCTTTCCGTCGATGACGGGAATACAGGTCTCCCTCGCCGGGTTTCTTATTCGCTAGTCGTATACCTCGAGAACCATAGACTGAAGTGGCTGACGAGGAGATATCTAGCGGGACAGGAGGGACTTAGGAGGAGAAACAAAAGCTACGAACCACGGTCTACCACCTACCTGCAGACGCCGGGTCCAAATTGAGACCGCAGATCAGGCTGAATTCTGGTGACCTTCATGCCAATCTTCTTGATCAGTCGGAATCTGGAAGCCGGACAGTGCTGTCGGTTTCATAAGCTCGGGATGTTAGCAGGCTACGACAGATGGGATAGCATATCTCGGGTGGGCTTCCGAGTCCCTGCAGTGCAATGGGGAACAACATCACGGCAGCAAAGGGGGGGTAGGACAGCAGCTCTAGGCACCCTGGTGGTGCTTGAGTGCTGCGGCTTCGGGAGGACCTCCCATGGAGCATTTCACGAGCGACGAGGAACGTGAAATGGCCATAGAGAAAACAAGTTTCTCGGGTTTTGGTTGTGATTTTTTGTGTTTGTCGTTGCTACTCTTCATGTCTTGTTCCGCCGCGGTGGGTGAAAGGGCTTTCCTGCCTTGCCCTGCCTTTTGCCATACCATGGGTCATGCCCGTGTCGAACCGGGGAATCGTTTCGAGACCGAAAAACGCCGAAAAGGAGGAAACGGTAAAATGTCGGTGTGTGACCGATTCGGATAGGTCGAAGTCATCCACTCAAGTGACGGGTTGATTGATGGATGCGTGTATCGTGTCGTGACGAATCATTCCCCTCCAAGCTCCTCCCCACAAGCTGGGAGATAGGAAAGCCAGGGGGAGGGCTGAAGCAGGGGCCGCTCACTCCAGGCGACCCAAGGGAAATGGATTCCCCCCTCGCAAGCTGCTTAAGCGGAGGCACGGCTCTTGGGGCCGGACTCGCGGCCACGCTTGATGCGCTCCAGGATAGCCTCGCGGTCCTTGTCAAGCTTGAGCTTGTTGACGACCACCTTGGAGGGGTGGATGCCGATGGGGACGGACTGGCCGTTGGTCTTCTCGCGGTTGACGCGCTCGATGTGAATGACGTACTTGAGACGGTAGACCGAAGTGACCTTGCCCTCACGGCCCTTGTTGGCGCCACGGACAATGGTGACCTCGTCGTCCTTGCGGATGGGGATGCTGCGAGCCTTGAAGGGGGTCAGGACACGACGGTGCATTCCCATTGAGGGGAGAGATTTTCAGAAAGAATTGAAGGAGCAAACTCACGTTGTACTTCTCGCGCAGCTCCTTGGAAAGAGGAGCGCTCATGATGACGCGGCGCTCGCTGGAGGGAGCATTGAAGTGAGCGGCACGCGCCTTGCGGCGGGAAGAGTGAACACCTAAATTGAGAACGCATGTCAGCTTTCGTAGCCTGACAGAAAAATCGTCGATTGTATGGTTTCGAGGCGTTTCAACGGAAAGGATGCAACATACTGGTAACCTTGCCCATCTTGACGGTGAGTACTGGCGACACGGACCGAGGAAATTGAGGACTTGTTGCGGTGGATGTGTTCGAAATTTCGGAATAGAAAATGTTGGTGGTGAAATTGGTGCGAGAACTTTTTGGGGACCGTGTGCTCTCACGTGATTTTGAGAAACTCTGCCCTACAATTTCACGTGCTTCGTCCCAGGATTATGGGCACGGACCAACTATGAGTTCGGAACAGTTGACCCCCACTTATACTGATAAGGTACTTTTCCAATCTCGGTGGGACATGGCACGATAAAGGTACGTACCATGATCATTGATACCTAGGAACTCCGAACATCTGATTGCGGGAGCTTCTCCATCGCCGTTCCCGAGGAAGATCTTCCCAGGTTTCGACATCCGCGACATGAACGCTTTCCCCAAAATTCAGAGGAACGTAGCGCAATCCTCATGCCAATGGAGTCGCTTCTTCTACCAGAATGCCCGACCACAAACGATTCGCTCCACGCGGTTTCCTGGAACATCTCGCAATGCCTCAAGTTCAAGGCCGCCGCCGTCCCAGCAACGGCAACAAAATGCTTACGCTCCATCAATGGAACAAGTGAACGCACATTATAAGAAGAAGAATACATCAATGGCGTATGACGATGTTCTTTCCTATCAATGGGTCACGCGACCGAAGGGCAAGCTTGTGGTAAATGGGTAGCTAAGTTTCTCTGTGCAGGCTGTACACCATGAGTATCATCCTCGGCACTATCGCCTTGTCCTATGGCTCGGTTCCTCTATACAAAATGGTACGTCCCTGACAAGCTATCTGACCTACCCACAATTGCGTGCCCTCCTGACCTCGCTCGCGCCGCCTCTCAGATCTGCCAAACCACAGGATGGGGAGGTCAACCAGTGCGTGCCCATGGCCCCAACGTCTCTTACGACGACGACGCAGAAGCTCTCGCCGCCCGGCTCATCCCCGTGAAGGACGCGAAACGCATCCGCGTCACCTTCAACGCCTCCGTCTCGGACGTGCTACCCTGGAAGTTCGTCCCGCAACAACGAGAAGTCCGTGTACTCCCTGGCGAGACGGCCCTGGCCTTCTACACGGCAACGAACAAAAGCGATCGCGATATCGTCGGCGTGGCGACGTACAGCGTAACTCCGGCGCAGGTGGCCCCGTACTTCTCCAAGATCCAGTGCTTCTGCTTCGAGCAGCAGCGGCTCGCGGCCGGCGAGACTGTGGACATGCCTGTCTTCTTCTACTTGGATCCGGATATATTGCAAGATTTCAACACGCGGAAAATCGAGACGGTTACGCTGTCGTATACATTCTTCAGTATGTCTCCCCTGTTTCGATAGGTTCTTTCTGTCCTCGTTGTTGTTTGGACTGGTCTCGGGTCTCGGCGTGGAATGTTGCTAATGTTTGACAGAGGCCAAATTCGACGACAATGGGAACATCGACCTGCCGGCCGGGTTGCCCAACCCCGCAAAGTGAACCGGAAGTGTACGTTAGGATTGCATGATAGAAGGTGCCCCAATTTTCTTGTACTTCAAAAACTTTCAGCTCTTTTGTATTACAACCATACAACATTGCGTTGGGGTGAGGGGGGGATCTGTATTGGCGATTGCCGATGAGAGAGGCGTTTCATGGAAGGAAAACATCCAAGGCCAACTACTGCATACAAGGCTTGAGACCCTAGGTTGGAAAGAAAAGCCTAATCTCAGCCCCAATAGACGGAGCTATGAGTTCTTCTGTACCTTGGCGAACAGCACCACCCAGTCGGTGTATGGCTTCGATGTCAAAAAAGTGATTTTCTTTCCGAGTCGACAGTTTGTCCCAGAACTGAATATCACGCGACCCGTCACAACCTTCGTGAAGCACAAGAGTTTCGCTCCCCAGATAAACTTGCTGGTTCACACAACCTTGCCGTTTTGGATGGGTTTCTTGATGTGATAAAAGCGTGAGCTGAGCATGTCCTCCCCGAGAGCCAGTACTCTTTCCAGGACTTGAATCACGAAAACCTGAATGAGAAGAATGACGACCCGTAACATGAGGTCTGGGATACCAAGCACTGGCGCGCTGCCACGGCAGTAGGTGGAATCGACAAAGCGGAAAGGCAGGCGGGCGCCAAGGTGGTCCTGTGCGACCTTGAGGCCGCTGCTGAATGCATCCTCGTCGAAGCCGTACTCGGTCCAGGCGCCGGCGTAGCTGATGCCGCGGGTATTTTGAATGCGGTACAGCTGGGTTTGGGCATGGACGGCCTCGGAGGTGTACAGAGGGCGGCGATGGGTAAAGCAAGCTTGTGTCTTGCTCGGATGAGGCTGACGGACCGGATTGATGGTGACAAGGACATCGCCGAAGGGATCACGAGGGATATGTTGCAACTCGTTCAAGTTGTAGGTGAGCGAGCTTCTGCCGAGGTCGGGCTTGGCTTTGATAGGAGACGAAACCGACAGGTAGTTCCAACCCGACCAAGCCTTGCGGGTGACTGGCATAAGTGCGGGGTCAGAATGCAGGACGACTGTGCTCTCGGACGACTGGAAAGAGCCCAGGATTTCTCTCTCCTCGGGTGTTGCTGCGGGGTCAATGATTCGATAGGCTTCGTCGCCGGAGGTCGCGAGAATAACATGGTCGTAAACCTCGGAGCGGCCATTGGGAAGATGAACACGGACCTTGCCATCAGCCGTGTTGGAGACGTGGGTGACGAGGGTGTTCAGAAAAAGGTGGTTCGGCGGGAAGCCTCTCATGACAGCTTCGATATAAGACTTCCCGCAATCCTTCAAGGTGAGCGATTCGGGTCGGCTGCCTATTAGGGATAAAAGATGGTTGTTCCACCTGGGAGAGAGCGTGGCCCGTCAAGTCAATGTTGGGTGCTCGCAAGAAGAAAAGGGGGAAAGGGCCAGGGGGGGAGGATCCGAGCAATGGGAAACCTACATGAGCCGTACCACGGCCGCAGCAGGGATGTCAAGAATCCGCTTGTCTGGGCTCGTGGTCAATAAGGCGGCCGTCAGGGGAATGAGATACTCATTCTTGAAGGTATCAGAGTAGCCTTCGTTCCTGAGATATTCGCCAATGGTCTCTGCACACTGGGCGGTTTTCTGACTCGGCCGACCAGGGTTGCCGTTGGCCTGATGTTTATTCTCAAGAGTATTAGCGGCAACAATGCCACCGTCAACGGGGTCGTCTGCTAGTAATAGTTCGACGGCGAAGTGATTGAAGCGGATCACATCGAAGATCATCCTCCACATGCTTGGCGAGAAGAGGTTGCGCCTCTGGCAGAAGAGGGCATCCAAACTTGTGCTCGCCCATTCGAACAGTCCATAGTCTTGGGAGACGCTGAATGTGATTTTAGATGTCTGCGTTTCGACCTTGGCTTTCTTAAGGAAATTGAGGAAGTTCGCTGGAAGCCAGGTAAGTTTGTCGTGCGGGAACAACACCCCGAGGGTAAAGCAAGGGGGTAACTAACTCACAGGAAGTGGCCGAGTTGAGAACGATCAAGCCGGCGTCTACGCTGACTTCGTATTTGCCTACTCTCCACTTGACGGTGTTGGTGTGACCGCCAAGTTTGGAAGAAGCCTCGTAGAGGTAAACGTCATGGTGACTCTTGTTCAGGGCCCAGAGGGCAGCAATACCAGCACACCCACCACCGACAATTGCGACCTTCTTTCTTGACCCTGGCACAACTGAGCAAATAGAGGACGCCACGGAATTCTCAGAGAGCATCCGTCGGTGGGACATGGCGATGCAAAGATGGAGGGCAATCACCGGGACCTCAATGAGGAGCAGAGTAACAAGAGCGACAGGGACAGACGAGAACTATACGCGATGGGAAAGAAAAAGTTGCACGATTTGTGACGACGATGACCCAGGAAATGACACAAGACGCAACACAACCATGCTATTACCCAAACAGAACACTGTCTGCCATCGCATTGAAATAAATGACGTACGTGAGTGAGGCGGGGGAAAGATTGGAGACGGAATGCGCGAAGGTAAGGTACTTGGAATGGCGACGTCTGTGTCCGTATTCCCTACAGGTGGTGATAAGTAATTACTCCAGGCGGTAAGTAAGTTAAGCCTCGAAAACTAAGGTACCTACTGCAGGTACCTTACCTTAGCGGGCACCCATATCGAGGCCCGACAGAATGTAATGTTATGGGCCATGGCTGTGTCGTGTCTCAGCATCCCGTTCACGGGAGTGGCCGGCATGCAGCCAGCTGGGCGACGGACGACCAAGGAGAGAGAGGGTGTGTGAAACCAGCGGGGAGCATGCTGGTTGGCATGCGAAGCAGATAACTCGAAACAACTACAAGCCAGCGCCACATGGCGGTCAAGCAGTGTTACATATGCTTATCGTTGCAGTCGTATCAGAGATGTGGAAGCTCATGAATGGACAAGGCGAGCGAAAGAGTTGGGCAGTAATAAAGCAATGAAGAAACTAGGCCTCCGTGACCGCTATTATAAACGGCCCATTAAATAGCCCGACGGAAAATTGCCCAACCTTTCGTCAGTTCGGCAGCGATAGTGCCACCAGAAAAGAGATGTACGTCTGCTGCTTGCTGAGATGTGAGACCCGACCATTTCTTCTTCTTTTTTTCTTCTGCCTTTTTTCCCCCTTCTTTTTTTTTTTTTTTTTTTTTTTGGGGGGGGGGGGGGGGGGAGGGATTTGAATTTGGATTTGAATTTGTCGTGGATACTCCGTACGGAATAATACATCGCATCGTGTCGCCGATCTCTAACGCTCCTACAGATCGACCGGGAAGACAAACCAGCCAGAGAATGCCCGACAAGGAGACAGCAATGGTTTGCAAGCAGTGGCGGATGGAGTGACATGAGGCTGATTCTGTTACACAGGAACCGATGGTGTATTATCATCGGCAAAGATGAACACGGAAGATCATGGGATTGGCTTCGGACGCACTATTACTTTCTCCCCTGGCTGGGACGAGAGTGAAATCAAACCATGATCGTCCAAAAGTCCTCTCCGTAACCTCCCCGGCCGCCATGCATAACCAGCGCAGGGTCCGGATGGACGTGATCTACGATAGATAGGTACGGACAATAAAATGTCGAGCACTCAACGGGATCGGATAAACGTGTGAATCGAGTTCCCAATTCTTGAAAGCGCCGCGTCAAAAAAGAGCATCCATCTGCCCGAAATCTGTTCAACCCTGTGCCCATGGATGCTGGTCTCCCCGAGGGGAGTCCAGCTGTCCGGGATCGCAGGGCCTTATTTCTTCCTCCGGGGTAATCAACTTTGAAGAAGGAAAAGAAGAAGAGAAAGGAAAGAGAAAAATCCACCCGCCGAAGAGAAGAAAAGGTCCTCTAAAGTCTTTAGCGAGAAAGCACGGGCCATAGGAGACTCGATCACGTGAACTGTATCCTACCTTAGGTAAGGTACCTTACGTTATACCCCTCAGCTTAACTTTTCGCCCCACTCAGACCCACACCTACCCTTAGCTCAGCCTCCGAGTTCAATATCAGTTTATCTGCAACCACGTCCCATAGACTGCCTATGCTATTCATACACAGTTGATTGGCAGAAATGGGGCCGGCGTCGACCAAACGCTCCTGAACACTCAATGGCAGCTGCAGTCAGCAGAAGTTCGACAACATCGTGACCATTGGCTGATACCAAATGTAGTGTGCAGCCTGCTTCTCGAGCAGAAGCTTCGCCTTCAATTAAATTTCTTGGCACCTGCCGTTAATTCACGCACCCATCACATCGACGCGGCTCGCGATAAGACCGGAGGACCAAGCGAGAAGGCAAAGTTTCTGGCGAGGAGAGATTGGTAGGGTAGCCACTTCATAGCCACGTAGCTAGAGGAGCCCGAGATCTGGTATAGTTACGCAGTATGTACGTTGGTGCTAGAGTGGGTGCTATCAAACTGCCTCGGGAGCGCAACGTGTCTGTATGCTTATCCCCAGTCAACCATCAGTCGCCCTAAAACTCTTGCTTGCGCCATATGATGAAGCCTGTGGCAGCATTAGTGCCTGCCGCGATATAGGTTTGTAATATCCTTGAATGACCGGATACTAAGATTGGCCTAATTACTTTGAGCGTGAATCGCGGATGGGTTAAAATTGGCATCAACAAACCTGTTGCGGGCCACCCTATCATGCAGCGTGATTCCTATACCCTTGTAAAATATTGGCTGCATGCAGTGCCAGAGGCGAGCTGAAGAACATCCGCATCGGGTGCATACCGTAGATGCAGGTAGACTAAACATTTGAACTAAACCACATGCACGCCACACCACAGAGCTGAGACGACGAATTATGATAAGTCAGAGCGACCGATGATGCAGCCCAGAACGCAGGGTTGAGACGCAGCAGTATGAACGAGGGTTAAATAAATGTTGACTTGATCGCTAAGCAAGTACGATATATGTAGCCATAGCTCAGCATCGAATCGGCTAACAGTACTCCTTACTTCCCACTCCACGATACCTCGACGAAATATACCACAACCCTCAAGATGACAGAAGGCCAGAAACCCCACGGAGACAGCGTTCGCTCGAGGCAGCAATCAGAAAAACAACAGCAGGAGGTGACGGCGCTTAGTCTGCAGCCAGACCCAAAAAACCAACCGGTGGTTTTTAACCCAGATCTCGCGGGCGTGGCTTCTCTTGTCTGTTCATGCAAGTTGCTGCGTTGCAGTGGCGCTCTGTATAGCCCTAGCACTGCACGGATATCGTGCTGGAGATGAGACCAGCTCACGGATTACAGAAGGCAGGCTGCTATTCAAAGTCAGCGATATCACGACACTCGTCTCCGTGGCGCTGGTGGTCATCAAGACTGTCGCTGGCACCTGGTCTGCCACCGTCCTCTGGGGCTGCGCCCGCTATATGCTATCCAAAGAGCCTACTAGCCTGACGCTCGAGCGCGTGTCGTCTATGCTTCGGTGGAAGCTGCTACTGGGAGTCGAAATTCGCCGAGACAGCTTGATGATATCGCTTCTCACTATCGTTATCTTCATCCAAGCCTTCACGGGCCCTCTCTTGACTGGTTCCGTGAACTGGACGTCGGGGTCTCGGCTCTCCGTTAACGCAGTTTCTGCTACCACCCCCGGTCCGGGTAGTCTCGGCGCCTGGTATTGGTATAACGCCCAAGGATCTTTTGACAAGAGACCACATCTCAGGACCGGCGTTGGGTTGGCTGGTCTTGCTTGGGCGGATCCTTCTACCATGGACGCACACGGCAGGTCGGTAACTGGAAACGGATGCCGCCATATCATGAATGACGACGGTCTGCTCCCTGACTCGGTGGTCGTGAATGTTCTTATGCCGTGCATAGATATTCACGGGATACATTGGTACCGTTCCGCGGACGAGATGGGCGCAGAAGAGTGGGACGAGCTCAATGGCGGGGACTTGTCATTAGTGAATGACGACCCCTTTTTCTACTACACGTCTGGAGTCAGCTTTGTCTACAACGGATCAGACATACGTTCTGCTCCTAGCAACTGGGAGCAGCCGCCGCCACCGTACAGGTTTTCGGGCAACAAGACGGTCGTAGTGTTGCTGGATCGCCATGAGGCTACAGACCCTCCGTGTAGGGAGCTGACGAACACCATATTCGGCGACATGGACGCGCTGCCCTATTACAAGCCACGAGCTAGAGCTACTGGCTCGAGCGAGAACTGCTTCCTGATCGGACGAGTTAGCTTCACCGCGGGCGTGACGACGAGTCGTCGTGCAAGGTATATCAACGGACGCGTCATTGAAGACCAGACTCCGATCGAAGAGGTCGAGTTCGCGCCGGACCCGTGGGTCCGCGAGGCCATCTGGCTGCTGCCAGACATGATGACCATGATCGCCATCACCAATGCGTCTCAGCTGCCTTCGCACGACAACATCGATTACCACACCCACGGCCTGCTCCGCCAGAGCTACCTGGGCGCATGGAGCGTGCTCAGCCGCAACTTCAATGAAACCCAGGGCGAGTTCAGAGCGTTTCCCGCAGGCCCGAGGCTTGTCGCTGTAGTCAGCTTCGCACGAGTTTTCTCTTGGCTCGCTTTGTGCTTACTGATGACGGTCTCCGGTGCTTTGGTCCTAGGATTCTTTCTTCGCGAGAAGCATTTGGCCCGACTGGAGGATTCGGAACTCAGTAACATGGTGGCTCAACTAGTGCAGCTGATCTTTAGAGCGTAATATAGTTATGAAGCTTTCCACTTTTTAGGCGTAAAGGATATCTGCCTCTTATGCAAGAAGTTATTGTGTCCACTCGCTCGACAATGTTTTAGATTATATGACGGCTTGTTAAAAGTTGTTCACGTATTAAGGCCGAAAATATAGTTTATTCGAAATAAGGAAAGGAGGGAAGGAAAAGTCTACGCGGTATATATCGAACAGACCACAGTCTTTTCGGTTACGTAATAGGCCGGATTACTAAGAGTATAATCCGGGTGGACGCTTACAGAATCTGCACCATATAATATACGGTGGCAGCGTTTCCCTGACGGTCTGACACAGTTATAATAACATATAATTGCCTTCATTAATTTTGACCTATTTTGTGACGATTTTGACTACGCTTTATCTGATAATTCAGAGTCTTACTTACTAAGTGAATTACCTACCCTATTACCTTTACTACTACCGATTAAAGAGCTATCTAGCCGCGCCGATATAGCGAGTCTATACTATAACCTTTTTATAACACCTTATAACTATTTATAATCCTATTATATAACCGTTAAGATATCGTATCTTAGCCCTCTTATATATAAAACCTATAAGGATTAGGAGCTCTAGCGATACCTATACGAATCGGTTATTTCCTATAATAACGTATAGCGGTTTCTCCGCCTAGTCGATCCGACTTAAGCCCCCGAGGAGCCTATAATACCGAATTACGACTCTTTCCCCTCTATAACGCTTAGGCGTACCCCTATATAATATCTCGACCTTACGGACGCTGGCTAAAAGGCGTATAACGTCGAAATCGCGCCTGTTAGGTGCCTGTAGCAGTGGTTATAATGGGTCCCCAGTGTGAACCCGTAGAGGTCTAGGCGTGTCCCTGTCTAAGACCCCTTAAGGCATAAATAAAGCAGTCATCACATAGCAAATAGAATAGTCCCTCGAGGTAAATAAGGTAGCCCTTAAGGAAGTAAATAAGTAGTCCTTAAGGGGTAGCGGGACATAGTCTTAAGGAGCGGAGGAGCCTCCCCTTTAAAGGGGAAGGCCAGCGATTAATCTGATTCTTTAGCTCTACCTATATTCTAACCCTATTATAATCCTATTATAACTATATCTGGTTCCTTACTTAACCCTACCTTTTCACTCTTTACGACTACCTATTTAATATTTTAATCGCTTTACCCTTTAAGGGCGCGAAGACCGTTAAGGAGAGTTACTAAGATATGTAACTATCACGAAACAAACGATCCTACCTTCGATTTTAATAAGGCTACTAGTTAGTTTAAGCGGTAGCTCCGCGATAGCGAGACCGCCTTTATAGAAGACGCCTATAACTCCGCTAATAAGGAATATAACGGGAATACGCCGGGAACTAACATGGCTCCCGTATCTACCACCGCACCGGCACTTATCCCTATATCTACTACTACGTCTATTCCTATCGCTAGCACTACCTCTACCGCTACCTTTACCCCTATCGCCGTCCTCGTTCCCTAGACTATAGTCATAATAGGACCCGCATATAACCCTAACCTGCCCCCGTATACGAACGTTAACCTAGCTATGCTAACGGAGGAATAACTAGATAAACGCGTTAACTAGATAAAGGTATAGTGTTAAATAGGTAGTCGCAAAGAGTGAAAAGCTAGGGTTAAGTAAGGAACCAGGTGTAATCACGATAGGATTATAATAGAGTCAGAACATAGGTATAGCTAAAGAATCAGATTAATCACTGGCCTCCCCCTTTAAAGGGGAGGCTCCCTCGCTCCTTAAGGCTACGCTCTACTCCTCGAGGACTACTTATTTACTTCCTCGAGGGCTATATTATTTACTTTAAGGGACTATTCTGTTTACTATATAATAACTTACTTTATTTATACCTCGAGGGGTCTTAGACTAGTCATACCTGGACCCCTATAGGTTTACATAGGGGACCTATTATAACTACTACTATAGGCACCTAATATAGCGACCTCCCCCAGATACTCCTATCCTTAGGAGCGCCCGATCTATACTGGCCCCTCGGCTCCCCCGAAAGCCTAGCCTCCGAGTCTATCTCTAAATTCCCCGATACCCCGAACTAAAGCCTCCCACGATAGGACCCTAACGGGTCCCCGCCTAGTTCCTATACGGAGCCTTCCTTGGCTATAGCCCTAACCCGGGTATATTTCGTCGACTAAACTACTTAAGCTAATATCCTAGCCTGGACCCTAATAGGTTCTAGGGTGGTTCCCCCCTAAAAGCCTTTTAGACCTGCCCCTTTATCCTCCTAGGTTATCCCTTTAATTTATCTATAAAGGCTCCTAAGCTAGTGTCACGTGAGGTCTAACGTTACTCCTTCCGCGAACTCGTAGCTTCCTTCTTTATACTAAAAATAGGTGCCATATAACCGTTATAGGGGATATCTTATAACCTGCTATTACTCCCTCTTCCTATTCCTTTTCTTCCTCTTCTTTACTTAATTTTTCGATCGTGCTACTCTTCGTGAGTTTTTCCCCTTAATCTAAGATATCGTGTACTAACGACTTATAGTCTCTATTAATTAAATAACTACCGTCTTATAAGTACTTCTAAACGTCTTTAGTCTATAATACTAGCTAACTACGCGTAGTCACTATACCTTCCTAGGACGATAATAATAAACACGCCGCTACTCCTACGAGTATAACACGGGCCTCTAAGAGGCTTAAGACTACGGCTACGGTATCGTCCTCGTAGTCCGCTAAGCAGTCCGCCCCGTAGCCGGCTACGCTAGAGCCTCCTACTCCCACTACGGCTACGCCTTTAATATCGACTACTACACCGTCGGTCGCTCTATACTAGAGGATAGTAGATATCGGTATAGGCGGGGATCTAAGGGCCCCCTATATACGTTATACGGGTAAGTTAGTAACGATTAACTTTAAGGAGAAGATATATACTATTAAGGCCGTGACCTACTAACACGCCGATAATGGTCGGCGTATAAATAAGTGCTACTACTACTCTAAGTATAATAGCCTAAAGTGCCGCGTGGTAAGTTATATATCTTTATTATCACTTAATCCCTATAGCCCCTCCCTTTATAGACTACTCCGTGGTCCTATTAGTCTAACACATATAGCAGCTTCCTATCGCCGGTAAGAATACTACCGAGCAGCTTTAAAAGGTTTTAGTTATCGCTATCGATAAAGGTGGCCTGAATAAGAGTTATCGCGTAAGTATTACTAACCGTGTCCCCTTATTAATTCTATACGGTACTAGGCTATAGTAGTTCGATACTAGGTTATCTTTAAAGAGGCTTTAGGTTAAGCGACGCTAAAGGTTAACCGGTTATCTGCTAAGAAAGCTATAGCTACTCGGCATTAAGCTAAGGAAGTTACCGACGCCCGCTAGAAAACGGCGGAAGATATCCATAAAAGGCTTAATAGTATAGAGTTAATCCTTAAGTAATTCGTCGGGCTATAGCAGTAGCGTCTAGCCGTCGAGTAGAAACGCCTTAATATTAAATAATAACGCCTTACGTCATACGAGCGCGACCTCGCGGCCTAGGAGCGGACGGCTATTACTTTTAAGCAGATAGCCGCTCTTAACCTAGCCTAGGCTTAGGGAGACCTGCCTATACCTTTAGGGCCTGCCTTAGCCCCCGCGGGGGTTAGCTTTATAGATGATAATATATTTAGTAATAGTGGCCCTATGTAACCTTAAGACTTTATACCGTAAGGTCCTTAGGGTCCCCCGGATCCTTATAAAGTGCCTAATAATAATATTATAGTGCCGACCTTATTAGTGAAGAAGGGTAAGGGGAAGAAGGCTCTAACGCCCTTAACTCCTTTATCAGGGAAGAAGAAGAAGAGGTAGTAGGCGAAGACGCCACTATCTTTTTATCCTTCGACGCTATCTGCGGGTAGTAGGTAAAAGGGGGTAATAGCTGCTGCCGTGGGGCAGAGCTAGGTATATATAGAGGATAACGAGGTGGTTAGACGTGAGTCTACCCCTTTAGATAACGAGTTAGTAGGGTTTAAGGACACCATAAAGGGGCCGTGATAGTATATATAGAGGAACGGTTTTTTTTTTTTAGGTTTTTTACTAGTCTTCGGGTTAGGTTTTTTCTTTTTTTTTTAACCAGCTTTAGAGTATTCCTATTGTAACCCTAATAGTCCTAACTATACTTCTATTATAATATAATCGTGTCTCTATTATAACGGTTAAGTAGGGAGGAAAGTAGAGCTCGAGGCGATAAGCTATTATACTAGAAGAATAGGAACGGGGTCGGGGCGTCGCGTTTAAGATAAGACTAAAACGCTTAAAAGGGGGAATATAGTAACCGAGGCGGTAACGCCTATAGAGTCCCCTTCTGGATTAAGGGGGGGTCCCTGCCTAAGAATTAATCTCCGCGACCTACTAAAGGGCTTTACTAGGTTGATCTAGCCGATTTATAGTTCCTTATCTCTATTAGGTCCCCTACGGGAATAGTGCGTAAGCCCGCTTAGTTCTTGGTAAGCCTTATTATCCGTAAGAAGGAGGGAAGATAGGATAACGTGCTTATATCGTGTCTATAAGGTCTCCCGTGGGAATAATGTATAATCCTATATAGTTCCCTATAAGTTTCGTCTTAAAGTAGGCGTCGATAAATTCGTCGGGGATATTTCGCTTTAGCTCTTAGGTATTCTCTTCGTTACTATAGCCCGCCTATTTAATTAGATACTAGCGCCGTTTTCCTTAGTATTGGTAGTCTAGGACGGCTTTAACCTCGTACTTATCCGAATCTAGTTCAACGTCGACTATAGGTGGTTTCGGTTATAACCTATCGCGGAACCTTTATAGTTCTAGCAGGGAAACCGGGAAGACGTTATGAATTCTTATACCCTTTAGTAAGTCTAATTAGTAGGCTAGACTATATGTGCCGACGATTTTAGTTACCTTATAAGGTCCGATAAACTTATCGCTAAGCTTTTAGGAGGGCCTCTTCTATCGGATATTCTTCGTGGATAGTAAGACGTACTCGTTTACCTTAAACCTCCGCTAGGCATAGCCGTTATTATAATACTATTCGTAGGAGGCCTGCGCCTTCTTAATAAGATCCGAAATAGACCGGCGCTAGGCTATAAGGTATTCCGCCCGGGTCTCGGCTTTAGCGGCGCGGACCTCGCCTGCCCTCGGAAGCTATACTTTATTAGGTCCCCTTAGGTTATAGCTTATTAGGGTATCGGATAGGGTATAACGTATTGTAGAATACTACGCTATATTATAGGTGAGCTCTGCTAACGGTAGCCGATTAACCTAGTTATCCTATTCCTGTAAGCAGAAAACGCAAAGATAGTGCTTAAGGTTCTGGTTCTGCTGCTCCGTTTATCCGTTAGTTTACGGGTACTACGCTATAGATAGGCGCCTGGCTATACCTAAATATCGATATAGCGTTGCCTAGAAATGGCTTCTAAATAGCGAGCCTCGGTCTAATATAATACCATTAGGCAGGCTAAAATTGCGACAAACGTGATACTATAGGGACTTAGCAAGTCCTTCTGCTATTAGGGCACTACTTATAGGGATAGAAATAGAATACTTTATTAGACGGTATACTACTACGAGGATAGTATCCCTTTTACGGCCTAGGCTATAGACCGGCGGTAGCCCCGTGATAAAGTTAATAGATATCTTTATAAAGGGGCGCTAGGATATTAGGAGACTCGCTAGCTTACTATAAGACTTATAATACCGCGGCTTAGTACGTTAACACACGCTATAGGTGGGTATAAATTAACATATATTCCTAGGTAAATAATTCTAAAAGTAGAAGTCCGAAATCCTCTTAATAGTCCTTATAACTCCATAGTATCCTATACTAGGTTTATTATAGAAATACTATAGAACCTTTTATTAGAGGCTAGATTGGTGTAGCACGAAAACGCGATTCTTAAAATAAAGGATACCACCGCTCCTAGACTAGTATCTGTATATAGTATTATTACTATAGGCCCTACGCTATCTAATACAAAAAGGGTTATCCGCTTACGCCTCTACCACCTCTTTTAGTAAGGTAAGGGAATTAAAAGCGGGAAAAATAGGGTTAGACTCAGGGGTATTACGGGAACCACGCTAGTTCCCGATAAGGCCTAAAATAAGGCGTCTCGATAAGGGCTCTAAGGAAAGATTATCCACTTACACCTTTACCACCTTTTCCGGTAAGGGGGGGTTAAGAGCGAGAATAACGCGGGTACTATCCTAGGTCCTATATAGGCCTAAGGCAGAGCGCTTCGGAGAAATATTATCCGCTTATACCTCTATTACTAAGATAGGAGGAGCGGGCTCTAAAGAAAGGTTATCTGCTTACGTCTTAACTACTAAAGTAAGAGGAGCGGGAAAATTATAATCGGGGCTATTACGAGAACTATATTAGTTCCCGATATAGCCTAAGATAAGATGCCTCGAGAAGGACTCTAAAGAGGGATTATCCGCCTACGCCTTTATTACCTTTTCCGGTAAAGGGGAGTTAAGAGCGGGAATAGAAACTAGGGTAGCACGGGAACCACGCTAGTTCCCAATATAGCCTATAAAACGCTTAGAAAAAGACTCTACCGCCTTAGCCCGGTTAGTAACTAGGGCGCGCTTATAGGGCGCGTGTTAGGGCTTCCTTAATAACCTATCCGCGGGATTCAACGTTCCCGGGCGGTGCCGGATCTTAAAATTAAACGGGGCGAGCTCCTTAAGCCACCGCACGTGCTACCCCTTAAGCTTCGGCTTATCCAGTAGGTGGCGATGGTTTAGATAGTCTATTAGGACCACTATAGGGCTCTAACTATAAGCCATGTAGTGCCGCTATATCCGAAAAGACTTAATAATAGCTATAAGCTTAGAATCGGGTATACTATAATTAAGCTCGGCGCCGCAGAGCTTACGGGATATAAACGTAATAGACCTCTATAGCCTATCCTTAAGCTAACTAGTAACGGCCCTAATTATAAAAGCGGAAGCGTCTGGCTTAATTCGTATAGGCAGAGCAGGGTTAAAATACCGTAGGACCGGTACCTTCTAAAATAATAGCTTTATTTCTTCGAACGCGACCTAGGCCTGCTAGGAAAGCATAAGAACCCCGGCGTGGCCCCTAGTAGGGCCCCCTATATAGCCCCCTTTAAGATAGTCTATAAGAGGGGCGGCCACTTTAGAGTAGTTCTTAATAAAGCGCCTGTAAAAACTCGTAAAGCCTAGGAAGACCTATATCTTCTTAACACTATTAGGAAGCTCCTAGTCGCGGATTACCTTAACGCAGGATAGGTCTATACGTACCCTATTAGGGCTATAAATAAAACCGAGGAATTTAACGTCTTGAGTCTCGAATTCGCACTTATTAGGGTTAGTATACAGGGACTACTGCCTAAGCCTAGTAAGGACCTCGTGGACGTGTACGCAGTGGGTAACTAAGCCCTTACTATAGATAAGAATATTATCGAGGTATACTATATAGATAGTATCGATAAGGCCGGATAATACTTGGTTAATATAGCGTTAGAAGCTCGCGGGGGCGTTTATAAGACTGAACGGCATCACGAGATACTCGTAGTGACCGTATTTTATCCAGAACGCCGTTTTCCACTTACCGCCCTCCCGAACCTGTAATCGGTAGTATACGTCCTTAAGATCCAGCTTAGTGTAGTACTACGCTAAAGATAACCGATCTAAGATTTCGTGGATAAGGGGTAAGGGGGTACGGTCCTTAACGGTCACCTTATTTAGCCCTCTATAGTTAATATAGAGGCGTAGCTTACCACCCTTTTTAGGGATAAACAGGATAGGGGCACCGGCTAGATTAGTAGACGGTCTAATCCAGCCCTTTATAACGGCGTCCTATAGGTACTAGCGTAGTACCTCGAGCTCTTATACGGCGAGGGGGTAAATAGAACCGTAGGGAGGCTTCTTCCCTTCCTTAATCTTAATAGCGTGGTCCTACTACTAGTATATTAGTAGCCGTCCGGCGTTTTCGACGTTAAAGATATTAGCGAAATCTTAATACTATTCCGGTAGCGTAATAGCGGCGGGGTTCCCGTCTAAGCCCGGGTAGGCCCCGTTTTCCGGGAATTTATCTCTATATCCTACTAAAGGGCTTTTTATTAGGCCGATATAGCCCATAAGGCCGATATATAGGCCCCGCGTAGAACCTATATAGGATAGAGTAAGGATAGACTTAGCTTATCTAACTACCCTATATAGTTCTCTCGGTAATATAACTATACTAATATCACGGACATACTAAGTAAGAGACGATAAGATATACTCAGCTTATCGGGTTAATAACAGTAGATATATCACGGACTAACCGGTTATTAATACGGTATTATCTCGATAGTATAGCTAAGGGATAGTATCTATAAGACTTATATCCACGATCTAAAAAGGCCTATTTAATAATAGGTATACCTAGAATTAATATATTAAGGAATAGGCTATAATACTAGGGAAAAGATACACCGTAACGGATAATATTATTCGGACTTAATAGTTATATATTATTAAGACTTTAACTTAAGGAGGAAAAGAAGACTTTTCTCCCTCCGTGCTAATGTAGTAGTTTAGTCTCGCCGAGTACTCGGCGATCCGAGCGTATCTCTAATCCTATATAGTGCTAATCTATAGTGCTACTCCGTTCCTTATACTACCCCCTCTTTAACGGGGTTAGTCCCTTAGGCCCGTTCTATTCCCCTTACCGAGCGGAACGTGCGTATAACTCTAGCCTTATATAAACTCCGCCGTCCGGTTAGCGCTTATACTTAGTCAGCACCGGTAAGGCTATATACCTCCTTCTAAATATCACGACTTCCTTCTACGTATCGTTAGGTAATCAGTAAACTATCGGCGGTAATTATATAGCCGACTCGCTTACTAAATACTATTCCCTTTTCTAGTATCCCGCGTAATAGCCGGCGATTACTCGCCGCGTTTTATAATATCGCGCTCGTCGCTATACCTTCCTTTATTATCGTGGTATATAGTATTACTAAATTTATTCTTACCGTTCTTTATACTTACTCCCTCTCTGGCTAGATTCGTAACTAAAGCAATTATTCGCCTCGTGAATAATAGTTCTTATAGCTCCCCCGTAATTATTCTTCTCTTCTTCCTTTTCCTCACGTAATCTTTATTCTTTATATTACGTTTTAGTTTACTATATATTTATATTTATATCTATATTATAGCCAAATAATCGCTATGATATTCTTTTTATTTCCTAATATCGACTAATCGCTAATATATCTTTTTTACTCGGCGTTATACGTGAGTTACGCCGTATACCTTATAATACGGGCGATAGATAGCTAGGAAGGTTTTCTAATAATCCGCCTTATAGTCGTTACGTAGCCTCCTTAGCTACCGATATTTATATAGATTATATTAACTATTTTAGTTCTAATATATATAGGTGCGTCGTCTATCTACGCTTATACTAGGCGTGTATATCTATAAGTTTATCCTTACCTTCGCCGAACGTTCGGCTTCTAAAGCGTTTTTAGATTCCCGATAGCCTTCTAGGAGCTGCCTAGACTATTTAGAATATCACCACTAGCATTCTCTAAAAAAAGGCTAATAAGGAATTAGCGCCGACTAGTCGGCGCTACTTCTATTTACGGCTTTAGGCCGTATATAAATAATTCCGTAAGGCTTTAGATAAAGCTACTTATCCCCCTGCCGCCGCTACTACTAACCGCCTTATACTTAACGAGCTATCGTTAATTCGGTCTTTATTAACTATTAACCTAATAATACGGGTTTATACTTATCGTTCGCTGTTCGGTCGGCTTATACTAACCTCTTCTAGGTTAATAACCTTTAGGTCGATAAGGCCTATTCCCTTATAGGAATAGTTACGCCTTTTACGGACTATAGCCTTATCACCTTTATTACGCTACGGCGTGCCGTCCGCGAGCTCCGTAGCGCGGACGTCGAAGAATATCCCGATAAGCGTGCGGCTTAAGCCGCCGGCCTTAACTAGCACGGTATAAATACGTTCCCTCGCCTACAGGGTCTAGCCGCCGCCCTCGTAAACGTTAGCGAGCCTTACTATCGCCCCCTTATATCCGCCGCCTTCGCCGGCCGCCGTACTACTACCTATAAGCCCTAAATTTACGTCCTTGCGAATAATAAGGAGAATATCGCCGAGTAATCGCCGCCCCCCGCCGCTAGCGTCGCCTCCTCCGCCGTTAGTATCGCCTCCCCCGCCGTTAGTATCGCCTCTCCCGCCGCTAGTATCGTCTCCCCTACCGCTAATATCGCTTCCCCTATCGCCTCGCCTATTACCGCTAATAGCCCTAAAGTTAGCGTCGAGCTATCGCTCGTAACCGCCCCGTTTAAGGAGGAGGAGGAGATAAAGGAGGAGGGTACTAAGCCCGACTCCGATAATATTAAGATAGAGGATACTAATCCCTTAAAGGAGGTTATCGTTATTAGCAGCGATAACGACTCCTTTAAAGGTTTCGATAACTAAAGGATAGATTTTTCCAGTAGCTGTAGGCACTATATTAATAGCGTTAGGGGTCGGTTATCTTATAGTCGCCTTTTAGCGTTATTACCCCCTATATATAGCTTTCCCTTACCTTATTTACTATTCCGCTATATAAGATAGTATTAATTTCTTACTCGTGGTTTAATTCTATATACCGGCTATTCGGCGCTAGTAGTTATCCTACTTCTTATATATATATTTCTTTTACTTCTAATAACGCTTTACGATAGCTAGAACGTTCTCTAAGTAGTCCTCGGGCTCTTAGGTATTATACTCCACGGGCTAGCCCGCCCACTTTACAAGGTAGAACTTCCGTCCTTATTCCTCCTTATAGGCTATAATATCTTCGACTTCCTACTTATCCTACTCTTCTATAAGCAGTAGTAGGTTATTCGCCGAACCCTCCGCTATAAGCCCGTCTTTCCACGGTTCTAATAGTGATACCGAAAACACGTTATATATCCTTAAGTACTACGGTAGTAGGCGAACCCTATACGCTAGCTCGCCGATTCAATCTAAAATCTCTACCCGGATATAACGCGGTATAAGTTTTAAGCCGGCCTTAAATAGGAAATTAATAGTGGCTAGCCCTATAAATTCTCCCTTTTTAAAACTCCTAGGCTTATACCTCTTATTATAGTGCTTAGCCTAGGTCTTAACCGCTGCCTCCTAATAGGCGCGGACCCGTTAGCGGATATCCGCTAACCGTTTAACGCGTTCCCTAACGCCTTATACCGTGGTATTATCTCTAGGTTTAACGTACTCTACTATCCTCGGGTAATACCTGTAGAGTGCCTTATATAGTAATACTCTAATAGAACTATATAGACTATTATTATACGCGAACTTAGCCTCTTATAACCAGATTAGCTAGTAATTAGCGGCCTCCGCCCCTATTATCCTTAGGAACTTAAGTAGTGTTTAGTATATCCGTTCGGTCTGCCCGTCCGTCTAGGGGTAGAATACGGTGGATAGTCGGTAAGTAGTCGCCCTTTCTCGGCAGAACTCCTCCTAAAACCGACTTATAATAAGTTTATCCCTATCGCTTATAATTCCCTCTAGGCTTCCGAAACAACACTTAACCTTATTATAAAGGATAGAGCTAACTAGGGTACTATAAGTATCTTATAGATCGGTACGAAAAGTATATACTTCGTTAAGCGGTTAACGATTACTAGTACGGCGTTATAAGTTTAGCCGTCCCTGCCCTTCACGGGTAAAAAACCCGTAATAAAATCTATAGCGATTTCTTAAAACGGGTACGATAATAGTAGTAGCGACTAAAGTTATCGGTGCCGTTTATACCTTAATACCTAAGCGCCTTAATAAGCTAAGTATATAGCGACGTATTCGCGAACGTTATACGCTAGGTTAACCTAATAAAATTTCCTCGATACTAGTTCTAATATCTTATTTACATCTATATATCCCGTATAGAGATTATCGTGATATTAGCATAGGATCTCCGTCCTAATTATTACCTCCTCGGGGATTACTAGTCTTCTCCTATAACGTAGTATACTATTTTCCTCTATAGAGTACCCCGCTCTCTTTCCGGTCTTTTATCGACTATTAGCCGTTAAAGATATATAGTCGGCGTTATTAGTCTATAGCCCTTTAACTAACTACTTAAACTCTTCGCTGGATATAAGATAATTTACCGTTTCGCCCTTAGTAAGCTCCTATACTATAAAGCGTGGGATATACTAATCCGGGTTTATAGTAACCCTAGCCTTAGTCTCCTCCTCCGGCGTATAGTTAGCGGAGGCCCGTTAAGCCGTTATATTATTAGCGCGGGTTTTCTTAGCCCATATAATCGCTACGACGACGATACACCAGGTGCTATCCTTTAGGCTTAAAGGTAGCTATTACCCTTATCGCCCTGCTCTAAAGCTTAGCTGCGCGACGTCTTCGTTTAGCGGAGCGACCCGTTATCTTTTAGGTCTAAGGTCCTTCTCCTAAAGTGACCTCCTAACGGCCTACACGTATACGAAAAGAACCGCCTTCTTTACGGTAGCGTGGATTTATATAATCTATCGGCGAACGCTCGTCTATATATTATTAATTAGACTTAGCTTACTAAAAAGAATAGGGAGGATATCGCTATAGGATATTTCCCCCCCTATATAGTCTAGCCTCCTAAATAGACTATCCGCTAGGTTTATCTTTCCCGGGCGATACTATAGTTCGAAATCGAAAGATATAAGCCGATACACCTATTTAGTAAGCCTTCCGCGAAGGTCCCGCGCTAACGCCCGTAGCATGCCCTTTAGGGCTTTATAGTCTATTAGGACCGTAAACGCCTACCCTATACCTTTAAGGTAATATCTCTAGTACTCTAAGCTTTCCACGATAACTAATAACTCCTATTATTCTATAGCCTACCGTTATTCTATATCGGTGAGTTTTCGCGAATAATAGACGACTAGTCGTTACTACGAGTTATGCTTCTAACTTAAAATTCCGGATACTACTTTATCCGACACGTCCGTCTTAACTCTAGAGTCTAGTACGGGGTTCTAATAGCATAGAATAAGCACTAAGCTAAAGGCGACCTTTAGTCTTTTAAAAGCTTCTTAAGCCTCTAGCGGAAAATAGAATAGCCCTTTCTTTACGCTGGCCTTACTATCCTTTAGCAGCGCAGATAGGGGTATTATAACCTTCGAGTACCCCTTAATAAATCTCCTATAGAAATTCGCGAATCCTAGGAAGACTTACACGTCCCTAAAAGACTCTAGCGCCGGCTAGTCGGCTACCGCTTATACTTTCTCTAAGTCTATCGCGATACCCTCGCGGCTTACTATAAAACCTAAGAAGTCTACCCGGTCCCTATAAAATTCGTATTTCGGTAGTTTGGTATATAGTTAGTAACGCCGTAGCCTTTTAAGGACCTATTATAGGTGCTTTATATATTCCTCCTTAGTACGGGAGTAGATTAGGATATCGTTAAGGTATACGACATAGTAGATATTAAGTAAACCGGCGAGTACTCGGTAAATATATACCTAAAATATCGCGGGCGCGTTTATTTACCCGAATAGTATAACCGTATACTTAAAATACCTATACCGCGTTCTAAATACAGTTTTCTATTAGGCCTCTTTCTTAATCCGGATCCTATACTAGGTATCTCGGATATCGACCTTCGAAAAATACTAAGCGTCCGAAAGGCGATCTAGTAGTTCCCTAATTAGTAGCAGTAGGTACCGGTTTTTAATCGTGATAGCGTTTAGCCTATAATAGTTAATATATAGGCGGAGACTACTATCCTTTTTCGGCACGAATAGGACTAATAACCCCGTTAGGCTAATCGATTTCTAAATACGACCGCTCGCTATACCTTCGGCGATATACTTTTTTAGCTCTTTAAGTTATATAGGTAATAGTGGGTATAAGGGCCTAAACGGAGGCTCCTTCCCCTCTTATAGGTTAATAGAATATTCTGCGTCCTCTAATAAAAATGGTTCCTTCGCTCTTTATTCCGAAAATATATCTTCGAACTATTCTAGACTTAAAGGTAAATACACGCCTTTAGGTCGTGGTTTATCGTCGTCTATAAATAGAATCGTTATATCCGGGGCGTTACCCGTTATAGCGGTAGCTATAATAACGTATATAACGTACGACTTCGCCCTCTACTCTACTACCTCCTAGGCCTAGGCCTCGGGTTCCGCGATAAAGAGTAGTCTAAAGCCGAATATTCGGCTAACCGTGTCGATTAGGATACTCTCCTAACCTATACTATTATTCGATAATAGTAAATAACCTAAACCCTTCGGCTAGTCCGTGTATATAAACACTCTCTTTAAGAGTCAGGGCCTTCCTTTAGAGTCCACTAAATAGAAGGCTAAGCTATATACTCCGCGGCTATTTACTGCTCGGCTATTAAAACCTTCTAGAGCCAGGGCCTAGATTCCGCCTAACGGCTATAACTTTAACTATTCTACTAATACCGGGCTAATAATATCGACTTATATACCCGTATTAAGGTTAACGCTAAGCTTAACCTCGCGCCCTTCTCGGATAACGTATATAACTCCTCGCGCGACTTTACTGACTAAGACCTATTTCGGAGCTTCTATGGACGTAATACTTACCCCCTATACTACGCCGATCCGTTTCTCGGGTTATTAGGGATCTCGGTAATCCGTATATCGTTATTAAGGGCTAATTTCCCCTAAACCTAAATATTACTTATATTAGCGCTTTTCTTCGCTAAGCCCTTACCGTTATCCTTACGGTCTTTACTATAATAGTCCTTAGACCGGTATCCCCTTTTACTATAGTTATAGCACTCCCTATTAAAGAGTTTATCTAACCTAGAGGTCTTCTAGGCACTAGGCGTGGTCGTCGACGATAAAGATTTTATCGCTTATTACTACCCTTTTAAGGTGCTTTCCGACCGTTTAGCGGATAGATACCGTCCCCTCTATAATAGATTATCCTTTTAGTAGTAGGAGTAAGACCTTTTC